ATTGACTGAGATATGAGTGTTTAAACTTTTGTTAGCAAATTTGAAACGGTCACAAATTAGCTAAAAACGGCCTATTAAACTGATTTTAGCTAATTTGTGACCGTTTCAAAATTGTTAACAAAAGTTTAAACTCTTATATCTCAGTTAATCTTGGACGAATATGCCTGTCAAATATACCAAAATTTAAGTTAGATATCGCTGGATGCAATTAAACTCGATTTATGGTTCTACTGCTTATTGTTTCTGAGTTACAAGTAATCAAACAGTTGTACTTTTTTTTGCGCCACCCGGTATATATATATATATATATATATATATAGAACTGCTCTTAGTACTCTGATGAAGGTTGCAGTTAGCAACCGAAAATTTAGAACTTTTTTAGACTTTTTATTGTACATATTCTAGTGTTTTAAAAAGAATTTTAGACCAGCTTCAACTCCAAAACTATCATATATATATATATATATATATATATATATATATATATATATATATATATATATATATATATATATATATACCGAATTAGCACTGCTTTTTGTTGTCCAAGAGTTAAGAAATATGAGATAAAACTTATTTCAAAATCGAATAAATTACAATTGCATCGGCTAATATATATTAATGTTAATTAACTGATAAATATGACGTGTATTGGAGTTACAAGAAATTGCAATTTAATTTTTTTAATTACAAAATTGTGGTTATATAAAAACTAGGCCACTGAGAATAATGTGGATAATATGCATGCCGTGGATTGATAATATTGGAAAAAAGAGATTAAAGTCTGTATCCATTTGATATATTCACCCCTAGGAAATGAAATAAGTATATGCCTATTTTGCGACATTGTATAGTTCAATGTGGTAATATTTATTACATTTTCGAAGTTCAGAACGTTAGAAACAAAAAGATTATATGAATATTATATTATGCCATTTACAAATTAATTATTTGTAAAATTAATTAATTATTAATTAATTATTTATAAAAAAGATTATATGAATATTATATTATGCCATTTAAATGTATATAATGATATAACTATAGAATGCATGACATAAGTTGAACTCACAGATCGTTTCGAGCCCATATTTCGACAATACACGTCAAGCGGATTTAACTCGTGGCCACCTAATCCCTCGTAATATACATTAGTTTAAATTAAACGATCCAACTGCGGATACACGATAACAACTGTTCAATATATAACTTCGCACGTTTGTCATTTCACGCCGTAATGAAGTAGACCTAAATGAAATAATAGACTCAACACTTCTTATTGATGTCACGTATCTTCAGGCATCGACACCTTCAAGTACTTTAATTATTTCATTTCATTGTTTATTTCGCGCAGGATATCAAAGACAGTTAACGTACAAACGTAAAAGTGGTTCATACAGCGTATTTGGAAACTCAGATAGCGAAGGAAGTATGATGTAAGTTTAATTAATACCGTACCCGCTGTACATTTTACATGGCTTTGAATGTCTATCTCCAGCAGCAATATAAATATTGATGAATTAAATTACTAACTCGTCATGTTTCTTTCTACAACATTCATTTATCCGTTATGCGCCATAATACGCCTTACTTAATTATTACTTTGCCAACTCACGGCTGGTGATTTGCGATGCGGAAATTAATGGGCTAATGTGATTTTGTAAACAAAGAGATAGATAAATAACTTGATTTAAAACTACTAACCTCATCAACTAAAGCTGATCTTCACGACGTCCAGTCATTTCTCATTTCTGAATTTAACATAAAGGAATGGAATAACATTCAACAACATGAACACTATTCGCTTTTTAGGTTAACGGCATTCGTGGTTCGTTCTTTTGCACGAGCGCGGAAGCATGTGTTTGTTGACGAAGACGAGATAAAACACAGCATTCAATGGTTTCGCAGAAAACAGAAACTTTCAGGTTGTTTCCCGAAATACGGCAAAGTGTTTCACAAATCACTTCAGGCAAGTGCGTAGACTGTAATTATGATATATAATTTGGGGAGAGGCTAATTTGTTTTCTTATCCAAGTGGTGGTTGGAAAAAAAATGTTGCAAAATATATACTGCTGTTGATGCAATAAAAACGTTGCTTGACTATTTTAACCGTTTTCCATTTCTTCTCTTGCCCAGTTGGTGCTTATCGTTGAAATCTTTGAATAAACATTTTTAAGCTGGGATTAATAGATATATTTATTGACATTGGTTTAGACATGTACATGCACGCATCTGAAGCAAAATAGTTAAGATTTGGTGTTCTTTGTTGTGTTGGGTTACGCTTATAATGGGCGGCCTAAACTTGGCGCTCACTCATTACAATTACAGTGATGGCGCGCAAGGATTAGTTCAAATTCCAAACAATCCATATGTTGAAATATAAAGATACACTAATGCAAGTCACTAGCTATCACATTATGTAACTGATCATTATGGAAATCACTGCTACTGTGTATCATTATTTGGCAAAATATTAAGTTCAATATATGCTATAATTGCTGCCGAAGGCAGCACCCTATTCTTGATACGCTGTGGTTTCTCCAGAGTCCACTCGACCCAGTCTTTGGCGCGATCTACGCATTGTCGAGATCTCGATTTGTGTCTGTCTGTCTGTCTGCTAAGATTAGTTCCGGGAGGAATAATTAAGCTTCAGGAAGTTTTTTTAAACGAGGGGGGCGGTCAAACTTTATTTTGTATTGTGCATTTGTGCAAGCAGTTTTAAACTTTTAATACGAGATCATACGAGTTTATATGTTGGATTGCAAGCGAATATCAAAGGATAAATCAGGTAAGAATGGTTTTATTTCTTCCTGGTGATATACATGAAGGCATTTAGATCTGCTGTTTTATAGCATTTGATACAGAGGTATTGAAACATATGATTTCATGATGTCAATAATGACTGTCTTATTTTATATACAATTGAAGGAGCTTGAAAATGTACTTTGAGTTTATTTGTTTGTGTGGCGATGTGCCAAGGCGATGAGTTTTATATAGTGATCATTTTAGATGTCTATAGCAATGGTGCTTTCAGCACGTTTTAAAAACAAACACGGACTGTTAATATTTTTGCACGTGCACGTAATCAGGCTTCCTAGCAACCCAGTGTGGGGATCGTTGTCTGTATATATTAACTTACCTGGCTACCGGCAGTTATACATGTAAATAACATGTCAACTGCCTTTTGTACAAGGCTGGGTATCATGCATGCCTGATGGCCTGTTTATATCTCTTAGAGATCTCCATTGTTAAAGATGCAGTACAGTCCGTACAAAGGCTTTGTTTACATTTCGGTATTCAAAATATAGAATTTTAATCGACCACTATTTATATATTTATGATTCTAGAGTATAATAGATTATATAGACACAACAATCAAGCTTTGCAAGAACATAAAACGAAATAAAACCTAAATAAACAGTTTGTCTAAAAAGAGGGCTCCTCCTTTGAATTTGTGCACATTTGCAGATCAGACCATATACAGCATCTTTAACATAATATGAAATAATCCTACCCACCCATACTCATACATTCACGCGGCTGTATCATGCAATACATTTCCGGGTATGCTTTCTTGGGTTTCACTAAGGCATTATGCAGTGAATCTGAATGGGGAGGGGGGAGGGGGGGGGGGTCAACCTCAAATGTATCGACGCTTATGCTGTACTGGAGTGAGAAAATGATACGAAATTACATGTATTGCCACCAAACTACCAAACACAAGGCTAATACATAAAACAAACAATCGTCTCACTCTGATAACTGTGTTTTAATTGTTTTACAGTTGACTCCCTTTCACTGCTGTGTCGTCATATGAAACCCAAGAATATTCTTCGATAATGCTCACAATTTCTTTCTTATATAGTTTTGCAGTTCTGTCTGAGTACAATCTCTGACTGAATACAATGAATGGTGTCAACTTAGTCCCCAGGGCCTTTTCAGGAAGGAGGCGAAGGGCAGCAAAGGCCCTGGTAAAGGCTGGTGAAATAATCCACAAATTGTGGATTATTTTGTCACGTGATATATCGGAGCAAATACTATACAGGGGGGTGCAATCGCGGATCGCTTTAGCTACAATATATTCGTCAATATTGCATAAACACCGAAATCGACAAATAAAGAACAAAAATTTATTTTAAAATGAAAAAATCTGTTAAAGTTCTTCCAAAAATATTGAATAAATCTGAAATTGTCTTCAAATTAGCTCTGAGAACCTTGATTGAACTGTAAAGGAGATCTAGTATTAAATAGACAAAGCAACAGTGTCGAATGGATCGATAGAAGTATTTATACTATGAATTACTGTCGCAAGGAAATTGCTGCCTCGATTGTGAAACAGATATGTAAAATCACTTTAATTTAATAATATGGACTCTCAATACACCATATCTATTTAAATCAATTTATTGGACCATGTCCAAGCGGTAGAGTGCGAACGGGACTCAAAGTTCCATGCGAGGCACTCCCCGTTACAAACTGTAAAGATTTCTTAAATATTTACATTAATAATAGCTATAAATAATATCCATGATCATCAAAACATTTAATAGTTATTGTTGCTACAATAGATCTTTCTTGCAAATGTCAATATCATACAGTATATTTATAAACAGTTAAAGGGAGTACAAGGTCCAAAGAATGTCTGAAAAACAAGGAATGTCAACATCGTATGCACTTGGAATTTAAATGCTTATGTTAGCCATATGCCCTGAGTAATAACCTGGTTGACCTCCATGGTTAATTAACATTTCCTGAATTTAATTGAGTTGAAATATTTTATTTGATTTTCATTCTTATCGCAAGAACATATTGTGAACACACATATAGTGCTTTGGGTTTAGATTTCAAAGGCCAAGCTTCAAAACAAATGTTGTGATCTTAATGATCAGGCATTCCCAAACAATTACATGCATGAGAGTCAAATCAGACAGAAAGCCTCCATATGCTTTATCAAGGCTGAATAATATAATGAGATGGAATTAATTTCCTCATTATACTGTTAACAAGCCGTTGTTTTTGTTTGTAATCAATTACACAAATTACTTCCCAGAACATTATTTAAGGAGATTATTTGACAAGTCAGCAGGTACATTTTTTCCTGAGCCACAATTGGGGCAATTCAGTGTCATTCATCACAACAGGCGCTCAAAATCACTCACAACATACAACAGGCAGTTCAGCATATCACTCACCACAATTGACTGTTCAATACTGTGTGCCTCAGTAGTGTGCCTCAAATCAATATTTTGCTCATATCAACAACAAATATCAAAATTCAACTCATTCTCAAAACATGATACAATAACAAGGGGTCTCTTATGGACAAGTACAAGACACCTGGTGTCAAATGTATCAAGTGACAAGATTATTCATCTCTTTTAATTTAAATACATTTTGCCGCCTTGTAATAAAGTACTATTTGTTGTTGGTGACCATCAGTTGAGCAATTTAAAACATTCGCAGTGTATGCTTTATCAGACCTAAAGATACTTGGCTTCACCTCGTATCTTTATACCTGATACAACTATATAAAATAATAACTATGATATTTAGCCTGAATATTATTATAAATGTATGAAGGATATTATACATATATTCTTGATGCTCAACATTATCCGATAATCATTTAACATGAAATCCGATAATCATTTAACTTGAGAATTGTGTGAATTCCTGAATTACTTATTGTTACAGACTGTACTGACCTCTTGCAATTATGGTTATTAACCAAAATCTGACAATGTCTCTAGTTAACCCATTGAGCTGCAATGTGCCCCAGTGTAGCTACTTACTGAAATTGACTGATTTGTGGTTTATGGGGTTTTTTGTGGCAATTCTTTGGGCATCACAAGTGCATTTGTATATCTTAATACGCTGTGAGAATACAAGTATTAGTATTTAAATGACACAATATGATGTAAGTTACCTTTCAGGTATATAATTTGGATACAGCATATCAGTGGTGTATTACTTAACTTTTTTGACCACTTGCCACTTGCCCTCAGGGCAAGTTGGACATGAAAATTGGTTGCCCTGAATAAAATCCACTTGCCATCAGGCAATGGGGTACCTACGCGAGCCAGTATAAATTAGAGAGATAACATATCCACACATTGGACTAGTTAGTGGCATTGGCTATGTTACTGCCTCAGATCTAGACTACCTCAGATCTAGCTTTGGCTCACATATTAAACAAAATTTGAATCAAGTACACTTATTTAATTTAATGTAACACTAATCACCATTATTTTTTTTTTTTATTTTTTTTTTTTTATTAGTTTTACAATAAGAAATTGAAGGCACAGACAACAGGACTAATAAAGTCCCAAATTAAGTCCTGCCATAAATTAAGTCCTGCCATATTTCGTTTACTTATCATATCATGAATAAACATTTAATAACCAAAAAGAGAATCAATGCATAATATAATCAAACAATTTAGATGAATTTGATGCAGATGATTTGCCAGCTTGAACCAATGTCGTCGAACAGCCTTTATTCTATCCGACAATAATAATATGAACTGAAAGCTGGCCAGCTTTTTGTGGCAAAGCAACTTGCCCGTTCGGGCAACCAAGAGGAATCTTTTACTTGCCCGTCATGATATTCACTTGCCCCGGGCAAGTTTAAGTTACACTTCTGAGCATAGTAGTTGCCATTTGGCAGCTGTTGGTCTGGTTGAAGTACTCAGATAATTTGGGGAGACCCATGGCATGCTCTCTCAACAGTGAAGGTTCAAAAACACACATGCCAGAATGTTTATAGAATACCTCGCCATTTTTCTGCATTCATTGACACATAAATAAGTACAAGAATCACTTCAAAATAGTTTAAGGGTAAAGTCTAGAGATTAAATCATATGAGTATGTTAGTTTGGTTCAAATTTGACTGGGGGTTTTGAAGAATGAGGCAATCATATTAGATCAATTTTGAGTAAATTGACAATGTTTACAAGGAACTAATAGTGGTAAGGTGTGAAAGTTGTGGGTATTCTATAGTTGTATAAAAAAAGTGAAAAACCAAGCTAAAAGCCCCAAGAATACCTGATTGGCACAATGTCAAAGAGCATAGTTGCTGACTAAGAAACATCTATTAGACCATGTACAGTACTTGAGTCTTGTGATATTGCTTTTGTATTATACGATATACTCTAAACTTGCTGTTAACATATTATATTATTAATATTCATGGTTGTCAAATATCATAAAATCAACACACAAAATTCACACACAAAGGTTTAAAATAATGTATATTGGTATAAACGTTTAATAAAAATGCATACATACGTAACCCATGGTCGGCATGGAATTTTGTCACTTGGCACAGTACTTTAATGTTTTTTTAATGTTTGTCCCACATTAAAATATATTGAGTCAATGACAGTGCAACTGTTCATATTAAAACGTTCTAATCACATTTTACATGCACATTTGTATTCAGTAGTAAGTCTTTTCATAAAGGTACATCAAAGTCCCAAATCAAATTCTTCACTGACAGTATGTTATTGACTCCCAAACGACAAATATTATAAAACACGCTTCCAAGCTGAAAATAAATATTTACTGTTGTCAGTCAGTGTTTAGACTCTTCTCTTTGAATCTTGATCTTCGACAAGTATTGCTGTTGATTATATTCCATATTTTTTTGAAGAACATCGCAGACTATATATTTATTTCCACTGTCAGTTGAAAAGTTTATCATCATAGTTTCAGTCGCAAAAGCTTTTATCGCCCCTTTGCACGGCCATGTTTGATAAAATCAAAGCGGCCCGCACCCCCGGTTTGAAAAGTTAAATATTCTGAAATATTCAAAATTTGAAGCATCACGTGACCAGCCTTTACCAGGGCCTTTGCTGCTTCGCCTCCTTCCTCAATAGGCCCTGGGGACGAGGTTGGAATGGTGTCATCTGAAGCTGACATATTAATTAAACAAAATTGTTAACAAATAGATTTTGTCTCCCTATCAGATTGTTCGGTTGATTAGCATTAGGCCTAGAGGTAGCCTTGAAGGTGTCATGTAAATGATAATTGGGACAAAAACTGATTTAGTGTTTCTACAGTGTGTCTAAAAAAAAGTGAACCCTTTCAAATTCAAATTAGTTATATTGTAGTAACTTGACAGCAATCTAATTGCATTGAGTTAATAGTTGGGTAAGAACAAAAGAAATACTGAATTTCTTTTAAATTTTCTAATTTTTATTTCTTTGAGGTTTGTCCCATGAGTACAAGACTTTGTGTTCTTACCCAATCATTATTTCAAAGCAATTAGAGCTGTCAAATTTGAAGGATTTGCTTTTTTTAGACACAACGTATATATGACATTACACAGTATTCAGTGGCTAGGTAGCTATGGCAACTGGTCATGCTATACTAATAATGCAAATAATTAAAAATTTGAATAGACAGACAGTATTGTAATTATACATACAAAGGCAAAAAATTATAAGCATTGAAGGTATTCTTATAAAACTGCCCAATGCCAAGAAAGTAGAAATAGAATATTTAGCGGACCTTTGACTTTGTGCAAGGTGTTTGATATTCAAATTGTACTTTACCTACCTCATGAACAGGTGTCTTAGGGGCTGTTTACTGTAAATATTGGAAGCCAGGTGATTTTAATATATTGAAATAAGTCAACAGAATTCAAGTTGTAGTTCAAGAAGATTATTATTGCTGTTGGAACAACCTTTAGTTTACAGTTAACTATGTAGTTTTTTGCTGAATCGTCGACAGTAATTTATTTTATAATAATATATCAAAATAATCCTGCCTGCCATCTCGTCCTGGCAAAGCAGGATCATGTAAGCAGCTCCTTATTCAGCGAATTCTGCATGCTGCCTTTGATTCCTTAGGGGTGAGGCAGCACTTTCCTTGCGATAGTAACTTCTAGTATCGACATGGCAAAGTTCTGATTTTATTAGTTGTGTTTGTGGATTGCTCGTAACATGCAGAGTAGGGTCTATACCATCAAACTGCCCTAAATGAAGCAATTATTTTATTCTCTGTTGTCATCCTGAATTGAATGATGGTCAGCAATCATTTCTTTTTTTCTTCCTTTTTGAATAATTATTCTACACTTTAATAATTAATAACACATTTCGTTCTCCTGAGAGTGGAACATAACCGGTCCTATAGCTACATAAATATAAACCTGGGGTCGGTGATACAATGACGTAATCGGGTTAATTGATTATGTTCATACCCCATCGGAGATATTACAACCTTCGCCCTCGGCCCTCGCCAGTAGATGTCTGAAAAGCTGTCACATATATTTATTTATGAATATATGTTACATTGTGACAAATGAAAATGAAATAAATGATAACATTGATTTGCTGTCGTTTCGCCAACGAGCAACGAAAACTCCTTATTGAAAATTGTTAGTTATACAGAATAATCACTGTGACTTCAACTTCTTTCTTACGTTATACGTCTACCATCTTCAATATTTCGGTGAAAAAATGTTTGGCTAGCCAAATCAAAGTAACACCACCCAGAAAAGTTGATAACATAAATTGAATATGGCCAGTCGATTATAAACTATTAAATATTTATAGCTAACTTTCTGAACTTCCGTAGCTTATGCTGAACTCAATTATCATGTGCATATCTATCATATTTAGGGTGGATTGAACAGCGAACTTACCATTACGGCATACGTCACTATAGCATTATTAGAGGCAGGTTTTGATAAAAAGGTAAGATATATTTAATACGAAGTGTATCTGATCTTAAGGTGGCTCAATACAATTTTTAAAAAAATGGAAAATTCACGATTTAGGTGCGCATTTTTGGACAATTATTACTTGCTGACAAGTAAAGAGTTTGAATTTTGGCACAAAAGTTACGCAACTGCCGTTGCTATGGCAACAATGACGTTTCAACATTGCGGATCTTTGGCTTTAAACTGTAATTTAACTCGTAAACGACATCGGTTACCCCCAAATATTATTTTAAAAATTTATTTCTCTTAGTTTTATCGATTATTTTTACAATTTAAAAAAAATATGTGAAGCCAAAAATATTATTATAAATAATTATATAATCATGCACCTTTATACCCTGGCCCAGAGTTTTTTTTAGGTTTGGCGAACGCAAAATGTTAGAAAACGCGCGAAGGAAAAGAAAAACCTCTGGTGAATTTGTTAGTGATTCCTGGTTCGGATAAAGAATGCAAAAAATGTATAATGGCTTAATGCATCATATTCTAAAAATATTATCCAATCATTATTCTTGAAACCAGGCCGTCTAGACAGGGTTTAATTGCATGTTTACTGTCCAGTGTATGCCTGCCCATTTGCAGCAATATTCATTCTCCTGAATTTCATCAATTTAAAACATCACATCTATTCAATTTAATATAAATATATATTTATATTCATTCACTTTAATCTTGCAGTATACATTCAATTTAATCCTGCAATATACATTAAAAAAAATATGTATTTTATAAATTTATGAAACACACCTCTTTGGGCCGACGTGAACTTTGTTTGTTAATACAAAACCAAGCAAATTTGTCTTGTAGATTTCAAATGAAACCATTCCTCTCCATTTCGCATTTCGAATAATAGACTCGGGATTACAAAATGCGAATGTAAACTCTCCATCTAGTCTTGCTTTCTCGTCCTCTTCGTTTGACAGTGAAGTAACGCGGCATCTACGCTTTCTTAGTTCACGGACGTGAGAGTCAATGAAAGAGTTCAATTTGCAAATGACTATTAAAATGGGTTTCTCCAGAAAATTGTGGCTTTTGCCAAGTCGTCGTGCTACTCTCGGTGTTAGAACTTTGGAATATTAAACTCTTCCCATAACCGATACCAAGATGAAAATACATCTTTACAGTAATGTGAATCAAATTGGAGAAGGCGCGGTATTGATGCTCAGTTAAACTTTTAATTCAGGGAATTTATCAATCCATCAACCTCGTTCCCAGGGCTTCAGTGTGGGGACGAGGCAACACACGAGGAAGCCCTGGTCTGGGCCGGTCAATTTTGCATTTTGATTGGCTAACACCATAAATTATTGTCTAATAATAACAGAACTCTACAGTTGACAATAACAATTCAACATTTCTATTTTTATGATTCTTGTGTGTACGAGTATGTTTTGCAAAATAATCTTTCAAAGTAAGACGTTTTCCCGACTGCATGATTTACTTTCGCCTCGGCCGGTTACAAAACTCAAAAGCCGTGTCGAAGTGAGCGGTGATATTTCCTGACAAAACAAGAAACGTCTACTATTATTTAAGCTGTAGTTTTCCTTGTACAGTATTTATTAGTGCAGATGTCTGATAAAATACTACGCGTATTGCATTGTTGTAATATTTTAATTTACAATATTCTGTACTGACAAATAAAAGCAAGACAAACAATTAAATGAAACTACTAAATTACTTAATAATAGCTCTACCCCTAGCCCGAATTAGTCTCTACAAGATTCGCACGCCACTCAGTTTTTCAGTTTCAGAATACCCCGAATACTTGAAAATTGCGACTATACGATAAAATAAAACAAGATTGTGAAGGGGATAAAATTTGTAGGCAAGCATTGCTCCTGAACGGCAAGTGTTGGTGTCCGGCGAAACAAGCGAATCCGTATATTCCTGTACAGCGTAAACAGGTTACGCGAGGTTTTATATTTGTGTTTATTTATATTGAACTAAGTCAGACCTATAAGAGCATATTTAAACTAAATATTAATTATAGCAATAGCCATATTGTTCAAGACGAGAGAAAGGAAATTTCGTGCGAATCACCACTTGCATAGAGACGCGTAGATGCAGCGTGGATGCAGCTTTGCCTGCAGTTGAAAATCTCCAGAAATATCGGTATATCTTAAAAAACATGGACGGGATCTTCATAGATATTAGCTGATTTGTGCTAAACTTCGCTCTACCCTTAAATAATAACGATTGAGAAGTCTTTTGGCTATTTATTTGTTTGGAAGACTTACTGAGTACTGAGTACTGCCATTTTTTGTCGTCACGTGACCGGCCCTGACCAGGGCTTCCTCGTGTCTCGCCTCGTCCTCACACTGAAGCCCTGGGAACGAGGTTGTCAATCCATCTTTAACGCAGCCTATAAAACTGGTTCTTTCAACTTTTGTTCGTTTATTTAATTATATAGACATTTCAAAATTCAAATGTTTCAATTCAATCAAAACACGAAACGCCTGCGAACAGGCAATGATGTTTACAATATCCAATCAGAACACGTAGTCTATCGAACCTATAGTCAGCAGCCAATCAACTCTTTCCTTCCATTTTTAAAAGTTATGTGTGGAATGTGAACCCGAAAACTACGCCAATTTCGCCAGAGCGTTATTCAAAACAGGCGAAAATAAATACCCTCTGGCTCCAGGGTAGCACCTTTACGTAATTTTAAAAAATTCGGCTGCACAGAAGTTTTTTTAAATGGTCAAAATAGTTGAGTATACAAAGAGAAATATTTTTTTTAATAAAATTTGGGGGTCGCCGATGTCGTTTGCGAGTTAAATTACTTTAAAGCCAAAATATCAGCCATCTTGAAACGTCATTGTTGCCATAGCAACGGTAGTTGCGTAACTTTTGTGCAAACTCTTTAGATGTTGTTTTATATCAGTAAGGCACTTTTTGTTTATCAACAAGTAATAATTGTCCAAAAATACACATCTAAATCGTAGATTTTTCATTTTTTAAAAACTGTATTGAGTCACCTTAATACTGTTAGCTCTCAGTGGAAAACAGGCTATGGACTTCACTGCTCCAACCTTCATCGGCATTGCGCTGTTTCCATGTTTACATCCACATCCGGTCTGCTTCAGCTCTGCTCGTTATCTCTATGCAGAGACTGCCATATAAGTTCCACATCAGGATCTGATATGGTTTATTCCAATTTGCTCCTCACATAATAATTTTTCCACCGTTTTCTATCCATCGTTGTTTTAATGATCTTCCGCTAACCTTCGATTGCAAACGGCAAACAATTTTCTTTTTACATACATTCAACATGGCGGAAAATTTGTATTTCTATACAGTACTTCAAGAAACCATAGTACGTCTTTGATTAAAAATACAATTTATATTTTCCTTATATTCTTGCATGGGAGTGAAAATTTGCGTGTGTTCAGGCCCCCACGTGGAAGAGAAAGGCTATAGTTACTCCCGAGGTTTTGTTCAAAATTTATACAATTACCAAAAACTGTAAAAATGTATTTGAAGTCGTGAGAGGATGCCATTCTATTAGAAGATAGCAACTACATAGCATAATTTCCGACAAAGGTCTTGGATCGAGACGTTCAACTTGTTTTTATGTTTCCCATGGTTTATAATTCCTGCATACCAAGTTCGTAAATGTTTTTCTTCGCTGTATTCACTGGTACCCAATACTCAGAATATTGTCTGATTATTCCTGTTAACATCAAAAGCAATACTTCATTTTTATCTAACATATTATTGTGTATATTTCAGACAAGGATTGTCTCTAAAGCCCTTAATTGTGTAACCGACAAACTTACACATATTCAGGATTCCTATACTACGTCGTTAGTAACATACACCTTGGTGTTAGCAGATCATCCAAAAGCTGGACTTATGATTAGTCGTTTGAAGGACAAGGCAGTCAGTTCGGAAGGTGAGAAAATTTAATTTAGTCTCTTGTGATCCTATCTAGTACATATTTGAACTCCGTGTATAATTTATTACTAATCTCATATTCGAAAAGGCGTTTGGTTTACGATTATTGGTACATTATACTAGAAGATGAATGCTAGCAGATGCCCTCGTGTTGCTGACAAAACCATTAACTATTTAGAGTAGTTGTCATGGTAACACGATAAATTCATTAAGAATATTTTGCAATTGAAAAATCCCGTAAAAGTATCAGTTTTAATTACAAAATTATCAATTTCCCAAATATATATATATATATATATATATATATATATATATATATATATATATATATATATATATATATATATATATATATATATATATATATATATATATATATATATATATATATGAAAGCGTTATGGTTGCCATGCCTGGTTTCAATGTGAATGGTGTTTAAAAAAAAACAAAAAAAAAAAACAAGAACTTCCTCAGGCATAAAAAAGATATAATGACTATAACCCAGACGTTTCGCCGGTTAAGGCTTCTTCAGTGGGTGAAAACGTTTACAACAATATTAAGGCGTCTTTTATACATGTCGTCCTAATTAGAATAGTATATAATTAAGTATGATGAGTGAATGAGTCTAATTGTTTGAATTTAAAAGTCTAAAAAAGTTGGTAGTAAAAAATGTTAAAAATCTAAATCAGTCTGATTGTTTGAATTCTAAATGTATATACAGTTGATGATAAAAATGTTAAAATATTCATAATTATAATCCCAAATGTTAGATTGTTATTGTTCTACCAGTACAACCATTCATTAAATCGCCTGTATGCTTCTGTATTTCCATCGCCTCAATGCATTTACGCTCGTCTTCATACACAAGGTTTCCATATATAATCCTCCATTCAATGTCTTTATTTCCAGGTGTCTGATTCTTTCTCTTGTGGGACATCAAATGTTTATATACTGTTTGCTGTTTCATCGTCAGGTGTTCTTTGATGCGTGTCCCTATTGTCCTACCCGTTTCTCCTATATATAATGCCTCGCAGTATGAGCACTTAATTTTATAAACTACATTCTTGTTGAGACATTTATCGACTTTATTGGTACATTTACATGTTTCACAAGCTTTAGAGCAATGTGTCCGTTCTCTGGGTGGAGCAAACACTCTACGTGACGATTTTCCGTTCATAAATTGAATTCTGACGTTGTCTATTCCCGATCGTTTTACCACTGCAAGGGCACGCCGTTTAAATTCTTCATTAATGAAGGGAAGCTTTAAATAGGTATATGTAATTTCATCCTCTCTGGTAGATTTATTATTTAAAGTGTTTCTAATTGTGGTTTTAACAAATTTCTTGGGATACCCATTATTAACAAAAAGATCTGTGAGTTGACGCAATGATTCTCTACGTGAATTGGAGTCGGTTGAACATGTAACTGCCCGCTTGGTTTCGCCGATGAGAATTGTGCGCTTAGCAGCGATAGGTCCGTGACTGTCCCAGGGTGTGATACAACGACTGTGTATAGGCTTAATGTAAAGCTTGGTGGAAACAGTTTTACTCTTAATATTGTTGTAAACTTTTTCGCCTTAATATTGTTGTAAACTTTTTCACCCACTGAAGAAGCCTTAACCGGCGAAACGTCTGGGTTATAGTCATTATATCTTTTTTATGCCTGAGGAAGTTCTTGTTTTATTATTTTTATTTTTTTAATTTTTTTTTAAAACACCATTCATATATATATATATATATATATATATATATATATATATATATATATATATATATATATATATATATATATATATATATATATAGTATTTGAACTTAAAATTGAGTCACAACTCTGAGTTTCACGCTGAGTGCGATCATCAGGTGACGGTGTTAAAATTGGCGGTTGAATCTTCCGTATGATGACGTTGGACTGAATGTTTGAATTATACGCGTGATGGCAAAGCGTGCGCACGTTCAAACTTTCCCGCAAGGAATCGCTTCCGGTGGCGGCACTTCGAGTAAAAATTCACACCTCTTGTTCAATAGTTTTGTCTTATGACCTTTCAGGACATGCAATTTTTCCTGGAGACAAAGATCACAGTCTTTTTCGCCGCTGCGATAGGAAGGTGTTTGTTTTAGTATTGTCCATTTAATTAATGTTGAATCTGCGTTTCTCTTTCTTTAATTGCCAAATGTATTTGGATAGCTCGGTGGAATTTAGTTTGTCTGGGTTTTCGAACGAGGTTTTGTGATTCGCAAAGCGCTTTTTGAAGGTTGTCGAAGTCATGCCAATATATTTTTTGGTACTCTCCTTATCAACCTCGACTTCCGCTTTGTACACGACACTTTTTATCAGGTAATTCTTTTGGAGTGGACAATTGTCGGTGTTTCTGCAGTTACAGTTATCATTGCCATTCGTTGTTGGTGATGTAGCTGTCTTACTTTTGGACAGGATACCGATGTTATGTTTCGATATGACGCTTTTACAATTGTTCATACAGCTGTAGCTATTATAGACCTTCACCGAGTTCCTGTTAAATATTTCGTGTAGTGGATTTGATGGCGGAAAGTGCTTGTCAACCAAACTTAAGAAATTTCTACCTACGTACGTTGGTTCTTACGTTCGTACGTACTATAATGTGGATTAAACCAAATGATGTTACGTGATCACGTCCTGGTCTTATTGGAGTTATTCGGGGAATATTTCAAATGCGCTTGGTATTATTATTATTAGAATACTATTTTCTCTGTTAAATTCTTGATGTTGAGCACTCTTTTTACACTATACAATTGAAATTATATATATATATATATATATATATATATATATATATATATATATATATATATATATATATATATATATATATATATATATATATATAAGCTTCAATTTAATGTAAAATTCAACCACAAACGCTTCACAAAACATTTTAAAATGTTCTTTATAAGACTAAACTGCCGTTATCGATAAACGTTGAGTTTGAAATAAAATGATTTCAAATTCTCGCATGAAAATAACTTTACTTTTCTTGTTTAATTTAAAAATGTTAATGTATTAAAAAAGGTAATCAATAAAGATACACTGAAATTATATGCTCTCTTTTTCATTTAAAATAGGCCTATGGTGCTCATGCAGCGCCGTTGGCTCGGGGATGAAACAAATGGAGAAATGGCGTTGTTAGATTTGTGATTAAATTTCGGATAGTGTTATACAGTTGCGTAGAAACGCATAATTTATCCTTCCATTCGAAATACAAAGAAGTAATTTAATATGAAAAGCACTAACAAGATAACAAGACAACAAGATCCGAAGTGCGTGTGGGAAAGGTCTATGCCATACGAATTAAGTAGTTAAAAAGTCATTAATTAACTTCTGTTTCCTTGTAGACGGCCAAATTTTCTGGTCCGCTAGAAATGACAAATTAGTGGCGACCGAAGAGCCGACAGACTACTTTGTTTACCAGCCTCATCCTGCTGATGTGGAAATGACCGGCTATGCTTTAATGTCTTATCTGAAACGAAAAGAACTACTTAAGGATGTAATCAAGATAGTCAAATGGTTATCTAAGCAACGTAATGATTATGGTGGATTTTCTTCAACACAGGTTTGTCAGAAAATAAATTATGCATTGGAACAAAGACCGATCACACAGTAAAATTACCTCCGCTGAGTAAAATTATATCATTCGCTACAAACTGGCATTACATTTTGTAAATTAACTCAAGTTTGTAACATAGCCTAAAACTTGATCATTATTTCTGTGTTCCATCAAAATTTTTCTTCTACGTTTCCGTCCTCATTGGTATTTAGATGATTTCAGGCACTTTGTATTTGTATATTTACATAGTCTGTAAGTTGATGCAATGGCACATTATAGCACGTTTTCAAAATCTGGCCGATTTGGACAAAATTTTGTACGAGCGTTTAGTTGTAAGTATGGGCATGTGCTCAAACCTGGACGATGGACGTTCATCGTCCAGGTTTTAGCATTTGTATGGGCATGTGCTAAAACCTGGACGATGGACGATTTTTATTTGCAGTCAAAACACTGAAACCTGCACACGTCCGCTCTTGTACGTTGTTGTCATTTATTGTATATTTCGTCGTGTATTAATAATACATACTGATATTGCAATGCTTGTATCAAAGAATGGCTTTTCCGTAATATTCACTGCTGTCTGCATAAGTACTACTGAAGACACTAGAGTGTCGAGATCGGCGTTGGGTCTTGATTACAATTTAACTGGGCTTTGTAATCATTTATTTAAACCAGAGTAGCGAGCGAAACATGAATAAATTATAGTTAATAATAAATCAATATGTTATCATTCATTGTTATCGCCCATCTTCCAGGTTTTAGCATATGCTGCAAGTATGCAATAGGAATGTCAATATACTTTGAATGTCAATATACTTAGGAATGCGCTCTTACAAATTTTGCCAATTTTTATTAACCTTTATCCCGTCCAGAACGTAAAGCCATGATACATTGCGTTCCATAGCAAGCAAGCAATCACGTGCAATCTGTCGAAAGCACTCAACCAATCAGGTGTTCTCGCATACTTCAGCAACGTTAACAGCTGTCCCAAGACCAAACATATAAAAATTATCATGAACGCACTAGAGAATAACATAAGTGAGCACTTCCAGTGAAGAAATGTGTATACTTAGGTTTCTAACTATATCCCTAATGCAGGATACCTGTATCGCGCTACAAGCTCTGTCGGAAGTTGCCCAGAAAGTTTACACAAAGGATGGCCGGACGAACCTTGCTGTTTCTGCGAATATAAAGGATATTTTCACTCAAGATTTTACAGTCACTGGAAGCAACAAATTGGTATTACAACGAGCAGAAATTCCAAGCAAGCTTCTGCCAAATACCCTAGCTATCAGTGCGTCCGGAAACGGATGCGCTTTATTGCAGGTGAGCAAAGTTAATCTTTGTTCATTTTATATGTGTACTTCCATGCTCCATCAGTTTTGGATGTTATTTCCGAATGCATAAAGTAAAGGTTTTTCACAGCAATTGCATGTAATAAAATTCGCTTATATGATCAAATGACTGCATATCGCAGAGGTTCAACCAATTTTGCAGAAGTGAAAAGACAATGGCATAAAAAACGCATGCACTGATGAGAACAGAACAGTGCAGGAGAAAACATTATTAAGAATGGTGGACATGGGGTTTTGCAAATTGGATTATTGAAGGAGAGGCAAGTGTATACTGGCCAGGCACAATATGTTTTCCAAATTTCAAAACAATTAGTATATTCAAGTTTTGTGTGTGTTGGTACTCAGGTGAATATGATGTTTGTGATGTTACTTTGAGTGTGCATCCACACCAGGTAAGCTGAAAAGTTAGCGTCTCCACGGTGGGATTCGAACCCTCGACCTTTGGGATACTAGTCCATAATCAAATAATCATATCATAGAATATACTGATATCGAAGGAACTAGACTCAGTTCCCAAATATCATCAACTCGAACCGACTTGACCAGGTAGCTCAGTTGGCAGAGCATTGGAATAGTATCCCAAAGTTCGCGAGTTCGATGTTGGTGCGCAACTCTAATTAAAATAATTTTTATTACTTGTATTTTATTCCTTCAGACTAGTGTCAAGTACAACATTCCAGCCCCTGACGAAATTCCAGCCTTTAAAGTGGCCGTTTCTGTACATCGTCGTGAAGCGAGTGATGAAGAAGAAATCGCGGCATGCTATCCTCTGCAGTTGAAGATTGGCGCAAAGTTTGTACCATCTCATTTAAAATATTTCGTGCAATTTTTATTGTAGATATAAAATGGATGTATAAGGGGACGGTAGTTCTGCTTGCCTGATTCACTATAATCTCACGCTAAAACTCTAAAGTGCAAGCATGCAGCTGCCCGCGTTTACTCTATAGAGGAATTCCAAGGATATGCATGCATTAAAACCCAAAGCTGCATTAATAGTTAAGAGTTACAACAGATCCAAACACGGCATCGTATTCCCATGTAAATGCTATCTGTACTTGATACCTACGAAATCCATAATTTTGATGACTTATTGGCATAGGTTTTGAAGATACGATGGTCTGGAATTCTGGAAATTTCTAAACCAAAAAATAGAAGAGCTTTTTTATTTGGAACTGTACCTCGCCGTGCATAAATCCTTTCTCTAAGCTTCATTTAATATTATTCATCGTCGCTGCACGTCTCATCTCCGATCATACTATTGGACGATTGCTTTGACGAAAATACAATGGGCTCAGTCGCCGTTACTGTGCACGATTAAACAAAAACTCAGATAAAAACATAATGCAACGACTTCTGTAACTTCAGTTTCCATAGCATTATATCATGATAGACCAAGGGCTTTACGACCAATTTGTAAATACGTAAATTTATTTATGGTTTAAAGCACTGTCAAGGAAGAATAATTTTCTTACAAAATGGAAGTGAACATTTTTGACATCTCATGAATATAGTTATTTCACTGTGTAACGTTTTTCCACCCATGCGAACCAGGACGTGTTGGAAAATAGACTTCCATTTTATATTTTCATTTTTTTCAAAATTACGGTATTCTGAATACCAAATAAGGAGTGCATACAATTCTCATTAACTATGTTTTTAAGTTTTTTTCGGGCTTATAATTTTTTTTTTAAATTAACAAGTTTTAACATGATATTTACAAAATTAACTTTCTTCAGTTTTTTTTTAACTGTTAAATGTCCAAAAGTTTTGAATTCTTATTAAGAGTGTTAGTATGTTGTCAGCTTGGTTGTGGCTGAGGCAATTTCAATGTTCCCAGCGCCAAAAGTTTGTTTCTTTCTCAATGAGCGTGATCATCGAACACATACTATCGCCGAGCGAAGTAGAGCGAAGGATATCTTTGAGCGGAGCCAGTTCGTTGTTATACTGACAGTAAGTTTGCGCTTTTCAGCGATTGAAGATGCCAGTACAGAGATAAATCTTTCTATCTCTCCGCTACTTCCACCATAAGGTGTGAAGACCAAGGGTGTGAACGAACCATGTTCTATTTTCATAATTCTTTCGGCGTCGGCGCGTTTCTTCTCACGTTCGTTGGCGGAAAAAGCAGTTGATAACTTCTGGTTTCTGTAGCTAGGGGCGAAAGGATTAAACACCCGTACATCGAAGAATGCTCGTTGATCACGTTGCCAGAAGACACCAATACTGATATCAAGTCTTGCTTCGTCTTTCCCTTTTGTTGTTGCATGGAGTTGCTCACCAGTGGGAGGGAGAAGGTTTGGTCAATCTCCACGTCGTTAGAAATCTCGGTAGCCGTCTGCCCAGAAAGATCGCGGATTTCGTCTTGGCGTTGATGTACGAAGCCGCCTTTGAGACAGGACAATGCATGATCTACCGAGAACCGTTTCCCGCAAGCACAAGTAGTTGGAATAAACTTGAGCGGCCACCTGTATCTCATACGAATAGCGTCGTAGATTTCTCGTTTGTTGAGGACGTAGTTTTCTTCCCTTATTGGCAGTGACGTTAACCAGTTTGACGCTCCTTTCATTTGGGCAATCTCATTTGCACGTTTCTGGTCCCCGTTCATCCTTTCTTGCAACCCACGAGTAATCGTTTATGCTCCAGATATCTCAATCTTTTGATATCATTCTTTGTTGAGTGTTGACCAGCTTTCTTCGAGTATTCGTATTCTCTCTCGGCGATCTGGAAGAAAATGGGAATAGCAAGGCCACCAAAACGAGCAGGAAGACTAAGGAGTTTGCGTTCGTCGTGGGAGCAGTGATGGCATTCCGTTATGGCAGAAATGAAATAATGGTTTAGGATTTCATCGAATGGCTGCAGTAATGGACCGAGGTTAGGAAGCGTGTGCATGTAGTAGGTCAGTTTATGTTGAAAACCAGAAACAAATGATGCATACGCTGCCTGTGGTTCCGACTGCCCGATCTTTGACAACTTCATCAGCAGCTCACACCATTCTTTGATAAGTTCTTTCACATAGTTTTCTCCCGATTCCTTACTTCCACCAAAACCACCAAGATATGCACGTCCTGCAGATGTGATGTTAATATCAGTCTCCGCGAATATCTCTCTCGCAGCCTCTACTCTGTCCTCTTTCACAACTAACCAAGACTTCGAGGCTTTCGGGTAGTATCCCAAGAGAGGACCAAAGTAAACAACTTGATTCCACCACGTTCGCAAACACCCAAAGACTCCTGCAATACCGAGATCATCAGCATACGCTGCGTGCTTCACTTCCTCATCACTCGCAGTGCTAACATCATCTTCTAGAACTTTTATCATCTGCAGTAATGGTGCGATTCCAACTGTATACGCTGGCATTGCCATTGGATCTCCCTGAGTTGTTCCCTCTTGCGATAAGATTTCTTTGCCACCCATTACAAATAATCGTGACGGTGAGCCATGACAGTTTTTGACATACGTTGCCATAGGAGGACAATGATAGCGAATGTTATGGAGAAGCACTTGGCGAATAAGAGAATTGAAGGCGTTAGACGCATCAACGAGTAGAATGGCATCAGTTTCCTCTTCTTGGAAAATCCCGGAAATTTGTCAAGAGGTATCAAACGACATGCTACGTAAGCTTCTATTGAAGTTCTTTGGTACAGAGAATACGGGCCATCTCAGCAAGACTTGAGCGAAGTTCAGTCCCTGCAGTGCCAAAGTTTTTGGATACGAGTATTCTCCGCCAACCATCAGCATCTAATCCTGAAGGGCCGGCTGCACCTTTTGTATGTAGAGCTGCTCTGGCTATCGTCGACTCATCGATGATTGAAAACATGGCTGGATCAACAAATGGTACCTGTCCTGTGATTAATATTTCTCTATCTGCTTCCATAACTTCAGGATGTTTTGTTTTCAGTTCTCGTAATGCATCCTCTGATAACTGAAGAACGTCCGACGTTGAAGTGTCATCCAGTAATGACTTTACCAGAAAGCATTAAGTTAGCAAACGTACGAGAACCGTGTTCAGGCGATCTTGGCTTCCAAGTTGATTGGAGTCGAGACTGAATTGCTCCGCACTCTTTTAACAAAGCATTAAAATCTCCCAATTTCCACAAATTCGACCGTCTTTGTAAGCACTCACTATGTTGCTTACATTTAGATTTAAATGATGGTTTCTGAAGGAGTAGAGCAGGCATCACCATCACACTTTCAGGGCAACATCTTTCATTTCCATTGATTCTGAGTTCCACATGTTGATAAGACTAGTAGTTTCTGCAATGAACTTTTTTCCAGCTCCACCAGTAGGTAGCTTGAAAACATTCTTTCGCCAAAGTACAATTTCTTCATAGGTTGCGTTGAGAATCTGGTGTAAATCTTCTAATAAACCCCATACTTTGGGAATATTTGCTTCAGGCGAGGGCGTGTTATCATTGGCATTTTCAAATTCTATTTCGTTAGAAACAATGACGAAACTCTCTTGCTGACCACTGCAGGAAGATCCGAGTGCAGCTACATTTGACGATTTCAGCTATTTCAGACAATGATTCAGGTGCGCAGATCTGCCTCTTTGGGTTTGAAACAATCGTTTGCACAAGTTACACTGAAATCCATCAGCAAGGTTTAACGTTTTAATTTCCGTTGACATTTCCTGTATAGTACTGAGTTAAGCAATTGATTTAAAAAAAGCTATTTGGCTAAAATCAACTGTCTCTTCAATTCCAAACAAATCCAGCCCAGGATATTACGACTGTGTCCTTCTTCGACTTATAATTAGTTATTGTTCTAATTGAATTCTGATTAATTGATCGTTATGGCGCACGTGATGACGTGACGTTCGTTCGTTGATCAACCGTCCTACGAGCCTTTACATTTCCACTAACCAAGATTTGATGCCACAAAAAAAAATGATTTGCCAAACCAAATTCGCCAAATACTTTTAACGTTGTTGAGAACAAACTCCTTATCTAATGATTTCCACAATCTGGCAGGCCAAAGTAGCAAATACAAATCTATTTCTTTTAAATTTTATGGAGCAAAGAATTTAAATCATCATGCACGCTCCGATGACGTTCCTTAACTTCCTTAACTATGCTTTAAGTTACTTGTTGTAAGTAAATAGGTACCCTACTCACACTAAATTGCAGGTTTTATTTCCTTTATATAATCGACGACCATTTTTCACACGTTACTTTAGGTGGCTTAAAGAAAATGTTTCGAACATGGCAATAGTGGATGTTAAACTTGTCTCGGGATTTTCAGTGAACGAGAAAACTCTTCAACAAGTAAGTTTAGAAATTAATGTAATCAAGAATGCTCATGCATGCCAACATAATCCCTTATTTTTTATGATGTACATCATCGTTCAGCCATCTTGGAAATTATTATATGTGTCACTATATATCTATTCACATTCAGCTTGCATCTCATGAATTGTTCAAATTTGTACAACATGCATTAGGCAATATTTACTCTATGAAAGTAATTGCCCTTAAAAGGAGGTCGTAGGTCGCGCCGGATTGGTCCAGCCGTTCACCACGACACCGCCGAAGATAAGGGGGCAACCCCCCAGGAAGAGGAAGGGTGTATGCCCAGGATCTGATAACCAAAGATTAGGGTGCACGTGTCTGATAATATGAACGATAGAACCAAGAATGGATATGATTTCCATGTTGTAGTTGTACTCACAACATGCGCGTACATGCATATCGTTTGGACTATAATGAGAAGATGCGATGTATTTGTATTACGTATGGAAACCGTAGCACGCATAAAGATATGATTTTGTGTATGTTTGTGATGTTGAGTGTATCCATACCTGGCAAGAGCTGAAAAGTTTTCTTGACAGGAATGTAAATCAAACCCGCGACTTGAATTTTCCTCGTAGCATTGTTGGTAGAGCATTGGACTAACAAATCAAAGAGAGCGTGTTAAATTGCCACCGCAGTTAAGAAAACGTCTCTGTTTGCCTGGAGTGGACACACTCAAGGACAAAACAACAAACATGTATCTTTGCCTAAGTGTATAACACGAGAAACAGAAATATTAGTATGTGTATACATAGAGACTTTGCAATGTTTCGAGCATACTTGTGTAGCTTATCTGAGATTCAAGATATTCCACTGACATGCAGCAGGGTGTCTTCCTTTTATCCATGACTTCTCATATGGCTTCTCATAAATACTAAAATAAAACCTTTCTAGAAATTGAAACAACCAGAAATTGCTATTGAATTCTTCGCCAGAAATAATGAAGAGAGTGAAGCCATTTTAAAGCGTTATGAAATTGATGGACAGAATGTCATTCTTTACTTTGATGAGGTAAATACATTTATAAAATGAGAAAATCACTCGCCTTCGGCTCGTGATTTCGCGCGCTTAACTCTCGCAACATTCTCGCGTGTTTGGATCAGGCCATCCAAACATGGAAACCATAAAGTAATTGTATAATCGTGCCATTACATATTCTCAAACATAGTTCTCAACACAGGATGCGCATGTTTTCAATCCAAAAGATAAAAAGTAACAAAAGAAGCATATTTACCATTTTAGACTGTACGAATAGAAAATATATTGTCCATCTGGATCGATTCTGAAATATGGGGAAAAAATTTTTCAGGACATGCCTTTCAGCCTGTAAATAATATACGCGTAAAACTTATAGACGCGTGGACGACATATGCGCAAATAAGGCTTTTCATTTACCTTCGCAGCTAAAAACTATGAATTTCTCTCTGGATATCATTCAAAGTACATTGGTTAAAAAAACGAAGCCTGGTGTTGTAAAAGTTTACGATTATTATGACCCAGGTAAGGACTGCTTTTATATTTGTATACTTTTTATCACCATGCACCCATTAATCTCGACTACCCTGCAATAAACCGTCAGATTGTTTGAATTCCATAGGGGGAAATTATTTCAATTACAGCTCCATGCATTATTCTAACCGATTTCTAAGCCCAACCACAACCCTCACCTTAACATGTACATGTGAATGCATTTTGGAATTGCAGTCAGAAAGGTACACCAAATGTATAGTTCGTTTCGTATTTTAGCAACCGCACGTCCGTACCGACGGCCTTCCATATATGTCGTGAACATTTTAGCACCTAAGGATCCATTATTGTTGCTAAGGAATGCGACTGTCAAAATATTAGTTCCGGTTGAAATTGTTTAAATTATTAATACAAATTTGAAATTCCCTCAGTCGAGCTATAGCAATATTTGCTCAACATTTGCAAACTAAATCGTTGTTACCTTGCAAAGTCTTAAATCACTTTCTTGTGATTAATTAATAAGTTAATAAAGTTAGTCGAAATTTTCTATTGCATCGTTTGATTAATTTTCTTATGTGCATGTAATGTCATTATTTCTTGTAACATTTCGTGCTATTTCTAGTTTGTTCAGTTGATTGTTTACGTTATTTTTGACAAAAAGCCATTTCTCTCCTGTGATTAATTTATTTTAGAAAGCCAGGCCAAAGTCATGTACAAGATCACGGAGAAAGACTGCTATGGGGAAAGAAGTAAGCTTGTTCGCATATCTCTTTTTTTCATTCATACCGATCACAAAGTTAATTAAATCTAGATAAATGATTTCAATAATCAAAAAATAATTTCATTTTTATTGCATTAATATGCTTGACGTGACAGCTTAACAACAACATGGAAGCACGATAATTAATAGCATTGAAATGGTTATGAGTTCAATGTTAAAAAGTGAAAGATGGATTTTGCATTTCAGGATGCGATGTGACAACGAAATACTGAAAAAAGGATCAGTTTATCTATCTTTAAAATAATTAAATACAAAACAAATACATACCCCACGAGGTTGTTTTATCATAGAAATAATCATCAAAAACGTATCGTAAAAATATTGTATTTTATACCCCCTATTTTGCTTCGGACGAGTTATGTATTTGAATTTAATTTCATATGTATCGGTATGAAAATCATAGTTGAATGACTTATACGTTGACGACGAGAAAATAACTTTAAATCATTGAATTAAATTTATCGTGAAATAGTACTCATATATACTATTGCGCGGTAATAGCATCAGTACGTAATAGTAGGCGTTCCTTTATGTGGCAGAAAAATGGAAATATAAATACAATATCACGTGATCATTATCAGCCAATTAAATGTCTAGAACTTAACGAGGTGTTGTATTTTGAATATTAAACAACAGGTTCACATCCTGTAGTCCTACATAACATAATTATGGAAACGAATACCAAATAAATAATTCACGAATTTGCCCTCGGCATGAAAAAGTTAAACCCATGAGAAAGTCTTGCATCCTGTAATTAGTTTATGGCGTTAGATCTGGCTACACGGAGCTTATATGTTACATTATGTCTTTCTCTCTAGTCGAAAACGAATGTCCCAAGTGTTTATCAGTCGACGATTTTGAAGATCTCTTTGACAAAAATATCAACTGTACTAGTTACCGTGAGTACACCACTGATAGCCCCATGGTTATATTTTCTTACGTCATTTTGCATCAGTTTAATTATCTTGCTTCACTGAATATAATCCTCTGACATGAGATTTAGTAATGCGTATAGTATGAACAGCCTATTTTTGTCTGAGATAGAGCATGTACCTGGACGAAATAATATTTTCTTGTGAGCATGCCCTCAACACCCCTTGGTTGAGCCCCCTTCACCCCCCTCCCAAAAAAACACCAAAAATTACCCCTCACCTTAAGCGTGTTTATATATATTCAATTCCTCTGAACCTTTGCTTCCGACGGCACTGTGCATGCATGGTATCGTGACAACAAGAAAAATAAAAAGTAGTTAAAATTGGAAGAAATCATCTTTTTGCTATTGCAGTAACACGAGTTAAGTCTATCGGTGGCCTTTTGACAGTGAAAAAAGCTTATATTAAAGCTAATTATTCTCAAGAATATGCAACGGTTCCCTATACAATACCTGAATTCTGTCTCTGTGACGAAATCAACAACGGCGTGACGTCATTGGTGTTTGGACAAAGTGATTATTTCCGAAAGAATGGGGAGGATATCTCCCTCGTGTTCGACTCTGGTACAACAATCGCAAAGTGGAATGGTGAGAAAATGAGAAACATATTCAGAGAGAAGATGGTGCAGGAAATTTATCAGAAATGCTGGCGTTTTTTCGAAGGGTAGTTGGATGTTCAAAGTGGACTGGAAATTTTACTTACAACATTTTCTTGACTTTTGATTAAATCACTTATGATTAAACTTGTCTTTTATGTATTTGTCTATGAAATGAAAATAAATTACCTCAGATTTAATTGAATATTTGTTTCACATTATTCTTAGTGTTATATAACTGTACGCTCTTGGTGCATCATGTCAGTCTAATTTTTGTGTGTTGAGCAATGGAATTAAGAAATTGTGCCGAAAATATTTAGAACGGATATTTCGGCTGGAAATGCTACCACCTGCTACGGCGGAAATGCTAGAGTTGTATACAAGGCGGGAAAATATACATTTGCCGTTGTCAACAGAGCTTGTGCGACGTCTGAAACACATGCTTTTAATTATTGATTTCTTGGCCATGCAATATAATTTATTCCACTGAAGGGCTTGAATCCGGGTTTTGCCATTAATTTAGTTTATTGTACGATCATCCAGATTACATTTTTAAAAATTATTTCTGACGTTTCGGCTACCTACAACGCAGCCATTATCAAAGACGTATTACAGCTACAAAAAAAATTACAGTAATAATAATTTTATCTTGCGTTAAAAATGACGTGCGCGTGTTCGTGATGTTGTTTGCTCGCCCGGCGTTCAAAGCATGAGAGCCTGCATTCATGCGTGATTAGTCCAGCGTATGCTCCTGGCATATCGCGGCGAACGTAAATTACGGAGCATACGCTGGACTAATAGCGCATGAACGCAGGCTCTAGCTAATGCCTTCAACGCAGGCGCGAGCAAACAACATCACTAACACGCGCACGTCATTTTTGACGCAAGATAAAATTATTATAACTGTAAATTTTTTTGTAACTGTCATACGTCTTATGATAATGGCTGCCGTGTAGGTAGCCGAAACGTCAGAAAGAATTAAAAAAAAATTATCCGGATGATCGTTCAATAAACTAAATAATTTATTCCATTGTATTGATAGCCGTCGTCTTGACGTCGCCGTCTAACATGCATTCATTCGATATTAATTAACATGCATATCCACACCTAGGGCAATGTTATTTCAACTATAAATTTACTCATTACCCTGTATTGTATGCATAATTTATTTTTCAAAAGTTAACTAAATTATTACAACATAAATTATCTAAATTATTACACCATAATAATTATTATGATGTATTTCGGACTTTATATAGATTTATTGCATATAATACATTTGTTCACGTGTTTGCACAAGTGTGACCTCAATTTGTAAATGGAGTTAGACTGATAACGATTTGGAAATTGAATCGAAATGTTATATTATATAGCATGTCTTCTTGTTGATAATTCATACCACAGAATAAAGATCAGTAACAGAAGGGCCACTCAGCGGTGCAACATGTCCTCGTTTTTTATGCAAAAATATGCAGTTTACTGGCTAGAAGGCGGAGCAGCCAGCCAGTACAGCGTGTTTATTGGCCAGACAATGTCATTGACTGGCTAGGGAAATGGCGGCCAACATGCGTAATGCGACATGCGCGAGGCCCTTCTATATGGATCTTTATTCTATGAGTCATACCGTGAGCGCACAATCTGCTAAATTTCCTTACTATCGTGCCTTCTAAAAATAACACACACTAGGTTACTATAAACCTATTAGTAGGCTGTCATTTATCTTGAGTTCTGAATGGCTACGCTACTAGTGGGCTATCAGTGATTGCCTACTGGTAGCAAGAAGTGGCAAACGGCGCGAGCCGTTTTTAAAAGTCAAAGTAGTCGTTTTGTACTACACACAAACAAAGACTCTTGGAAACTGCTGACACATGCGGTACAATTTTAAGTTTTCTCAATTTTGCTAGTAGGATTGAAAACGAAAGGGAGAGGCGATTTTTAGATATGTGGACAATATAATGTTTGTTACATTCTGTTAGATTATGTAATTTATTGTTGTAAAAGAAACTAAAAGGTTCACAAAATATAGTTTTCCCGCTTGAAAACAACAACTACACCGATAATGGCGGATCTAAATAACGTTCAACGAACGTATAGTCACGTGTCCGATGTACTGTATATATTAACTGTATTACGGTACTTTATGCTAATTTATGCTAAATAATATCAACCATATAAATATAGTTTAAACTTTAAACACTAAAAGTACTTAATCTCAACACCCCCACTCAGACTCAGCTCGTCCTTAACTATGATGAGTCTGACGTGTTGTTGATGTTCTTAATTCCCTAAGAGTACTGTTCTGTGTTTTTCCACTTTCACTCGAGGTAATGATTTCGTCAGAATGTCCGCAGTCATTTCTTCGTTTGGAACATAAAGTATCTTTATTTCTTTATTTTCTACCCTTTCTCGAATGAAGTGTAGCTTCGTGTCGATATGTTTTGACCGTTTATGCATCACGGGATTGTGACACATCTTAATGCAGGATTGGTTGTCTTCTCCAATATCTGTCGCTTTCTCCATTGGGAAACCAAAATCCTTTAGTAGAGCTCGTAAGTAGATTGCTTCTTGTGCGGCAGCCGCCATGGCTTGATATTCCGCCTCCGCTGTTGATAAGGCAACGGTTGCTTGCTTCTTTACCTCCCAACTGATGGCACCTCCATTTCCTTCGAATTTAAAGTAGTATCCAGTTGTCGATTTGCCATCGTTGAGATCTCCACTCCAATCTGCGTCCGAATCGCCAACAATATCACAGCTGGAATTCTTCAAAAATGTTAATCGTAAGTCAGTAGTTCCTTTGAGGTATCTCAGAACGCGCTTTGCTGCCTTCCAATGTGATTCGTCAGGTTTATCGAGAAATCGTGACAGCTGATTAACAATATTTAGAATATCTGGACGGGTTTGTTTGCCAATGAATAAAAGAGAGCCAACTAAACTTCATACAGCTTCGGATCTACTAATTTCTTTCCTTCGTTACTTTTGACTAGCTTTAGATTTACTTCTCCGGGTGTTGCTACAGCTTTGCAATCACTCATGTTAAATTCTTGGAGAACAGTTTCGATATACTTCGTTTGATCCACTGTAATCTTGTCGTGCGATCGCAGGATTTGCATTCCTAAGAACCAGTTTAGGTCGCCACGATCGTCCATCTTGAAATTTTCATTTAACATTGATTTAATTACGTTAATTGCTTCTTCGGTCGCTCCAGCCACTACTATATCATCTACCCAGACTAATACATAGGAAAATGTTCCATTTTCTTCCTTTCTTACAAATAGGCAATAATCGTTGCAGCTTCGTTTGAATCCTTTCTTGAGAAGTAGACTTGTCAGAGCTTCATACCAGTTTTTCGCAGCTTGTTTTAGACCATAGATTGATTTGTTCAATTTGCACACAAGCTTTTGTCCTGAGTTTGCTTTCTTGACAAAACCCTCTGGCTGCTCCAGATAAATATCTTCTTCTATTTTGGAATGAAGGTAGGCTGATTTCACGTCCATCTGACCAAGATATAAGTCCTTTCGTGCTGCAGTTGCTAATAGAATTCTAAAGGTTTCTGGTTTGCATGTTGGAACGTATGTGTCAAAGAAATCTATGCCTTCGATTTGAGCATAACCCTTTGCTACGTATCTTGCCTTGAGCTTATCGACTTGGCCGTTTGCTCAATACTTTACTTTATACACCCATTTTCCAGGTAAGACTTGTTGATCTTCTGGTTCATCGACTAATGTCCAGGTATTATTGTCCATTAGTGACTTGTACTCTGCTTGCATAGCTTTTCTCCAGTTTTCTGCATGCGGTGAACGAATTGCGTCATTATACGACCTGGGTTCTTGTATGTTTTCCTCTTTTGTTATGTTAAACGTGTAGGGTAATCCATATCGTTCCGGGGGGCGACGATTTCTGCTTTCTCTGGGGAGTGCGACTTCGTCTTCCTCAGGGTTTTCTTCGACTTGATGTGGATTTTGAACAACAGGTGTCTTATCATTTTCCCCCACTCTAGCTTGGACCGATATCTTTGTGGCTTCGTCATTCGAGCGATCATCTTCAAAATCCATGTTTGGACTCACAAGGTTTGGGTTGTCTGGACTCATTGTTTCTCTGGCTGAGAATGACTGGATTTCGTTCTCTTTGAAGATGACATTACGTGCTTTGATGACTTTTTTCGAGTCGAATTCTTGCAAGATGTAGGCTGTGCTTTTGTCATCATAACCGATAAATTTGGCTTTCACCGATCTCGAATCCAGCTTTTTCATATTGATCTTTCTTTTCATAACTGCCGTGCAGCCAAAAACTCGTAGGTGGTTGCGCCTTGGTGGTTTTCCGGTAAAGAGTTCAAAAGGACTCTTTCCTTGGTTGCTATTGGCAGTTACTGTAAGATTTCGTATGTGAGCTGCTGTAGATAAGGCTCTTACCCAGTAGCACTTTGGTAACTTGGCTTGGATTAACAGAGATCGTCCCATTTCAACTACAGTTCGATTGAAGCGTTCTGCAACTCCGTTCTGTTGTGGGGTTTCTGGAACAGTAAATTCTTGCTTTATTTTTGAGTTTCTGCAGTAATCCTTGAATTGCTTCGATGTGTATTCAGCTCCATTGTCAGTTCTCAGTCTTTGAGGTGTTCCGTATTCAGCTACATACTCTTTAAATTTTTCAAAAGCTTGGGATTTCTTGCTCATAAACTTTACGATGGAATGTTTCGAGTATTCGTCGATAAATGTAATCGCATATCTAGATCCACTGAGGCTAGGTACTTCAAATGGACCGAGTATATCTGAGTAAACGAGTTCGAGAACTTTCTGCGACTTGTTCTGCGTTTCTTTCGGTACAGGTTTACTAGATTGCTTTCCAAGTGGACACGTTTCGCATACTTCCTTCAAATTATCTTCACAGCCAATGGTGCGTTTGACGTCACCCTTGTTTAAGTGTCCGAACCTTTGGTGCCACAGATTAATACCTCCTTTGATTGCTGCTTTATTTGTGTTGTAAGTGGTAGAATGACGTGCACTGGACCTTTGAAAGGTAATCTTCAGATAAAATAAACCACTGTCTTCAGTGAGATCGACTTGTGGACCATGATTTAATCTTAACTTTGCTTCACTTTTATTAAATACGAATTTGTGTCCAAATCTGACGGATCGATTGACAGAAAACAGGTTCACTTCATAGTTTGGCACATAAAGTACGTTTCGTAGAACCATTTCTTCCTCTTTTCCATTTTTCAGATGAAGCTTTACTGGTACATCACCAATTCCTTCAACAGGAGTAAAATTTCCCTTTGGATCTTTAACATTTTTGATGCTGCAAGGTTGTAAGTTTTCAACAAGTTCCTTTTGGCTAATGATGTGATCAGTACAACCAGTATCGATAATGAGATGGTTTGGTTTGCCAGTACCACTGCTTGTTTCAGTACCACTGTTCATACATTGAGAATATGATGCAAATGAGTTGGGTTCTTTTGTGGATTTATCAGGTTTACTTGAACCTCTGCATGCTTTTGGTAAATGTCCCTTTTTCTTGCACTTTGAGCAGTAAGCTGAACTTCTTTTACTACATTGCTTGGCGAAATGTCCAGGGTTTCCGCATACAAAACAATCTCCCTTCGGCTTGGTTGGACCTTTTTTTCTTCCTGACGTATTTCCAGAATACATAGCTGTTGCACTATCTTCTTTTGCTTGATTTCTTTGTAGTCGACTATCATCATAATTTTGTAAACGTGTTCGTAATTCGGTGAAATTTGCTGCAGGATTAAAACTTTCCTGTACGATGAAGTGCTCATATTTCTCTGGAAGTCCGTTTATAACTAAGGCATTGAATAGTGTTTCTAATATCTTTTCACCAGCTTCGGTTAATCGAGACATTAATTCTTGCGCTCGTATAAAATATTCGGATAATTTTTCATTTTCATTTAACTGTAATCGAGAAATTTGACGAACTAGACTTACTACAGTTGGCTTTTCCACGTTGGAATATCTCTGTTGTAGCAAACGCAACGCCTTTGCCCCGTCCCCAACACCATCTGATGACAAGCAATCATGTCTTATATATAAGAGACTATTATTGTCGAGGGCTAAAGCAATATGACACATTACCGTATTATTTCTTTCTTTAATTTCTTCGATTTGTTTATTTTTTTGTTGAACTTTTGCCTCCCATTCGGCCTTCTGCTCGTCTGAAGCATCCCCTGCTAGCGGTGCTATCTCTTCTGGTACGACTTCTTTCCCGAGAAGCGCTTTGTATAAACCTTTCGTTTGCATATACGCGGTGAACTTTGTGCTCCATGCTGGGTAGTTTTCAGCTTTTCCGTTAAAAACTAACCATTTTATCGTTTGGCTATCCATTACCACGATCCTGGGCCCATAACCTGTTAGATTATGTAATTTATTGTTGTAAAAGAAACTAAAAGGTTCACAAAATATGGTTTTCCCGCTTGAAAACAACAACTATACACCGATAATGGCGGATCAAAATAACGTTCAACGAACGTATAATCACGTGTCCGATGTACTGTATATATTAACTGTATTACGGTACTTTATACTAAATAATATCAACCATATAAATATAGTTTAAACTTTAAACACTAAAAGTGCTTATCTCAATACTATTTAACTACGAAATATAATCTACGAAATAGTGACTAAAAAATTGATTAAGAGTTTTATACAACCGACCCCTGCTCATTGCTGATCAGTTGTCAAGTTATGTGCAAGAAAAGGCTATATAATACTGGCCAAGTGTTTCCTGATGAATTAGTATGAACATTCAATAAGTTTTTTTTCAGAAAAAGACGTATATTTCAGTATTTTGAAAAGTGAACTTTGTTGCATCATTTGGAATAAATACAATAGCTGCAGGTATTGTTTACGAGCTAAATGCTTTAGTTTCTAGCCTATTCAATCAAGTTTGTCAACTGTTTAGCATAAATATGGCATCAGTGCTTATATTGCTAAAATTTAATACTGTTTACGATAGTTTTTCATGCTGGAAAGCGTTTTTTACTTGTCCTACTTTTTCGCACTGTTGTGACAGAGCAACTAAAATTGATTGAGTTTTTACTGCTTTTAAGTGCTTTTATTCTTCTATCTTCCCAAGTTTTCCTGATTTTAAACAGTTGTTAATATAATTTCAGTTCAGTTTGCTAAAATGTTTGTCTTGGTGAAGAATACTAGCGTTATTGAAGTGGTTATTAACAATGCTTGCAGTTTTGTTGATTTGTTATGGCGACCGAAAGTATATATTTGTCAAAAATTAACACGTTCAAAATTTAGCGAAATACATGCAGAAAAACAACCTTGTCAATGAAAAACCTTTAACTAGAATCACTAAACAATACATGTGGAACAAAATAGGATGATTTTTATCATGCATACTCTCATATTTTTTTCAAAAGAAGCGTAAATCTGTGACGTTCTAGAGAGGACGTGAAAATTGTATTTTCGCGTCGTGAAATCGTCCAAGACGACGTGGCAAACCAGAAGCTGACGATAGTTGGCGCCAAATGACGACATCCACGTCGTCTTTGAGGTGGCGTCGTCTTTTCTAAATCTGTCTAATGTTTTCACTCGCCTTCGTAGTACTAGAACGAGCAATGAACTCTATATTTTTTTAACAGGAGCGATAACACTTGGGTGCTGCTTATATGATCTCGGATACTAAGGACACCCTACCTCCCGAGACAACTTTACAGCACGTTTATATAGTCCTGGCACTGTATCCCAAGAGAACCATTATGGCTCTAAGTACGAGATCATGTGACTCCTGAAACATGCAGTTATTTGTTTGAAGGCCTGGGAATCAGGGAATGAAAAGTTATCCCTGGAGGCCGAGACACACTGTTTACATGAACAAAAGTTGTCCCTCCTATAAGGGTAACCCTGTTTCGTAAACAGGGTGTCCCTACCGCCAGGTTGACCCTATACCAGCCGAGACGAGTTGAAAACGTTCTATATAAACACTTGCGTTTAAATGTTATATAATGAATATAATTTTGCCTCTCCCAGGGTAGCTCGGGGAGTAGGGTGTCCCTAATACCCGAGATCATATAAACAGCACCTTGTCATCTGGGGCTGGTTGTACCTAACTATGGTTGTACAAAGGCCCGAAAGCACTAACCACCCGATACTCGATAATGATTTTTCAACCTTTGAAAAGCTATCAAAATAAGGAGATCGAACTCCCAGTTAATAAAAAGAAACTTAATTTATAAATACTATAAAGTTTAATATGAGTTATACCAACAGACAGACAATTTTAGAAAGCTTGAAAATCATTATCTGGTGGATAGAAGGCCAGAACGCGTCACTCCTCCACGCCATTCGCACGTATGGTCCGTAGGTCGATAGACCACAGCAAGGCATGCAAGGTTAACGGAAGTCTTTAAAGCAAACCATATTTATAAATATGGAAATAATTTTCTGGAAACCATGTCTGGATCAATAGAAGTTTTATTTTCTAAAGTTTTGATTTGAACGAACATACTGAACATGCTGAAATACACAAACCAAAACATGCAGCAGATCCTATTTTAACCCAGGATTAGCACTAATCCAGGAGGAAATATTTATGTCACTATTAGAAAGTAATGACCTAAAGCAAGTTTTCTCCGTTTGTTTGTTCAAAAGTCATACAAATATACATGAGGTAAGCTGTTTTAAAATCAGACATTCAAGTTTTGGAAATTTTACACTACCATACCAGAGTATAATTTGCTGCATGTAAAATTACTCTAAATTACATGCGCAATCAAAACACGCCATCACATATTTGCATTACTCGGGCACGGTAAACTGTGAAGTACCACGATCCTATATAAACACGTTTTGTGAATTGCTGGATGTTATTACTAGTAATCACACACAGTAACTGACTGAGAGGTAAAACTCCGCAAAAGAACATTTAACAAAGCTCAAGTAAATTTTATACTTTCCATTGAAAACACCCTGCAATGTTAAAATTTAACCCACTGACGCTGTTCTGGTTTGCATACATCACTCTGCAAATCCGCGTGTTTTTTAACTACTTTAGAAAATAATACTTCTATTGATCCCAGATAGATTCCTGGAAATTAAACTATTCCCATGTTTATAAACAAGCTGTTGGGAGGATTTCTGAAGTATTTCATTAACCCGGGATTAACCTATAACCGGTTTTTCAACAACCTGCCCTATGCGAGGCTATATAGTTAAACGTGATTGGCTGATCAGATTATCAAAACGTCTTGGTGGTCAAATGCTCTTGACAAACATTGAAGTTTGAAGCGAGAACATTTTGACAATGTTTTCAGCTGCGACTTTCATTCTTAGCGGCAAAGATGATATTTATATAAATCGTTACTTGATCAGTCATATCACTTTTTTATTAAGACACTTTAATTAGGACACTTGAAGGTGCGCTCCGACAAATATATCACAATATACATACACAATCAAGACCGCATTATACTTTATACAAATTAAAAATGTTCAGTTTATGAAGTCGGCAAACGTTCGCATCGCCTGCTCATCCACCATGACTAGACCCAGAAAAAGGTACCTAAAATGTTCCTTCGACCCTGTGTTTGCCAAATTTAGTTAGAAGTTCGCGAAAACATTATGAACAATGAACAAATCTAGTGTGATTCCTTAAGCTTCGTCTTTTAAGCGAAAATTAAAAATGTTCCTCAGTCTTCATGCTAAAGCCTGTTTCCCACTGTACTCGTATCGTAAGCTATTACCAAAAACCCGGATCCTTCCTTCATGTTTTCGTGTCGAAATATTCAGGAATACGACTAATTCGTGAAATCTACATCTGATTGGACTGCGGGAAATTGTCCTGAAATTAGCTATTAACAGTTATGTCGTAGATATCTTAGCAGTAGGAATGTGATCGCATTCCTGATTGTATTGAGACGTTTTTTCGGATGAGAGGAAGGAATCGCGATTTTAGTAATAATGCCATTAATTCTACCATAGAATAAGAAATGAATAGAAGGGCAACTTGAGTCGGAACCTTTGAAGTTTTTGAAGCCGCGCATGTCGCCTCGCGCATACCGGAAATTGCCCGCTCTAATTACTCGCAGCCAGTTAAGCCAGTCGATTTATTAGAGATTTGTATTGCAGAATAGCCATTTGGCTGAATAAATCGACTATTTTTCGCAAACGAACGATTCAAATTACAAACCACGGCCGCTGGTTGTAATTTGAAGGTTAGTGAATACATTTCTGTTGGTTATGAGCTGTTAAAGAATTGCTAAATGCGAAATTTAAACGTATAAACACATGTTGTTTACTTACAAAGTATAAAGTACAGTATATTAACATATGCTGGTTTGGTTTATTTATTGGAAAAATTCTATGTCTTCGAAGTAATATTGTAGTAATAGGAATGAATGTTAATTCATAATCATGATATTTTAATTACATAAATAAATAACATCATTTTCTGATATTGTTTGTATTTGTAGTTCAACATGTCAGACACAGACAGACAACTTCCCACACGAAATAAATTTGATTAATTGCTCGCGACTTTGAAATTTATACTTTTTTAAATAAAATTTGATGCAATCCAAAACCTGTCCTGATAAGATTTGACATAAACCTCGAAAATCGAAATAAATAACACAGTATACGCGATTGGCTGTCAGCATTTCATTCAGATTCAGACTGTAGCTCACACAACAATATCAAATTTCTCCCTAAATATTCGTTTCTTTCTATGCTAGCCACAATAATAATTTAGGCTTACATTGCCTCTGCAGGCAGTTGTAGTAGTTTGATATTCCAATCCTTTGTTTCCGAAAAATAGTCGATTTTGTGATCAAAATGTACATTTCGTAATACAAATCCCTATTGCACTGACTGGCTTTACTGGCTGCGAGCTTGAGAGATCCCGCGCGTGCGCACTGAAATTGGTTACGCGTTGTACGCGCGAGTTGCCCTTCTATTCATTTCTTATTCTATGGTTCTACTCTACTGCTCATGAAAAAAGAAATACGCAACATTTCGTTATGATACGGTTGACGAGGAAAACAGGCTCGAGGAAAAGGTTCGCCAGAATACAGGATCTCAAGACCCCACTTTTCCCAGGTCTGTCTATGTCATGTTTATCTAAAGGTAGTACTCTTTGCCTTTGTCGCCCTCTGGTTCTTGGTCACAAGGTTTGGTAACTAGTGTTAAATTGTCAGTATCCCCGTGAATGTTTTCTGCAGATCCCTCGTGTGTTTGGTACACACCCTTGTTACGTTTCAGATACCAGGTGATGAAGAACACCACAATTAATATGATGAGTAATATCAGGAACACCACCACAATCGCTATAATCGCCGAATCGTCGTTACCACCACCACCATCATCATCATCATCGTTGCCTGTGTTATTGTTCTTCCCATGACCATTAGAATTAACACTAGCAGAATGACTAGCAGTGGGATTCGTAGTTACTGTGGGATCAACGATCGGATCAACTTGGACCGTCGGATTACTACACTGTACTTCCTGGGGTTTTGCTGAACAACCTTTCTTTACGAATTCCTTCACTTTGGCCTCTGTTATCATCTTAGTGTAGTCTTGACCATCAACAGTCTAGAAACAATACAACATGCTGTCCGATTAGGATTGCATTCAAAATAATTTCTTTAAATTTCATACATCCCCCCTCCGTCACGCATAAGTCGATAACCTTTTTGTGTACCTGGGACCGCCAAAATATTTAAAATGTGCCTGCAAAATATCTGACTGTGTATGAAAAATGCTACCGCAAATCAAGACGTAATGGGCTACAAATTACCATATTACTGGGTAACTCGATTTCGTCCGTTATGACCCGAGAATTTTCTCCAATTTATTAAAATTAACTACATTCAATAATAAAACTAAAGTCTTGACTTTTCTTTTAACTTTTGATCATCTGACGTTTAGGAACTTCAAATGATTGAAGCTGGGTATGTCCAGACTCCAGACGTTCGTGAAAAATAGGTACGCAATGCGTACATGTATCTGTGAAAAACTGTGATTCACATTTTGTATTTTCTTGAAAGGAACTGAATAATGAAGATGACATGGGACAATTGAAATATTTCATCACTTATTATAATAAACACAATAGCAAATAAGACTTTAGCAGAGGGCAGCAAGGACAATTCCCCCCGCCAATTATGATTTTAATGGATAATTATGCAGTCAAGAAATAAAAATTTCATGCAAACAATATTTGAAGTGTCTATACAGCCAACAGCCGGCTATTTAGTAATAAGTAAACCGTCACTTGTCAAACCATGAATTTTCAAAACTTTTGAAATCAGATGAAGCAAAAGTTCTGTTTACACTTGCCAATGTTAACTGTTGAGTAACATACACAAACATGCATTACTGTAGCAAAGAGTCAATAATAGATTGAAGACCAATGAATAGTAGAGAATGTTTTGAAGGTCATGAGTGAAGTATATATTAATTCAATTCCAATCCTGTGCACAGTTAATGATATACCACATGTCATTGTTCACTTTAACACAACATACCCACACAAAAACAATTTTTGTTGTGGGAAAATATCGGTTTGAATAAAGGTATCACAAGTTTAGTTTTGTACATTGTGTACCATTGATTTGATCCATCCATATATGATTATTGTAGCTGTTAAGTTATTTTTCATACTAATGCAAGTGGGTTGTTCTGACAAAATTATCTAGCCAATATCCAGCTTATTCATCATTCTTGTATTAATCTCTAAACAAAAACATTTATGTTAGAAAGCAAAATGACAATGTAATGAGGAGGGAGGGTGGGGATCCTTTTATTAGCATTTGAAAATGTTTGTAAAAATTTTGTTTAATTTTGAAACTCTAATAGTCTATAAACCAAAATGTATAATTAGTATTTTAACTGATAACATCTTAACCTTTGCTCTAACACTACATTAGACAACAGCTTAGTTGGACTGCTGTTTTGAACAGAGTTACAGAAATACAGGACCAGGTTTAATTCAATATCTGAGAACATTAGTTTCCTGTGATATTGTTCATTGGCAATATTGCCTGCTATGTTTTGACACAATGATTGTTTTTAATACTGTATAGATGTAGATAATAAAATATGTGGTATTTGACTACTTACCAGATGAGGATAAGTTCCCATGTTGATAGATAACTTAGGAATAATATCGCAAGTAGAATTGTGAAAACAAGACGGCCAATTCAAGATTAAAATCAAGATATTTTTGAAGCCAAAATGTGAAAATGACAAAGAATATTCACGAATCCCAAGGCCAAACCACAGATGGCCAAACGATGCCCGTTCGCAGGTTAGATGCGGGCACGATGTAAACAATTGATGTAAACTAATCGCTGATTGGCTTAAATTATCATGAATTGGCTCAATTATATAAGCTCGTCGCTGAATGGCTATGGGTAACATTAACGGCACGTTTGCGACAGCAATATATCTGCTTCGCAGATACAAAAACGATGAACCGAAATTTAGGTGTTGTCAGTTAACAAAAGGTTTTACCAGTTGTAACAGATTAAGAATTCATATTTCATAGCAAAAGAAATTTTAAAATAAGAACTATAAAAAAAGACATGATGGTCAAATTCTACATATTATATTTTCTGTTTCTAAAAGCACTGGAGAAAATGTGCCTGCAAGGAACTTGTTTCAATTCTGATGTTCCCTGCGACCGTCGGTCACAACTTTACCGACCCCTGCGCCAAAGCGTAAAACCAAAAAGGTTTGGATAATACCCCCAAACCAACTCATGTTAAATTTATATGTACAGTAAGTCATACACCATGGCTGAATTTTGAGGGGAGGTGCGCAAAATTTATGTACCTCCCCTTCTTAACGTCACTAAATTTTTAGAATACACTTGTAACAAAGTGTTTCTATAAAATTGAAAAAGTGGTAATAAAGCAAGAACTTCTGTGTCAATTACCCTTTTTTCCAAACGAAACTATTGTGACGAAGGGCGAAATTGAACGAGTCGTATAGCCATGACTCATGAATACATTGATAGATATGTACATTTTAATATTATACCTCAAATTCAAATTGTCCAATCAAGAAAAAGTATTTGTACCACGTGACAATGTGATTTTTACGGTATTTCACTCAAATTCATGACTTCGCAACGTAGCGTGAGATACTATAATATCCCACGGTGGATCTACCGTGGGATACTATAGTATATCACGCTCAACACGTGGACACCACGCGCTGAAACAATATGGCGTTTGTTACTGTTGTTTGTTTGTAATTTCCAGCGTACAAAAGATTTGAGTTAACTAAAGATTTTGAAGAGGTATGTTACCTTCAATGATCCAAAGTATACAGGTTCAAATATTTTAAAGAGAAAACGTCCAAAAACTCAGGTGCTTAATTATTCAGCAAGTTTATTCTCAACTTAATGGGTTCTTTAACTTTCGGTATAATATATCATTTATAAACACTCCGTTCGAGGGATTCGTCAAAATATTACCTTCAGTGACGATATTTAATATTATCACTGAGGGTAATATTTCGCCGAATTCCCCGAGCGGAGGGTCTATAAATGATAAGAGTCATACGCCAACGGTTTTAAACATTTTAACAACAAATATATTCAACATACATATTATACATACCAAATCTTTAACACATCCAATGAAAGTATTACACCGTTCTGGACTACCCAGTATAAGCTTAGGTCCCACATTAACAGGTAGTGTAATTTCAAATATGGGTTTCCTCACACCGTCAACAGCAGCGTAAATTGTTGGGCCTTCCACAGACAGCACAATGCTATGCCATTCTTCATCAAGTTTACTGAACTTCGTGACATCAACAAAGAGTTCAGATTTGCCATTAAGTCGAATCTAAATAGAAGTATTTATTAGGCATTTACCATTGCGCATCTGAGTGTCAAAGGTCAAATCTGCATTTACAAACAAACATATAAAATCTTGAAAATTATGTTTACAAGCATTCCTGTTATCAATCATTGAATAAAAATATGATAACCACCCCTACTTTTTTAACCTGATCAAATCATCTAACCTAATCAAATCATCTAACCTAATCAAATCATCTAACCTAATCAAATCATCTAACCTGCAGTAAATGTAAATCTTGAAGGCCTGAACCTTATGTAAATAATACCCAGTATAGGGTGGCCATGTAACAGAGTAAAATCTCAATATCTGGCCAGATATGATATCCATTGCATCCCTAGTTATTTGTTATGTTTCTTTGTCTTGAAATGCCGAACGACTTTACTTGTTAAGGGGAGAGTGTTGGTATGACTGTACAGTATATTCGTATTCAACATACTTATTTAATATATGCACCATTTGTACCCTTTTATAGTTAACCCTCAGATGTATAATGGCTTCCTTTTCACATGCACTGGGAGACCGGCAGACCCACCAAAACAAGACAGGCAAGCAAGGAGACCGGCAGACCCACCAAAACAAGACAGGCAAGCATGTATGTTTACTGATATTTTTCTTTGTGATATAAGTTAACACATTGCATCCTGATGTGCCCTGCTTTATTATTTTACTCTGTCTAATACCAGACGATTTACTCATCAAGGGGAGAGCTCTGGTGGGTTAACTGGCCTATCTTCCCATGTGTCTAGTAAATCCATTGAGTTGCATTGCACCGATGCGCCCTGCTTTATTATTTTACTCTGTCTACTGCCAGACAATTTACTCGTCAAGGGGGGAGCTCTGGCATTTAATAGGTACCGGTACAGTAACTTAACTGGCCTTTCTGCCCATATGTCTAATAATCTAGTTAATCCATTCAGTTGCATTGTGCAAATGTGCCCTGCTTTAAGTATTATTTTACTCTGTCTAACGATTTAGTCGTATGACATGTGGAGAGTGACTGACTGAAACAGTACAGGCTTGACTGCAGCTGATCTTACAATGTATATTAATTTTACTGTATTATAAACCATATAATTTCTTTATTAGTCCATGCTGACAGCAAATGCCTTAACTGAGGTGGATAGGCCCAAGAATTTTTCGAAATTAACTAAGAATGCAAGTAAAAGATTCAATGTGAACTGGAGAAGCAGGAGAACTGTTAAGAGAACACAAACATACAGTATTTGTTTTTAATATTTTAGTAATGATATTATATGCATTTCTTAATTTTAATCTTTGGTCTTGTCCCTGCATGGTGTTACTGGTAACCCACCCCTGATTTTTTATTTCTTCATGCTTTTAGTTGAGTAATGCATATACAGGGTGTATCAAAAAATGTCCCAAATGGATAATTTCCTCGAAATCACACAAAATTTGGGATATTTTTTGTAACCGAGAGTAAATATATGTATATTGTAATTAAGTTTTTATTATTTTGTAATTTGTATATTTCGAATAAACTAGTGTCTGATGTGGTACATCAAACCTGCATAGCACGTAACTTTCTTATTTAGGTCGATTTTTCTGAGGGGCAGTTCATATGATCCCGCTTACACAAGATTAAACGAAGCGTGCAATGATTTTGAGATATTGAAATAAGTCATTTGTTAATGATAAGGAAAAATAACATGATCCAGCTGGCTTTGGATTTTGTTCTGTAGAAAAATCAACAAATGGGCAAAATGTAATTGTTGAGCACTAATTCTTGCAAATATATTTTTTGCATTGATCTATATTTAGTCTGTTGTTAGCATGTGCTTGTCTGGTTTCATAAGGACTTATTTCAATACCTCAAAGCCATTGCTCGCTTTGTTTAATCTCGGGTGGGGTCACATAAACTTCCCCTGACTCGCTTAATTTCAATGCATAAAACTTAATATTTGAACATTTGACGCATGTGAGAATTTCATAGATGAAATCTTAATGTGGAATTTCATATATGAAATATTTGATATATGAAATCTTTAGGTGGAACTGAAACAATTTCGTATATGAAAATTTCATATGTGAAATATTTCATATATGAAATCTCTATATGTGGAATTGAAACAATTTCATATATGAAAATTTCATATATGAAATATTTCATATATGAAATCTTTATGTGGAATTGAAACAATTTCATATATGAAATATTTCATATATGAAATCTTTATGTGGAATTGAAACAATTTCATATATGAAAATTTCATATATGAAATATTTCATATATGAAATCTTTATATGGAATTGAAACAATTTCATATATGAAAATTTCATATATGAAATATTTCATATATGAAATATTTCATATATGAAATTTGTTTCAATTCCATATAACGATTTAATATATGAAATTTTCATATATGAAATGTTATGTGAAATTTTTGTAAGGGGTAATTGACAAGCAAAACAGACATGATGTGCAGAAAATTGGTTCAGAACAAAGATGCGTAATGTACAAGGTCTGCGATCCTAAGCATCCGACAAAGACCTTCGCCCCTTATTCTGTGCCTTCGCCCTGCTGTTTTTGCACAAATATTTTATGTTTTCGAGACAAAATCATGCCGTTTTTCTCCGCTTGTGGATGCAAAAATTCGCTGTAAAGACTTTAAAAGGAAGAATATTTCTTCTGACAGGTAAGAAACTGATAAATAGTTTTGATAGTTTGTGAAACTGTTAAGTTTTTATACCTTTTTATTCGACTAATTCTCGATTGGTAAAATCAAGGGCCGATATGCGTATAAATCAAGGTATAAATATATATTTGTCAAACACTTATATTTTATATTTACACCAATATTTCGGGAGCAGACATAAAAAACGTTGTACATGGTTATTTATACATTGTGTACATACAATTTGTTTTTAGTTTCAGGCACTGGCTTTTGTTTTTAGTGCCAGTTTATTAGTTTAAACAGCAGCTCATACAATCTATAGTTTTTTTGTTTTATAAAGAGCAATTATAGCACTAGACTATACAGTATAAACTCAAACTGTGTTGTATCCTTCACAAATATTATAAACTGCTAGTCTTGCTAGGTTTTGTATCAGCATTTACCAACTGGCTGTGTAGTTAGGCTTTTTTGTAGTTGTGCACTACATTTCAGTCAGCACCGAGCCATCATCAACTTGCATGCATACCCAAATTTGCATGATTTATGCTTGTAGCATTCTTGCATTGGCATTACCTTGAGTGCTGGTATGGGGCAACCTCTATGCCTCATAAAAATCTCCAAACAAAGAACCTCCTTCACTCAGAAATTACCTCTTAACCCATTGAGTCGCATTGCGCCCTACTTTATTATTTTACTATGTCTGACGCCAGATAATTTTACACGTCAAACGGAGAGTGCTGGCGCTTAATGGGTTAACTAGGCTATGTGTCTAGTTAACCCATTGAGTCGCATTGCGCCCTACTTTATTATTTTACTCAGTCTAACGGCAAATTATTTTACTCTGTCTAACACCAGATAATTTTACTCATCAATTGGGGAGAGGACTGGCGCTTAATGGGTTAATTCAGATATATACAAGAGTAGTGGTGCACCAGAGCTACAAACAGTTTCAAGCCAGAGCTGTAACGTTCAAAGTAGGGGTGGTGGTCTGAAAAAACAGGACAGAACCTACAGTTTGCACCCATTGTAATTTATTTTGAAATGCACATGAAACAATTTCACATGCACCATAGAATAAAACAATCATAAACGAAGTAACTTTATTTCTCATTTCTATTACAGACATCAAAGTGATATACAAGAACTGAAGCGAAATGTTCTTGCTGTAACAGCTGTATTACAGTATATCATGCATATAGTTACATTGATGTGTATGATCTTATTTGGGTGTAACAATGTGTAGTAATACAGTATCTGTAGTAGTTAATCTGTTATCGCTACCAAAAGAAAATTGAAGAGAGATCAAAATGCCAAACAGCCAAAGTGATGTCACAGCTCATGGGACTACGAAGTGATAATTATACCATAATAACTTGATCATACAGTTAGTTAAAAATGATTGGGTCATTCAAGAGAATATCCACGCCTATAATGGAAGAGATGGGAGGTTCATCCTAATACTTTTACTATTATCAGCAGTTGAGTTCTGCCCCATCCCGCTTCAGACAGCACAATTTCTTTCTGTGGAGTTAGTGTTTATCTTTTCTGGAATGACTCATTGGTGATTGGTAGTTAATAATTATTCATTGAAGAATTTAAATTAAAATAATACAATTTCAACTGCGTCATTGTGGTAAATAATTCTGCAATAATTCAGAAAGCGGTATCAATTTCCAGTGCGTAATACAAAATAACTAAAACACGGCAAACTTCGCAGGGCTATATTATCCGCATTTTACATTTTTGTCTAGACTTGTCTAGATCAAAATTTTGCTCATTAGGGAATAGGTCCATTGCAAGGCAATGCAATGTATGGTGCAAGGACTAAGTTGCACAACTGAAAAGACCTTACCTACCTTCAAATCTTTTTCGTTTATTCGAATGCTGGCAATGGTATTATTTTTGTCAGAGTTCAACAACTTAAGCTTGAACTTCAGTTCTTTCATTGAAGAAACATTGAGAGAAACAAACGCATTTCGATCTTCAAATGTAAACGCACCTTTTTGACTGTCTAAAAAAGAAAAGTAACTTTCTTTCATGAGATAAATGTACAGAAGTTAATTTTAAAAGGCGTCTAAGAACAGGCGAGTCCGGCTGGCAGCCTCAACTACTGTATTAGTCTACGACCTGTATATAGTAATCTCAACTGTTTTAGGGTAAAATGACTATGGCGGTCAACATGGCATATGTGCCAAAACCTGAATCCGGGATGAAAGTCCTGAAAATGACCCCGCCCTGAAACGGCAGTGTCGACATAGCTCTAAATTCCGAAAAGGAAAAGTGATAGCCTTTCTGAAGACAAAAATTGAAATCATTAGTTGCACTTGAAAGGAAAAAACCTCCCATAACACTTGTCGTGTCAGAACCCAAAAGAAGTAATTTAAAAGTCAAATATATTTAGTAAATAAGTTAGGTAGCTGTGGTGGCGAACAAACGTTTCGTGATAATATTCACCCCCCCCCCCGTGTTTTCGTGGGAGGTAAGTGATTTAAAACGTATTATATTTAAAGAAAACAATGACAATCCTTATGAAATCCACAATTATTATGTTAAATTAAGCATAGTTTTTCATCCCATAATAATTTTTAGGAAATAAGAAAATTTAATTTCTGCTAGGAATATTAGTTATTTTATGCATAATTAGCAATTTACCTGGGGTGGTGCATGGTCACTTTCTTGTAAATGTAAAATATTATACTTAGACAAATTTTTCCTTCCAATGACCACCCCTAAAAGTAACCCTTCTAAACAAGTGCTATAAGCATTTCAGAAAGGCTATCGCTTTTCCTTTTCGGAAGTTAGAGCTACATGTCGACACTGCCGTTTCAGGGCGAGGTCATTTTCACGCAAAGCTTAATGGGAGCACAAGTTTCTAGCTTAGTAGTTAACTATTGCAGCTATATTTGTAAATGAATTGTTCTTGTAAGGAGATATTACAATTTATTTTTTATCAGTGAAAATGAAGCAATCTGATTGGCTGAGGAGCCTTTCAGAGCGGGCCGGTTTTTTGCATCCGGCCCGCTCTGAAACGCAACTGCCCGCTGTGAAATGCAACTGCCCGCTCTGGTTTTCGCGGCAAAAACTGAGGAGTGAAACAATTTTTAAACGAAAAAATCTGCCAAAAACGTTTGAAAAACATAGCCTAACGATAGTCAGAATACAAAAATGAATTGCATCAAGCCCTAAAGGCTTCATACTAAGCACGATGTTCACGAGAATTGGCAATACTTTGATAGAAATGCGACTGAAAGTCGGAAAGTAGTTGACATGTATAAAACTTTAATATACGTCGAGAAAACTATATATTTTTTAAATGCTCATGTATTCGGCCACTTAAAAGCGAAAAAAATACAGCTTAAACAGATATTGTAAAATAAATGTTTTCCCATTTAAAAGAAGGTTTAACGGCAGCAGTGAAAACAACTCACGATATATTCTCTACCCATTTGTATCATGTATTTTTCACTGATATAAATATTGTAAACAAAGTAAAAGTTTGTTATTTAAAAACACTTTTTTCAAGCATATTATCGTGAAACGACAAGAAAAAATACAAAAATATAAAAATAACATACCTTTTTCATTGTCCTTTCAGTAGAAAAACGTTAATTAAATCAAAACAGATTTATTTTTATATGTTTTTGATCGGATCTGAACATGAACCTGTCGTTGTCAGGAGCAACTTGTCAAAGCCAAAGCCAAAACGCCAGGCATAAAAGATTTTATTCCAAAGCTTCTCTGCTACCATATTCATGAAAAAGCATGTACATTTTTACTGAAACTATACGTCTTTTTGTGTGTTTCTTGGCAGTTTTCTCGAGTTTTCGTATTCGTGTTTTATATCTTTTAACTTTTCATTGTTTTCAATTTTTGTCAGCCTCGCTTTGAAAATACACAACTGCACTGATCTCAAATTAGTTCGCAAGCAACACTGGAATTTTAATCAATTTAATTTTTACATCTGATAAAAAATAAACACGTTATTTACCGGCAGCGTCGGTCCGGAAAACCGGTAAATAACATATATGTCTCTAAGAAATGGGCCTCATATATGATTTCTAAACTGATTAAATGAAGCTCCCATTATGGTTTGTAAAGGATAACCTTTTTTGAATTAGCTGTATACCAAACACTTAAACCAACCTCCATAGCACACGATATCCCCAATCATGACTGAAACATTCGAGCCAGACGACAGACCACCGATTTGTAGAGCTTTTACAGGTAGATCTTTTTTCTTTGTCAAATACCCAGCATCTTCCTCGGACATGCTTTTCCCCTGATCACACTGACATGTTTTATCAGAAAAACTGCAGTTAGCCCAATACTCCTTAGGACTATCGTTTACGGAAGTCCACGAAGAAAGGGAAGACTGCTTATTACCAAATAATGTAGCATTGCTACACTTGTAGGATACATACTGCTTACAACTCTCACGTTCTTCAATGAATGCTCTAATGTCATCAGCTGACAAGGCTCCATAGTTAACATTATGCAAAAAAGACTTAGGACTGCCATGGGAACCAGGCTTTGGTACTTTCACGACATCGTCAACGAGAATGACCGTTACAGCAGGTTGCGATGTCAGGTTACAAGAAACCGGAACGTCTTTACCGCCAATCTCAATATTGTACAGACCGGAGGATCTATTTTCCTTAGCATTTTGTATTTCACCACATGATGTATATCCTATGGCAATAATTAAATATCATAAGTTCCGCATTCCAGAGCAATCGTCAAAAAACCCAGAAAAATCTCCTCTATACTACAGGTAATGCATGGACAACTTGCATGTTAGACTAAATTTTACTCTAAGACTAAGTAAAGAGAAGGGAATCAAACACCACAGCTAAAAAGAACACAGTGAAGTTAGTAAAATTGCAAAATTTGGTTGCGAAATGTTGTAAAGCTTGGAAAATATAGTCTTGCAAAGTTTGCAAATTTTGTATATGTTTGTATTACGCGTGGAAATTGTTACCATTTTCGGCTCAAAAATGGTAACAATTTCCGCACGTAATACAAACATATACAAAATATGCAAACTTCGCAAGGCTATATTTTCCGTATTTTACAACACTTCGTAACCAAATTTTGCAATTTTACTAATTTCAATAAGTTATTTACGGGAATTTACTTTTTTTTGCCTAGATAAAAAATTAGTGTACATCTACGAAATAACAAAACAACTCAAGCTGCATTCATTTACATTCACCGGTCTTCGGAATTCCGGATTCCAGCATACCTACAGGCAATACAGGGTGACACCTTTGATGGAAATTTCAGATTTTTATACCGCAGGATAAATTAACTATCATATCACTTATAATCGCCAACCGTCTACCTTCCAGAAGCACTTATTAAAGAGGCGACACCTACAGTATATACCAAATTGTCCAAGTCATAGAAATTAGGTCAATTGTATTTCGATCCGTTTTGAAGACGATTTTTACAAAGAAGAACATAACGACTCTAAAACTTACGTTTTGTTGTCCATAACATCAAAATTTCGTTTTAATGAAAACATATATAGTGAAATTCGAAAGGGAAATTTGATGTTTTGCAAAAGCAACAGAAAAGGTGGATAATACGAGTCGTACGAATAACAGCAATACATCCTGGTTATCTTCCAGGTTGGTTTAAAATTACAGCACGTAATTTAGATGGCCTTAGTTACTTTATACATTGTAATAGGTGCAAATCACCCTTTTGAAAGATCATTCAATTTAGGTTTAATTACAGACAAGAGACGTTAAGCGCACTAAGATTGTTAATTTCACGTTTCAGTTAATTTATTCACGTTTCAGTTAATTTATGCATTTCTTTTTCACCTTCAGCACTAAAATAATATTTTTTGTATGTCCCAGTTTTATTTTATAATTAAACTTCTCTTTAAATATCAAATGAATGATTATAAAATTCCACAAAACACCTCCCAGGGACCACAGAAAAATCGGAAGTCATTGCCCCCCCCCCCCCCCTTTCCCTTTCCAAGAACTTTTGAAAGGTAGAGCAAAATACAGTAACTGTGTACCAAAGCTGTAACAATAATACTACAAAGACTGAGATTCCCACCAAAACGGTAGTGATATGGTGGCAACCTAAATTCCACCCCCAATATTTCAAAATGTCCCTAATTGGACTGGATCTTTTCTGGAATGAACCAATTCTCCAAGGCTTTCATTGAGGGTCACCCAGTGATTAGGACTGAGCAAGGTACATCATCATATGGTAGATTTTGCAATCAGGATATGTGAACAAAATATTAAGAATGTCATAGGGAAAATAAAATGTTATTGGACAACAGCACCCATTTTCCAGAAACATGTCTTCCTACTTCCTAATGCCTTGCAACTAAATTACATATTATTGACTGATCATTCAATCCAGTATCAATAAGGGATTTGTTCCTGTCTCAGATATTAATAGCAGTGATTGTGTTATCAGGTCCAAGCAGTGATGCCATCATGCCATCAATGCATAAGTTGCAGCTGCACCCAACATACAGTAACCTGAAAAAAATGCTTGCAATGACGACAGTCCCAACACATACAGGGTTCAAAATAGCGGGATGCCAATGGCAAAAAGCAGGCCATATTCCTTTCTCTACTTTGAGCCCTGAACACCTACCAAACTGAGCTACAAGATCAAACCCATTGTAGTAGATGGCCAAGTTAAACAATTTACCTAGTACTTGAATGACTTAACCAGTGGTTTGTACCTCATAACTTTAGTACGTATATTGTATACTGTATGTAAATTTGCATGAAGCCTTTCTCATATTTACTGTACAGTACCTAGACATAGTAGTAATACATATTACAGTACATCTGTCCCTTCTCAAAAATCATGCAAATGAACTTAAGAATAGTCATCATTTATTAATTTAAACAACAGGTGATTTGCTTGTATAAAACAATATACCGGTAGTGTACTGTACATACACCAAGTTGTATTAATTTAAAAGTAGATTACTAGACAATTTTTAAATGGCCACGGCACTGAATGCAATTTTTGTGAAAATCCATGTGTAGTTAAGGTACATATTCGATGGCTGTTTTGTGGTAACCATATTTATAAAATGTAATAAGGGTTTCTGCACATTTATTTAGGTTTAAAACAGGATTTAAATTTATAGGGGGAAAGTTTAAAATATATAAACTATCAGCAAGACAAAATGTCCTTCCTGCACTATCTCAATCACCAACACATGAACTTTTTACAGTAGCTGCATTAGCAACATTATGCATTTCATGCATCATTAAATTCTTTCAATTCATGTTCAAATACCCAAACTGTCTCAATCTTAGCAGTCAGGAGTAGGTGTAGTGTACAGTACATCCCATTAGCCCTTAGGCCCCAGAAAATTTTCAAACTGTCTACTTCTTCATAGTGATGCCACCATTGTTAATTAAAGTGGCAGTGGACACAGTCATTTCATGTGTGAATTCTGAAGTACAGTAGCCTGTGTTGTCCAAATGGAATTGAACCACTTGCTGAAAAGTCAACTTCCCAGTGTCCCAACAAGGAAGTGAACCCAGAGTGGCAGAGTCTCTAGTTTAACAGTACCAGCATCAAACCGGGTGGGTTCAATTGAAAGTCAACCGAACAAGACTATTGTCACAACATACCTAAAAGCCAATAAATTACTGTAGCATTACTCCCTCCTTAATTTTATGGAACAACTTCACAATCAAATATGAAAACAGCTTATCAAGTGCTATTGTGAAAATGTTATTGTTGAAAGTACTTCCTTGTCTTCGGTTGTTAATTCTTCACACTGGGTTGTAGAATTCTTTATTGCAACATTTTGGGGCCAAAGACTGTTTTGGAAAGTCTTGGTCAATTAATTTAAAGGACTTGAATACGGTCCAAATTATTAGGCTATTTGTTTACCATAGTGGAAAAATTAGCACAATAAGAGATCGCCTACAGCAGGTTAATGTCAAAATTGACGTGGCAGCAGAATTTTGTGGTCAGCCGTCAGCAATACTGAGGCGGCAGGGTAATAGCGTATTTGGGTGTCTTGCATATCAGACTTCTGTGGCAACAGAAGCTTACTTTCCACTATGGTTTGTTTACATATCTCATTTTTAAAACTTTAATTTAAGGAAATATTGGTGAGTAAAATCATAATCAAATAAATAAGAGATGGCATAAACCAGGGTAGTCTCAGGGACTGCTTGAAAGCTTGTGCATACATATTATTACACTGGCCGCAGCCAGTGTCATAGAATGTCCTTGCTGAAAATGCTGTCTTTTTTCGGGTTTTTTGGTTGTCGCAAGTGTGACTTTCCATTGTGGCATCGTGGGCTCAGAATTGCGCAATTTAGCTAAAACATGCTCACGCTGATTAGGACCAATTGTACACAATGTTAAACAGAACGAATCTCGCATTTAACTACGTTACAAATCTTAGACGCAGTAATTGTGGGACGTATTTTATTATATTTCATTGCGCATGCGCTTGAATTTTTGATATCGCTGAACTCTGTTGGTATTGTATGGATTTTTATTGTGCCATCCTCTCAATGTTTGTGATCATGAAGTGACGGCTGTCAAGAAGTGAAGAACATCTACATGTTTCAAATTATTTTTTAGAATATTGCAATGATATTTTACCAACCGCGAGGCCAGTGTGAACGCCTGAGCAGGCGTCTTGTTTAATACGTATGCTCCTGAAGACATTCAATGTTTATAACAATCAGTCAAAATGTCATTTATTTGATTTGACATATGTTCTTAAAAGCTTGCTTATATATAGCTCGCTGATCATTTCTTATTTAATATATAAGATTTATACTACGTGCTTACAGTCCTATTACGTCACAAAACCCGACAAAATACAAAAGAACACTTCTACATTTTACTATGGTTTTACTTGGTTTGAACTTTGAATTTTGAAACTTGCACAAAAGGGCGATAAGAGTACACATCTGTTTAAAGCATAATCTAAAGATATTCCGCAAATCTAACCGAATTTTTGACATTAAGTGATAGTGTTGCGTAGTTTATCTTACCTTTGACAGTTGTGGTTAAAGCCACTAACCACGAAAAACACAAAATAATTTTCATGTTGACAGCCATCTTGAGATTCATCAAATAATACAGAAAATGAAGTAATGAACAAACTTCGCCCGCCTTTGCGCGAAAAAAAGATTGGGCACGAAACCAAGGAGCTCAATATATATCTGGAGCGAGAATTCGAGTAAAAAAGATGGAGCTATAGCCTATAACATAAGGTGCTACCACAGGAGCCCATGCGTTGATCTGTGTTAGTGTTGTATATTGTATGTTTTTCAGTTTATTTATTTTAGTATATTTATATTGCCTTTTAATTGAATTATAACACTAAATTACACTGATATATGTCATATAATAATAATACTCCTATAGTCGAACATATAATAACAACATATAAGTTGATTTGTATTTGTATGTTTTTCAGTTTATTTATTTAAGATCTATTATTAGCTTATATAAAAGCCTGACAGCCCATTCGTAGGATTTATAACGCCTGTATCCTGCGAACGGGCTGTCAGGTTCGAAAGGCGGTGCTTTTATATAAGCTGATAATAGATCTTAAATAAATAAACTGAAAAACATACAAATACAAATCAACTTATATGTTGTTATTATATGTTCGACAATAGGAGTATTATTATTATATGACATATTAGTGTAATTTAATGTTATAATTCAATTAAAAGGCAATATAAAGACACTAAAATAAATAAACTGAAAAAACATACAACACTAACACAGATCAACGCTTGGGCTCCTGTGGTGCTACTGGACGCAGCAATTTTGGGCGTCAATTTCTGTCCCTTTTCTATTGTATTTGTGTGCGCGGTCAGACACAAAGCTTGCAGGAGTGCGCCGAAATTTCTGGGTATGAGATTGAGCGTTCGTATTTTTTTTGTCATTATAACTGATCAGTATAGCTTAATGTATCTATCAATACACGCTTCCGGAAAGTACGTCATCTTGCCTGTAGAGCCTCGCTGGCTGCTCTATTTACTGTTCAAGAACATTTGGAACACTGTTCTGGAACGATATGAAGTAAAGTGCACACGCGTACGGTGTTCTGAAACAGTGTTTAGTTTAGGTTATTCGCATAATAAATTGTAAATGATTTGATGTTATTTCACTTATTTGCATATCTAAGTATGCTTTTGCAAAGTTTTTACTCGTTGATTTTGCCCAACTCTTGCGTTCAAATAGCATATAAGTATATGTCGATATATGGCGGTTAACCCTTCAAAATAACACTCTATGCAGTGTGTATTGGATACACAATCTGTCACGTACGTGTCGACTGTTCTGACTGCCCTTACTCGAAAATGGGGGTAGTCAGAACAGTTAAGAACAGTCATGTGACTGTCTCCTGTTCCATGCCATTAGTTTTCCGAAAATCCGGAGTACTCCGAACAGTAAATGGAGCCGCTTGCCGGTCTCGCGATTGCAACGCTTTGCATGAACACGAAAACGAGGCTCTATAGTAAAGGTGACGGAACTTCCGGACCGAAAGGGTACATTCTCTATAACATTTTGGACTATTTGGATTCCGAGCCAGGGCCTTTTTTAGGGATTTTCCCGTGGGGGGGGGGCATTTTTTGAAATGGGACTTTTCTGTGAGATAATATATTAGCGGGGGATAGCAATGGCTGAAGGCCACGTGTGTGGCCAACATACCATGCATGAATGGGGGGTCTGGGGGTGTACTCCCCCAGAAAATTTTTGAAATCTGGAGCACGGAAATGTCGTTTCCTGAGTTCTAAGCCTCCAAATTTGCTCCAAAATTTATGCTAACTATACTTGTATTTGAAATAAAAGAAGGAAAAAATGCGCAAAAAGTAAAAATATATTAACCATAATTTTTCATTACTTAATTATTAGAGGAGGATAGCAATGGTCACGTGTGTGGGGGTGTACTCCCCCAGAATATTTTTGAAATTTGAAGCCGGAAATGCCATTTCCTGCATTCTGAGCAACCAAAATTTGCTCTAAAATTTATGCTAACTATACTTGTATTTGAAATAAAAGAAGGAAAAAATGCACAAAAAGTAAAAAAGAATATTAATCGTAATTAATCATTACTTATTAGAGGTGGATACCAAAGGCGACGTCGACGTGTGTGGGGGCATAATCCCCAGCAATGTTTTGAAATGTGAAACCCGGAAATGCTATTTCCTGCATCCTGACCATCCGACAAAAATAAAAAAATTATTAACAATAATTTATCATTACCGAGTGGTAGAAAAACGTAACAATTTAAATCGATTTTGGACAAGGACAAAGGATAAAGCCTTATAAAACTTACTTTCCGTTTATCTATTTGTTATTCCTCGCTTGTTTGTTTGTATAATTTTAGGAAAAAGGGACTTTTCCTGGCGGTGGGAGGGGGTTGGGGGGATGTGATTTCGTAGGGGGGGGGGGACCTGGTGGGGCATCCCCCTCCCCAGCTTGTATGTTAAAGGAGGCCCTGTTCCGAGCTCAACAGGTTTGTTCTTTGATATAAACGAGGAAACTTGAATCATATAGTTCTTATATAGATAAACAAACCATAACAAACCTGCAAAAAATAGCGGTGAAACTTTTAAATACAGAACTATCAATTTATAAAATATATAAAGTAGGTATATTATTTTGCTTTCTATGGGCTTTATTTTAATGTAAAATTCAAAACGAAACTCTATGTAAAACTTTTTTAAATGTGAATTGAAATTAACTGCTTTTTGCCGATATTAAGACGTAAGCTAATAAACTCTTCAAGTCGAGTTTCAACTTATTACTCGCACTTCGAAGTGAAATAAATTTAATTCGTACAGGACGCTTATGAATATATTTTGCCTTCCTTTTTATCATGAACTTGTACAAAGTTAATTTAACTAAGAAACTTTCCCATACAATGCATAGGAAAGACTTGAACAACAAGAACAGAGTCTACATTTATTTAATAATACAAAATCACACATAAACAATTGTGAAACAAACTTGCCCTATAAAGTTAGAATTTCTCAAACTAAATCAATTCTTATAAATGTTTACGTTTAAAAATGAAAAAAGTTTTAAAATTTGTTATGTGAAACAATTTTCCAGGCTTTCTTACATGTATTTTTTATATTTTTGCCTTCTTCACTCCTGGCCGGCAAACAGCCATATTTTGAGATAGGTGAGATGACCACCCACGTACAGTGACCCACGCCCGCGATCATTGATAAACTTTAGACTTCGCTAATGCTTTCCTTTCCCCGGGAACAGGTGGGAAATTTGACTGCGCATGCGCTACATTTTTCGCGGTTTAAGAGAAAGAGACTTGGGACAAGTAAATACAGTAATTTGATTTTTGAGCGTTTTATTTGCGTTTTTGCGGCCTCGTTTTTTTTTGCTAACCAAAAAAATGTTTAATCCATTGCATTGTTGGGAAGGCGAGGAAGGTATGAGAACGTTCGCAGGCTAAAAATATTTATAAAATTGCAACTTTTGCGTAACCTTATATATCAGAACTGCAAATATTATTATTATTATTTAAAAATCTTTATACACGGTAACTTTTCAGCAATATATACGTAGCCTACATATAATTTTATATGTAAGTAAGCATGCAATAATAAGTTAAGAAAAATAAAATGCTGCTTTTCAAAAGGCCGTGTGATAACGCTAAATAAATGTAAACCAGAAATATATATCTGGCTATCACCAGGCGATAAACACGTGCACATGACTACGTTAACGTTAAACAAAATTGCTGTGGGAAATAGATTTTCCGGGCTTTATTGCCAAGGCTAAAATGCCAAATACACTGTCCCAGGTACACATTTTTCAATTTACAAGACACATTTTACTTTCACAATGACACAAAGTGCCTGAGATGAAGCTAAACACGGCCTTTAAGACCGTTTTCCATTGATATTTTTATTTTGATTTTATTTGCCCATATAAAGCTAGATATATTTACAATGTACATTTGTACAAACATTAAGAGCTATAGGAACATAGGTATCTTATAAGCAAGTTTATACACGCCCATAGCATTATAAACTTAAGTTGTCGGAAACTATACAGATTAGGGGGTGATGACGTAGGTGACATATCACGTGATTCTTTTAGGTGCTATAATCTTAGTGCTTTGGGGGTTGGGAAAGAATAATAACTTTGTACTTGTTGGTGTTGGGTAAAAAAAAACTATCTTAAAACGTACAAGTTTGTGACTCGTGATTTGTGACTTTGTGAAAGTGTGGATTTCTACAACGTGTTATTATTATTATTATTAAAGGTTTATTAAGAAACACATTTTGGCACCCGAAGGTGAATTGCAATATGCGTACAGAAACATAATAAAAGATGATTATCAAATAATATAAATATATCGTATATGTACAGTTGTTAAAATACTATAAATTATTTACTATTAAAATTAGCAGTCATTGCTGGTATAAAACTAGTTTTAAAACGTTCCGTTCTGGCGCATTTAGTTAATGTGAAGTTAGAATTGTTTCTTAAGTCCAGTTCATGCGATTCTTCACGGAGTGGGGGTAAGAGGTGGTTGAGGTGAGCATCGTGTTTTAAGATCCTTTTTAATGTTTTAGCACATAGCTCTTGACGTCTGTCGACAAGGCGCTTGCATTTAGCGATGTTGAGAGCATCTTCGTAATCTGTTGTCGGATAAATAATACGGAAAGCTCTTTCTTGAACTTTTTCAATTTTATCCCCCAAACACTTTGGTAACATGGTGTGCCAGACAGGACAGGCATATTCTAAGATAGAGCGCACCATAGAAAAGTAGACTAGTAAGAGGTCATTGGGGGGAAGACCACAGCGCTGTAGGACACGAATAATAGTTCCCCACAAAGTTAATGAAACAAGCGTTAGGACAAGAGACAACAACTAATCTCGAATGGCAGAGCTCACTTTTTTGAAACCTTGGACGTAGATATCCAAATTAACCCCAAGAGATTTTGGTCCCTCTTCGAACTTAAATCCAGAGACTCAAGCGTTCCAAAAATTTTTTCTATGGGAGCAAGTGAATCGGACACGGCGTCAGTTCGCTCAGCATCGTGCCCTCGAGCCATAGCAGAGCTTTTCAATGGTTAGTTCACCTCTGTTTTAACCTAATCGATTCAACTACTCTTCCCTCAACTACCCAATGCGAACCTACTACGTCAGAATTGAATCTTTCTCCCGAGGACGTTTTGATTTGTCTGCGGCGAACGCTTGATGTCACTAAAGCAACAGGTCCTGACGCAATTTCGCCCAGACTGCTAAAAGAAACCGCCCACCAAATAGCTCCATCGCTATCCACTCTATTCAATCGATCCCTCGATAGTGGCTCTCTACCAGAAGATTGGAAACTGGCTCACATCATACCAGTTTTCAAGAAAGGTGACAAATCCTTCGTTGAGAACTATCGTCCCATATCGCTCCTCTGCGTTGTATCGAAAGTCTTCGAGCGTTGCGTGTTGAACAAGCTGCGAGATCACCTGTAACAACTACTAAACTCGTCACAACATGGCTTCACCCTACATCGGTTCTCTGTTAGACTCCGGGAAACAAACTGACGTTATCTTCATGGACATGTCAAAAGCGTTCGACAAGGTCAGTCATACTGCTCTTGTTAACAAACTTTCAAACTACGGTATTAGAGGGTCTCTGCTTAATTGATTTTCACACTATCTACATGGCCGCCAACAACGTGTAACTACTCTCGGTGCAACGCCTTCTAAAAAACCAGTTTCTTCGGGAGTGCCTCAAGGCAGTATTTTAGGGCCAATTCTATTCCTCCTCTACGTTAATGATCTTCCTGATGCTGTTGACAACTCAAAAGTGGCTTGCTTCGCTGACGACACCAAGATCTTCCGTTGCGTCGACTCTATCTCCGATGCTGCACCCCTCCAAAGCGATCTGAGTAACTTAGAAAATTGGTCTACATCCAGTGGTCTCGTCTTCAACCAGCTCAAATGCAAGTGTCTGCGCGTGACTAGGAAAATCCAGCCTACTACTTATCCATATAAGATCAAGGATAAGGAACTCACAACAACGTCGGTTCAGAAGGACTTAGGAATTTGGGTTGCCAGTGATCTCACATGGACCAAGCATGTCTTAGAACGTTGTGCGAAAGCCAACAAACTGCTTGGTTTCGTGAGGAGAAGCGCTGGAGAAATATTCAACTCACGGACCCGCCGGAAACTGTATCTCTCAGTTGTCCGCCCGGTTTTTGGCTACGCAAGTCAAGTATGATCTCCCCAGACTATAGGTCTAATTAGACGAATAGAACGTGTAAGGAATGTACATATACTGTATATATGCATAATACATACATAACCTTCCCTACTTGTGCGACGAGTCCTACCGCGACAGGCTGATCAGTTTGGAACAGATACCACTATCATACTGGCACGAGTATATGGATCTTGTGTTTTTCTTTCAAGCTGTAAACGGTCTGATCGACGTATCTAAAGATGTTCTCCCTCAACCTATTATTCCCACCCGAGTTACCCGATCATCCAGTACCACTGAGTTGTTGTTCCGCCCACAAAAATGCAGAACTACCACCTTCCAAAAATCATATTTCACCCGAGCCACAAGAGTTTGGAACTGTCTTCCAACAAACTTAAGACAGCCAAATATGTTGTTAAGTACATTTAAAAGATTGCTGCGGAACTACTATTTGGAAACCCTGCATAGTTGTTATGATGCAGAGGATCCAAAAACGTGGAAATCTGTGTGTTTAAACTGTAACTCTTGTCGTAGTTTGAACAGTGTTATAAATTGTTGTTTCTAGTTATTATATATTAAAAGGGCCCATAGTAATTGGTTTTAACTGTTATGGTGTCCCAGCCATCTGACTGTATGTATTGTACTGTACTGAACTATATATATATACTGTACTGTCTTGTGTTAGATTGTATCGTTTTGTTTTTTTGTATTGTACTGTATGGTATATATAAATGGCGAAGTTATATAAATAAATAAATAATCTTTCCCAGAATATTTATGTGACGCCTATAAATAATAATATGACTCCTATACCCAGGTTTCCAGAAAGAAAAAACATTCCCTGCATATCAGCATAACAGAAAGCTCCATCGAGGTGGGTTTGTTTTAAAGTCCAAGAAAGACTTACCCTGCACTTTTTGCAAATTATGTCTCCACTGTGTAACATTTCGTGAAATGAAGAGAAATGAAGCAGCAGGTCTTGCTGAGGTTGTCATGTAAGAACCGCTTTTGTCTACAGACGTTTCTTTATCATCACTTGCCTGAAAATTGAAGAGAAAATTTGTATTTAAAGATGTTAGATACGAAGATAGAGTTTCAAACGTTCACTGGCTAAAAAATATTTATTTATAGTTAGAAAAACCCTGTTGGGATAACTAATAAATATTGTATGTACAGTATGTACACCAACTTTCATGAACATGAAAGGTCAGGATGATGCATGTAACCGGCATATCAGGTGTAAGGTATAGGGACTGCTTTTGCATTTTAATCATTTTGAACACGAAAAAACATGATTAAAATAAGAAACATGATTGTAAGTGAATTGTGAACGTGCAGAAAAGACACGACAACAACCCATTCACCCCACAATTAATAATTGCAACAAATGCTTGAGACTCCATCAATGAGAAATAGTAAGTACATCCTACTCACCAGCAATGGGGGTCTAATAGGATCGTATAGGACATACTGGATTGTTGGGAGCTCAGAAGAATCACATGAAGATTGGGGACTGCTAAAAATAAAAAAAAAACAAAGAAAAATAGTTTCTTTACTGGTTCATTTGTGATTCATAGATTTCTTAAAAACACAAAAATGACAAAACAAGGGGTTGAAAGGTGGCCTACATTTTGTGTTTAAAGTGTTGTGGCAACAACTGTTGTGGGCAGCGTTCTAACAAAACATAGTTTATCCATATATTTCAAGGGTCATGGAAATAGGGCATGGACAGATATCTCTCATGCAGTTCTTCAGCATGTTTAAGCCTAAACTAAATATGTAGTCTATGTACTATGAAAGAGCATCCATGCATATAGCATAAACGATTTGTGACATTTATTCGGGAAATATTGCATATTAAGGGCTGTACTAATACGCAGTTATCTATTTTCAGATAATTCGGCTTCCCGACTCATCTATTGGTGAAATGTTGTCTAAGTGGTCATCTTACCTTGGGACAGCGCGGTATATTATGGAGTTTAAGTCTGGAGAAAGATTTTTCACCAAATGCATCAATTCATAAAGCACAGCATCAACAGAATATCGAGTCAGTAATGTTTCATTTTGTATGTGTATGGAAGGCGAGTCAAGATTTCTGGCAAACTGCATGAGCTCTTGAGCTGGGCCTTGGAAACTTAACAGAAAAACGAAACAGTCGTTAACATGCTTGCGGTTGTTAGAATTGAGCTTCCTGGTGGCAATAAAGTGCGACTCGCTCGCAAGCGTCACTCAGAAGGTTTTGTACCAATTTGAGCGGGTTCCAGTGGATTGTATTTTGTGCTAGTCTCGGATCACTAATGGAATCAAAATGCAGTGTATGAGTATTCTTCATGTACTAACATAATGGTGTTCGTGATTAAGAGACGCCAAGGATTGCATAAATTAGCAGAGTACTAAGTATTTTAATGAAATATAGGAAACAACGGTAACTCCTTTATATACTTTACATTAATCTTGTTTGCCAGTGTAGGTAGTGCCAATAAAATGAACAAGCTTTCGTTGGTAAGGATGCAACTACCTGAAAATATATAAGAAGAATTTCGAAGTTTCGAGCGAAGTCCCTTCGTCTGGAGTTACTAGCGAACCGAAGGGCCTTCGCTCGAAACGTGGAAGTTTTCCATGTACCGGGTGTCCCAAAAAAAAGTACTCCTGTTTGATTCGTAATAACTTCTAAACAAGTAAAGCTTTTAAAGAGAAATAACTTGCATCAAATAGAGAAAGGACTAACTTAGATTTTGATATATTACAGTTGTATTTTACTTAAAAATTCACGGAGATATTAATCTTTAAAATCGGGAGCATATTTCTGGATGTGTCTAAAATATGCAAAAAAACGGCGTATCAAATATTAATCAAGATTTGCCCGACTGAAACATGCACTATTACCAGTAAATAAATGACACTTGACAAATTGTTTATTATGAAAGAAAGTATTATTATATCTACAAAATACAAGCAGATTTATTCGTCCAAATTCGCGTGTGTTCCTAGCACGAATACGTTTCCTTATTTCATGAGACCACTAGCTGCATCGCGAAGGATCGTCATGGATCGATCGTTGTTCTGAATTAGGGCATGCTGTCACAATGGAATTGTGAAGCTCTTCTAACTTCTGCAACGTTCTGAAATCTTGTTAAGAACACCCAAACTCTTTTGCATTTTCTTAATCTTGGCAAGTTCAGAGTAAACTGAGAATTATATGAAACACAATCAAACCATATAACTCCATAAGACATAACAATTAAGCAACTCCCCAGAGACATGCAACATTTTTGGAACAAAACGTAACAAAATAGTAGCGTTGATATACGGTGATGTGTATTTGCAAAAAGCAATATTATTTCCTTCAATAAAGAATAATATTCATCCTGCTCTAACCGAGAAATAATCAACTCAGTCTGTTTGAACCCATTAAAAACATAAAAAAATTAGGCTATTTAAGAAAAATTTAAGCGTCTGCCTTCCATGGTCAGTCTTTCATGTACTTTTAAGTTTGTAAAGACCTAATATTAAATACTTGCATAATTTCGAACGTTCATATTTCAGAAAACAATGAGCTAAGACTTACATGTAAGATGTCTAAATCTACGCCATATCCCTAGACAAACCCTAACGATAATTCGCTGAAATACAAGTTAGCCTGATATGTCATTAAGCAAACAAATGCTGGAGTTAATATTTGATATGCCGATTTTCGCTAATTTTAGACACATCCCAAAATATGCTTCCGATTTTGAACATTAATATCTCCGTGAATTTTTAAGTAAAATACAACTGTAATATATCAAAATCGTTTAGAAGTTATTACAAATCAAACAGGAGTACTTTTTTTTGGGACACCCGGTATTTTTCAGGTAGTTGCATCCCTATATCTAGGCCTCTCATTTGTTGTTTTATTATGGGCTAAAAATCACGCTGGTCTACAGTACTGTTGACGTTCAGTTGACTGTCTTACCTGGGATGTAATTTTCCCTGCTCTCCGTTTTCGTATTTCCTTCTTTCTTCCCTAAGTTCTCGTTCCTTCATCTCCGTACCAAGGTCGGATTCCGATGACTTTTTCCAACTTTTCCCGGACGTATACCGATTGTTGGCGTTTACAGCTTCCTCTCCAAACTCTTTTGATTCTGTTAACTCATTCTCAGTGAAAGTCTCGTAGGGAGAAAATCTCCCACTTTTAGGTTCATCACTTTGAGTCTCAAGCACTGGCGGGTTAGGGTTAGAAAATGAACGACCAATAGGTCTAAAGTGTGTACTACTCTTCCTCGCTACCCCTCCCTCGCTGTTACTACGATGTTTCGATTCTTTGTCTGAAGGAATCGATAGAATTGGTTCTTTAGTTCTTGACTCGCCACCATCTGTATGCTCTGAAATATTCTTGTTACAATTTTTCTGTGAGGGGTCTGACATTGGAGGTGTGGTCAGAATTTCCGGCGTTTTACCCTTAAATACAGTAAAGGATGGTGGTACGTGCCAAATTGGTGAAGTTGATAGTGACCTGATGGTGCGTGGTGGTTGAGGCTTAGGACTATGTGTGCGCCCACAGCCAAGTGAACCAGCGGATGGTGTCCGTCGATGAGTAGCCACGACGGGCGAAGGTTTATGAGGATTTTTGTGACGAGCACTTTTACACGACGGCTTCAGATATCGGTCAGGAATGTATGAAAACGAGGCTGTCAGTAAGTAATACTCCATGAGTACATCACACAAAGCATGACGAACAGACTTTATTAATCTTTCTTTCAGTTGTGTCATACTAACATCACCCCGCTCCCAGACTGATATTTCAATCACAATTGCATTATCTAGAATAAATATGGAAACATTATGTACACCGAAACCAATCGTATCAAAATGACGTATTGATGGTAAAAAAGTTTAATAGTAAAGATTTTGATTTGTAAGTCTAATTTTCAATTATGTAGTGTATCTTTAAAAAACTCTTTAATAATTCACGAGGAAAATACAAAAGAAATGAATGTTTAATTAATGTTTGTAAATCGGATAAAGAATTGTCCTGATTTACATAAACTTTAGCTTTGATTTTCTCGGCTTAGACTATGTTTATTTTTAAAATTACTTCGCCAATGAACTCATAAGATGGGTCGCTTTTTAAGCATATTAGTACATATATTAGAGAAGTAACCTAGTTTATCTTGTGAAACCATCAATATTGTCAGGTGAATATGATGTTTGTGATGTTACTCTGCGTGTGCATCCACACCGGCCAAGCTGAAAAGTTAATTGCTTGGCCACGGTGGGAATCGATTCCCACCGTGGCCAAGCAATTAACTTTTCAGCTTGCCTGGTGTGGATGCACACTCAGAGTAACATAAAAAACATAATAGACTATACTGTTTAATAATTTGCATGCACTCTTGCCCCAATAGCCTCATTTTCATGTTTGCCTGTTTGAACATTGGCATTGCAGGCAACCTGAAGGATATATGCCCATATTTCGTGCATGAATATGTTTCTCTTTGATCTTGAGCCCAATCACAAACTTATTCTTAAACTATAATTGCCCACGAAACATGAGGAAATAACCACATGAGAACGGGGTGATTGGGTCAAGAGTGCAGTAGACAATGCAGTCTATTGGACGAATCAAAGGTTACATAGAGAATAATACATGGGTGCGCGAAAATACCAGATTTATTTCGAGTGTTGAACATGATATCCCACGGGTGAGCGCAGCGAACGAGTTAGATATCATGTTCAACACGAGAAATAAATCTGGTATTTTGTATTTTTCTGTTTATTATATAAAGGACAGTCTTTGAAAGGCAATAATTTGTACAGAAAAGCGATATTTGAAAAGCGATAATTTTCACATGTGAGATTATCATGAATAATCTCACATGTGAGATTATCACTTTTATCAGTGCTCGAAATCTCTATAAAGCACTATACTTTATATAATAAAAATAGGTACGCACTGCGTACATGTGGCTAGCCTCTCCTTTAGGAGAGAAAATTGGAATTCATATCACAACACAGCAGCCCAATGTCTGTATTGTGTTGAATTTAAAAAAATTATGGCGGTATCGTGAATATTTAAGAATTATAAAACATCTTTCTGCGTTGATATAAAGTTATATAAAGACTATAATGAGTTTTGTGGAAACACGATGCCCGACGGGCGAGTGTTTTCAGTCATAATAATAAACTGAGTAGACTCGATGCATGCCCGATCGCCAAGCGCGAGGGTAAAAATTTCAACACGCATTTTTGGGCTGCTATCATTAAACTAATTAAAAATGCAATACATTTGACCTTGATAACTTTTGTATTGCTGGTTTTCTCTTTTTCGGCCGTATACCAGTGGATTCGTCTCACTTTTCTTTTGTTAGTAGTTTGATCCCAAAATATTATAATTTGAAGGTTTTAATGTACAGTTTTAATAAGCGAAATTGTATTGTTGACAAATCGCTCAAAATGATTAAACTAATTATAAAAATGCAGTCCGTTTGATCCTTGATAACTTCGGAATTGTTGGTTTTCTCGTTTTCGGCCATATGCAAGTGGATTCGTCTCACTTTTCTCCTCATTTTGGTAGTATTTTGAGCTCAAAATATTTTATTTTGAAGGCTTTAAAACGCAGTTTTGATCCTAACGTATGGACCAACTGGCGGCCGACAGGAAAATGTGTAGCGTGCTAAATATAACTTTACTTGTGCATGTAGGCGGAAACGCCGAAAGTTTTATTTGTATAGGCGAGCACCGCATTTTAGTACTGTGTCTGGTTCTGTTTTAATTTTCTTTAATATATGGCTAACATGCATGAAAAGAATGTATATGCAAGTCTGCTACTGCAATTACCTGCAATGATAATACCCATATTACCGTATTAATAGTATATACTTCAAAATATTCAATCATGATTTAATTAATGTTCTGTCAACTTTCCAATTAATATACACAACTTTCCAATTAATATAAAAATCTTACTATAAAGTACATATAAAAGGAATGCCACTTATAAGTGAAACAAACATATGGTTTGCTAAAAACCAACTTGAAATATGTCGAGAATATTCTAAAGAAAATATCAGTAACTACTTTGTTTGATACTTTGATTGTTTCTACTTTAAACGCTATACTTCAGTAATATTGTCAATAGTTGTTTAGTGGTGAATTCAATATCAAAGCTTCACTCCTTAAATATGAAAAGAGTGTTCAGTTATAGTCACCAAATGTATAGCAGGTTTAATTAATACGGTACACTTTCAAATAATAATAGTGCTGTTTAGTAACATTACCGAAATGTCAACCAAAATAGCGATGATATACATTGATATACCTTCATCTTTGATGTTTTGTCGACAATTGGTTTATCTTTATCTCCGTTGTTTTGTTTGATGAAATATTGAACATATAATACCAAATTTCCAATTCCAAAGCACACTGCAGTGTTGCTCAAACTGATCGATGTTTATTTATTTCAGGCCTGATCGCAGGCAATCTCATGTCATGAACGACAGTTTCCGAAGTTGACGACAATTTCCGTCACATCTTGACATCCTTCGTTCAGCTTTACATTGTGGCTACGAACGGGCTAGCCACAAAAAGGAATAAACAAAAATGCTAATTGGCTAAAAGCACAGCAATAAAACTGTCCTCAGACAGGAGACTATAATGCTATTTGGGATTATCCGTGTGTCCGCTTAGGAGAGGTCGTAAAAAAATAGAGGTTTGGTGCAGACCCAAGAATAGTGTCGTACAGTATGATAGTGGGTGACAGTGTCACCTGTTGAGCGATGGTATTTACTGTGACAATTGCCGCCACATATGATTTTTGCCGTAAATCAAACCCGTAAAAGAAGCAGCCAGTCAGCGCCTTGACACCGTCCTTTTAGGTCTAATAATCGTACTCATACCTGGCACTGAATGAGGATTTTCAGGAGTGATAACCATGGTAATCTCCTCCATGTCGGATTTCATTTTCTTATTCAAATAACCAATCTCCTTTTGTTCTGGTTTGATTTGTAATGCATTTCCACGAGAATCAGCAATATTCACAGACATGCACGCCACGCCTAGATTAAATAAAAACATCAAATATATAGGATATATTGGGACATAGTATTGAGATATTGAGGCCTGCAGGTGTCTCAACCATAATATCTATGGTCTCAACGCGTGTCATGGAAATAGCGTGGAAATAGCGTCGATCACAATAAAATGAAGTGAAAAAGTAGTACTTCTGATAATATTGTATTTTGTTAAGCAAATTTAGCTTTTTGGGCAAAGGTCAATGTAAATAAAAAAATAGATAATAATAGTTTATGCGCGTTAACGTTTCGTTCTTTTGTAATCTAAAGTTTGTAATCTAATCTAATATAAAATATTCTACAGAAAATATTCTACAGTTTAACAGCACTTGCCAGCATCTAAAACGCGTTAAAACGTATTTTGAAAATCAAAAACACAATCAACGTGCGTACAAGACGAAGACAGAATTACATTCATGTCTATCGTGCAGTGGTCTGTTTTACACTCAGATGTTTAAAATATCAGTGATTATTTTTACAAAGTGATTTAAGGCGGCTCGATATATTATTCCAAACAAAATCACTTATACAAGAATTGCGAAAACAAAACGTTGCTTTATGAACAAACCCGCTTGACCATTCGTGCCCGCGGGAATATTAGCTACGTGGGAATATTAGCGAAAGAACTTACATATATGATCTGACGTGGCGACTTGCCCACGCCATCTCGCGCCATTCTATGTGGTTTATAAGCGTTGCATGGGGCCTCATGGGGATCAGCGGCTTCTTTACCAACTACGCAAAGCAATAGGCTGTTTCAGAGTGAATTTCACAATAGGCTGTTTCAGAGTGAATTTCACAATAGGCTGTTTCAGAGTGAATTTCACAATAGGCTGTTTCAGAGTGAATTTCACAATAGGCTGTTTCAGAGTGAATTTCACAATAGGCTGTTTCAGAGTGAATTTCACAATAGGCTGTTTCAGAGTGAATTTCACAATAGGCTGTTTCAGAGTGAATTTCACAATAGGCTGTTTCAGAGTGAATTTCGTGTGTAGCCATAGCAACGAACTATGTTTTACCAAAACTAAACCAGAAAACAACTGCACAGAATGTCAAAGCACGCGAAAACAACCACGCAATCATGCACCTGACGAAAGATGAGCACAAACAATAAACCGTCAAGTCCTTTGTCAAGTCTTTTGTCTAACCAAAATGTTAGACAAAATAAAACATTTTGTTTATAATAATCTAGAAGAACAATACAAACAAACAACAACAACGGTATAAACAGTGGACTAACCTTTTCCTCCTGTAGTAAAGGTGGACTTGGTGAATATAAACACGTCATTTTCTGGTACAGTTTGTGAACAAGCCTCGTTAACTCGAAACTTCTTGAAATGATAATTTTCTGTTTGTGTCGTATATTTGGGCGTGTGTAGGTAGTTGAGAAGATGTTGTTTAAAGAAAAATGCAAATGGATGAAGATTTTTTGCAGCAAAAGATGGAAGCACCAGTTGAATCAATGGAGATGGCGGAGATCCAGGTGGTTGAATAAACTAAAAATATACATACAGTAAGTTGAAATTAGTTAGCGGTGGAATAATACTATTTTTGTTTCAATATCTAAAAGTTTATAAATGTCTATCATGACATCATCGAAACCCAAAAAATATATAATAACCACGCAACTGTCACGCAATAAGATAAACCAACCAACTCCAATTATAAAATCAGAGAACGGTCTGTGCGAGTATAGGTATAGTGACGATACCAAGACAGCCGCGGATTGAAAGTGATAAACACTGGTATTGAAGGAACTATATTCTGTTCCGAAATATCACTTACTCGAACCGTCCTGACCGCGTAGCTCAGTTGGCAGAGCATTGGGCTAGTATTCCAAAGGTCGTAGGTTCGATTCCCACCGTGGCCGGGCATATTTTTCAAGCTCGCCCGGTGTGGATATACACTCAGAGTAACATCACAAACATCATAATCACCTGAGTACACAACACCAACACAGAAAAAATGATAAAACTACTTGAATATACATCTGCTTTATTTTCAGGTAGTTGTCTCGCTGTCAATCCACAGCACTCTCTCATAAAGTTAGAGATGTATGATGATGACTGAATAATGTATCGTAATCAGTCGTGTGCTAGATGTATTCATAGAATAGTGAGGCGAACTTTTAGTATCATTAAGAAAAGCAATGAGACACATGAGGCATTGTCTCTTGCCATTTATTTACATGAAGGTTTATAATCCTTATTGTTGGCCTCGTTTCAACACTATGTTCGGGATTGGCTCAGGTTGGATTGGGTTTGAAATTCGTATCCAACACTGTCGAAAATCAACAATCAACTTTTAAGTTGAAAATTAAAATTTTCCATTTGGAATTTAGATTATAATGTAATTGCATAGTCAATTTACTCTATTTTGATTGGTTAAAAACTGTGCCGATTAAACATTAATCGCACAGGTGTGAGAACAATACAAGCCCGCGTGCATTCCGTACGCTCATGTGAGTGCAGAAATTTAAACATAAAATCTAAATGAACAACATAAAAATTTATATTCTCTGAGTTTGAACACTTAATATTTATGTTCAAATAAAGAAGACAAAGAAAAAATAAAGATTAGTTACAGTTTTCACAGGTACAGTATGAATTGAAAATTAATGTCAGAAATTACTCTCAAAATTGAGGCGCGTATGGCTGTGTTCGCTTGAATACATTAATACAATATTTCTTGCCATTGATTGCTCGTGTAAAATTGACTAAAATTATATTAATAGGAAATTACAATAAATTATTATTATAAATATTTCGCAGTATTATAAATATTTCGCAGTATTATAAATATTTCGCCAAACACGCGTGCGATTTTTTATTTAATACTTCTCGAACCGTGTAATTATTTCCTATACAAATTTCTCCAGATAGTATTTTACTTATGCAGAACAAATCTGAATAAATTCCTCACAAGCATTCACAGCTGCCTTTTCTATGGCAACGATGACGCTTCAATATGATGGATATTTTGTAGTGTAACGTATTGTACAACATTTCACAAATTAATACTGACAAAACGCCATCCTATCAAATCGTCACTTTCACAACAAGCAATCAATCTTACCTGGACGTCTTGTAAAGCCAATTTTGTGTTCGGATTCCTAGACAGAGCAATAGTTATCATTTCTAAGGTATAGTCATCAAGACGTTTTTGGAAAACATTGACTAGATCTTTTTTAATCTCATCACTCGGCTCTGTAACACCATGAATTGTTAGTTTAATGCATTCTTCCACATGTTCACTGGCTGGGTGGACCATAGAGTCATTCATTGTATCAATATTTAAACCTGCACTTCTTTTTCGTGAGTACTCCTCCTACAACAAACACAAATAGCCAAAACTTACAGTAAAAAAGTGAAACGGCATCAGGAAGGATTCAATGTTTTTTGTCTGTGTAGTTGGTGTTATGTACTCAGGTGAATATGATGTTTGTGATGTTACTCTGAGTGCATTCACACAACTTGCCCAGTGTGGATGTACACTCAGAATAACATCACAAACATCGTGAAGGATTCAAGTTCCTATAATTTAAGTACAACATGCAATACTTGACTAAACAGTAGGGAGTTTAAGATTCGCATTTCCGGGAACGGCAAACGGCAGGTTCAACTTTCTAACTAAAGGCAGGTTCGGAACTTCCTTCGCAAAATTTTTGTTAAACGTTTTCGTTTCATATTTTCTTTCTTGTGTCGAAAGAATAGTCATGCATTGCAGTTTTAAAACAGCAAGTTCATTTACTCTTTGTTGCCTGATACCGTAAAATTTTTCTTTGCCTGGCGTTTGCCGTATAACGCGAAGCTTAAACTTTCTCTCGTTATTTCCAAAACCGCGGATCCTTCCTTTTGGCTCTTGCCCAAAAAACGTGCCATGTTTTGTGTCAAAACATTCAGGAATGCGACTAGATTCCTAACGTCGTGAAATCGACAATTTGGAAATGGCGACATCTGATTAGTCTGCGGGAAATATGTTCTGAAATTAGCTTTTAATAGTTTGACATTTTAGCAGTAATAGGCGTAGGAGCAAAGTTCGTATAGGAGCATACAGTAGTTGCATTCCTGAATGTTTTGACATGAAAACAAGACACGTTTTTTCGGGCGAAAGGAAGCATCCGCGGTTTTGGCAAAAGCAAGAAAATACGACAAATATGAGGCGTCCAAATTGAAGTACTTGCCTATTATTTATAAATGGTGGCAATGAATAAATTGAATGTATTATACAATAGACCAATTGCGAAACTTAGTGACCGCGCCTTAAACTGCACGAAAACGAGGCTTATTATGCAAAAACAAATCATTCTGCTATATTTTTATATGGCGAAAAATGAATTTCAGTGTTTGAGACGCGTTTTTATGGTAATCTCTTCATTTTTTTTCAATATTTCTGTTTTGATTATGTAAATCTTTATTAAACTTGTTCATAGATTTAGTCTTACTTCAAATTTCATTGTTTTCGCGGCGTGCGAGGCAAAGTTTTGCTGTTTTTCGCCGTCCGATAAAAGAAGCAGATTATACCAGAGAACGAATCAGGTATTTTCCGTCTGTTTTATTATTACATTTCAAAGAATAAGTTGTAACATTGATTAATTCTGTTTCAGTTGTAATATAATAGCAAGATTTCGATTTTAACTTTAAAAATATGAAAGTAAATGTCGGGCAAAATTTGTAGAAATTTTATGTTATTATCACTTTGACAAAATCGTTTTTTTCTCGCACAAGTCTAAACAAATCTGGGTAGAAAGAGTTATATTTTAGTTTGTTTAGTTATACTGACTATTTTATTTGCATCTTGATCAGATTTTAAAGTCTAGATTGATCTTTTCCATATGTTTGTTCCATCGCATGCTAAAACAACAACGAAATATCTCTCCAAAGCGGGTAAAAATATAGTGGGAAATCGATGTTTAGATAAATTTAACAAATATTTATATAAAATATTAAGAAAAGATCAAAGAGATTCAAGAAAAAACACTTTAAAAACCCTAAAATTCACTTTTCGCTATATAAAAATATAGAAATTGTTTTGTTTTTGCATAATAAGCCTCGTTCTCGTGCAGTATGAAGGCGCGGCCACTAAGTTTCGCAATTGGTCTATGATAAGAATCTCTAATGCCTAAAATGTTCATACCTTTATTCTAATACCCGTAATGGAAGAACAAGACGCCGGGTAGGCGTTTACTTGGGCGACTCATATATGCCACAAAGCATCATGGGGGACAAAACGCAACACCAGAGAAAAAACAAAGCGAATTTATGACTTGATCGACATAGGTCGCCCAAGTAACAAGCAATCAACTAAATTCACAGAGAGTAGCAAGACTACCAAAGAACAGGAACTGGTCTTTAACTACAGCCTGATGTACTCCTAGTGTAGGTTCTAGTGTAAGCACTGTTCAATAGCAAACAGTTATTGGATAAGGTTTTTATGATATCCAGAAAATCAAGATTTAGGTAAGTGCTATAGCAGTCGAGCCAAAGGCGAGATTCATAACACCTACAGAAGAGACCTTGATAATTCGGAAGAAGAGACCTTGATAATTCCGACTTCAATAAATAACTGTTTTATTATACATTGCATTATGCAGTATCTGCTTTGTCCACAAAAACATTCGTGAAAACGCCGTTCGCTCATTTTGTTTTTGTTGTTTTTATTCGTGTAATTAAAATGCCACTTGCTATAAAATTACACGTCGCGGGCTCAACATACACGTAACCGAGTGATGACTTACCAGTTCATCTTCCAGCTCAGCAGTTCCTGCGGTTTTGGAACATGATTGCAATGAAGAGACAGGAGATACTGGAGGTGATTGAATATTTTCATCAACTTCAAGATTATCTTTTGTTCCTTCTACTCCCGTTTCCTTGCTCAGGCATAATGATGAATCCAAACTAAACGGAAATATGTATACATCACTTCGTGGCTGGTGAGTGCGTAAAACCATGGTGGCGCCACACTCTAAGAACACTCTGGCTAAAATTTTCCTGGTTAAATTTCCTGTTTAAATGTCCTGGTTATTTTAAACTTTTCCCTAATAAATGATAATATAATTTGACCAGCAGAAGTTCAGGACTTTCTAGTTAAATTAACCAGACTATACTACTGTAGGTGGACATATAACCAGGGGCCCTTGGTTATTTATCCACCTAAAATAGTCTGGTAATTAACCAGACTATGGTAGAAAGTGAGAAAAAATAACCAGGAAATTTAACCAAGAATATTAAATCGCGATTAATCTCACGCCGCCATTTTTGGGTGGCTTTTCAGCCGAAATCTGCGAGATAAGTCCACATAACAGCGACTTTTTATAATGTTTTGGACGAATGATGGTAAATTTGCTTTGTAAATGGTTAGTTTATTTTGAATTTGTTTTAATTGTTTGAATTGGTTAACGAGAATTAGATACCACCTAAAAATGGCGGATTTCGTCATCGTGAGAAAGGCTAATTAAGAAGCCATTTTTATCAATGCACCTTACATTGACCACCTTAGTGTGTATACATGAACTTGCGATTACAGTTCGACAACTGGCTCAGTTGGTTAGAGTGCCGAACCGGAATCGCATGGATGCAGGTCGTACTATATATTGTGCTTCCGACGTCATGCGCAGAGGTTCAGATTTTGACTTCCACTACCCTGATCATTAACCAATAAGATGGAATTATTCTACCCGATTAACCAATCAAATGAGTATTAAGCCTGTGCGAGGTAGTGGTAGTCAAATCTGACCTCTTTCTTACTTGCACCTACAATACAAAGCTTGTTTAAAAAGCTGTAAATCCACAGCGTTCAAAAAGCAACTTAGACGTCCTATTATGATTGTCCATATGAACAATCACTGTTTTTACTTGGGTAAGAGACTGGGGCAGAGACTAGTGCTTTCTTTTCTGAAATAGTGCTAAAAAAACTTACTTGAAATAGAAGATGTTACCATTCTTTTCTTGGTACACATACATATCGGATTTCTCATTGAGCGAGAATTTATCTAACACAGTACGTAATGCCTGTTTTGCTCTATCAGCGCCCTTATTGCGGTCAGAGTTTCCTTTTAATCTGAAATGAATAGGTAGATATGCCGTCCATTTTACAGGACATTTGAAATGTCCAGCTTGAAAACGGTATTCTTGGAGAACAACATGACTGCCTAGAGATATGAATAAAATATATTATAATACATCCACTGGATTTCGCGAGTTGTTTTGCAATCATATAAGAAGTACACGCACCATCAATCGCACCCAAAACTGAATGGGCTGCGCCGGCATAAGGCACACTTTCATTCCAAGTATCGGCGTCAGATCTCGGTTGTAACAAAGGATGACAGATTTTGTTATCATACACGTACCGAAGCAACATTTTCTACAATGATATGTGAAGCAAAAAGTGAGGACTGAGGAAACAGGTGACATGTAACGGACATTACAATATAGCTCGGCAACCCTCCCAACCCCAACCCTATTTGGATGTTGATTACAAAGAGGCATCGTGGCCGCATTTTGAAATTCAATATACGGGAAAAAGGAATAAGATACCTAAATGTGTATTACGGGAGTTACTTTTCAGTTCATTCTAGAATTTTTGCCAAGCTCTTATTCCTATGTTCTCGATCAGGTTCTATAATTTATGAAGAACCATAGACAACTTCGTCCGTAATGGGTTGTCGGCGACAATGTTAAAACAACAGCTTACTATAAATTTTTTTCGTTACTCAGTTGGTAGAGCATTGGACTATAGCAAAAAGATATGGGGTTCGATTCCCGCTGCGGGCATCCCTCCCTGTCCCCAGCGCGCCCCTCCCCCCTCCGTGTTGACAAAGACGACGCTTGCTTAAGCTCCTTAAAAAAAACATATGAAGAAATACCTGATTAACGAGATGACATAAAGTCTTGATTTCGTTAATTGCATCGGTGTACAGATCATAATAATACTCGCCGTCACAGCAGTCCCTGAACAGACGGAACAATAAAAACATCAGTAATATAATTTATACACTGCAAGAGTATTTTTTTAAAAACTTTAGTAAAATAATGCACCCACATAGAGACTCAAAATACTGGGAAAAGATGCTTAAATTTATGAGAAAATTAACTCATTTTTTTGAGAAAAGTTAAATTTGCTTATAAATCTGAGGAATTTTATTCCAAATATTGATTCACTGTGGGTGCATTATACAAGTTCTCTATCCCCCTTTGCACGCCTATAATGACGCGCTACTTCATGTAAACTTTTTATATAGTGACTCGTATACACTAGACATGGATGTTCTAGACTATATATTAGACATGGATGTTCTCAACGGTAAAATTTACCAAAAACAAGATTAATCAAATGAATCTTCAAAATTATCAGCTGCGTGCAGTTCATTTGCTTAGATTAACTTGTGTGAGTAGTTTTTGATTTCATTGAATCGAATCAGATATGTTTATGACTTGTTCTCATAACTAGCATACATTACGCTCACTAGTTCGTCTGGACAATTCGTCTTTATATTAAGACGTGCGAATGTACGATATATCAGACTGATGATGCATCATCTTGACAGATTTTCCTGGTAAAACCTCGTCGGTGCAATGGAATGCAAATGTTCAATGTTATTCATTCAAATGGTAATAGCAGTTGACGAAACATGTTTGTACTAACCTTGCATGAACAAGCACATCGAGCACATCTGACTCAGACATTCTAAGAATTAGCCACATTTCTGAGAAACTATCCAACACATGAGACTGATGACATGAAGATTTCTCATTATTTGTTCTTTTCTCCTGCGGAAATTCTCCTTCGTTGCTAAAAAGTGAGCCAAATAAGACACTTTCTGAATCCTGATCTTCGTCCATGCAAAATTTCTCATGTTCGGTTTTAGACTGGTCTGCTGCGTTTGGTACTGAATTATTGGACAACATCGAACATGTAAGTCTGAGGTAGTGATAGCTGCCCAGTTTTGATAACTCATAACAACCTAAAAGAATCCGAACAGAAACAACGTGCATTTATGCCTGAGGCCTTGTAGCTCAATGGAGCGTTTGTGCTGTTATCAAGAGGTTACATATACAGTACTTACCTATACGGATCTGATCAAGTTCTTCCATAAAGATCGCGAAACTTTTTTCTTCATCCAAGACAAAGTCTAGTTTTATAGGAGTAAAGCGACTAGACGATGTTTCAAAGTTCTGAGATTTGATAATATGTTCCGTGACACTGCGAAGAATTGACTTGGATATAAACGGAACATGGCACAGTGAGAAGACGATCTCATCCTGTAGTAGCCAGTTAATATCATCTCTGATTTTACGGATACTTTCAATTTGGGTGACAGGCAGTCCTGATACGAGTAAACTGAAAAAAACACATAGATTTTAAGTAACATTTGTACTAATTTCCAGACAAAGAAGTGCCATCGATCGAAACGTCAAAGTTTTTGTTAAATTTTTCAGTTAATTTGATCATATGAGTGACCTGTTTTGATTCTGCCTGTCATTATCGTTATACATTATTCAGCTCACTCCGATTATACATGAAGTGTTACGCTTTCTTATACCTATTTAGCCTAGACTATTTATCTTTACAACAATTGTGATATTACTTTCCTAACTGTGTTTATCCTAACCCACCCTGTCAATTTTCCCTGTGGGAGAAAACCGGAGCGCTCGGAGAAAACCCGCGACTTTCGGCAGAGCGTTGACTGACTATTTTCATACGAGTCCGTAGCGAGAATCACAATCATGCAAATTTCCATGAAAGTTTACACAAGGAAACAGGATAAAAGTAAATTCTGAGAAAGTATAATTACACCAACCTACTCTCCCTATCATGTGAAGCAGTCACGGACACAGATTTCTGAGCGCCATCCACATTTTCAAATCTGACCATTTTCTCATGCCGTGAGTCAGAACTTAACGAAGATACTGGACTGGAGCGCGTCCTGTAGCGAGATTTCCAGCGAGAGTAATCTGGTTCTCTTGGAGGTACAAGACAAATCAGGTCCAGCGTCACTTGTAAAGATGAAATAGAGGGATCCACGATTTGATCTGGATCTCGGTCGGCTTGATCCAAAATATCCGCTAAAATTTAGTTTAAAAGTAAGATTCATGTCAATTTTTGTATCAATAGGGGTCCTTCCCCTGCCTAGAAAGGGATCAAATCAATGGGATTTTGAAATCAATGAAAAGACAATGGAACATTTCGATCATTGAATGAGGAAGCCCCCATTCTATGTTATGCTAAGTGTTATACAAAGGGCCCAATCACTCCATGTTTAACAGAAATTCGCTGTGATCAGTGCACAGACATATAGAAATATAACTTTTATTTAATTTGACTGAATTATAGAATGATGAATAAGGGAAAGTGTTCTTCGTTTCGTGATTTATATTAGTCCACATTAGCATAACAAAAGTGACATGTCCATTCACGATTAAGCGTTCGGAATGTTCCATTGTATTTTGATGGATTGCCATCCAGTCACTGATTGGTTCGGCCATTATTGTATGAGGCTGCATCGACATGCAATCAAGAATTCTCCACACCTACACGCGTAAAAATTGAGCCTGCTGTTTAACAGGATTGAACAATGTTGTGCGGCCCACATTGATCAATAGATAGATAGATAGATAGATAGATAGATTTAATAAAATACTTCGCAGCCATAGGCTGAATTGCGTATTTTTTTACAAGTAAATTTAACTAATTACGAGAATATAAAAGAAGAGTTTATCAAGCCATTATGATGACATTCCATATAAATATTATATATACAAGATGTTTATTACTTTAATATACTAAAAAATTTAAAATTATTAAAAATATTAGGTCATTTCAATAGCATTAGATAAATGATTTGCGGCACGAAGCCACAAAAAAACTAGTTTGAAAACGATTAGTGTTACATCTAGGAATTTCAAATTTCCTATCGCTTCTTAAATCATAAAAAGTATGTGTAGGTGGCAGTAAACTTCGTAACTTATGATTTTCATCAGCAACTACTGTTTGAAATAAACTAGTACAAATATTTTCATGATGAACAGACAGTGACTCCAATCCACAACTAATTAAAGCGTCTTCGTAATTAGTGTTTGGACAGATGATTCTAATAGCTCTTTTTTGTAATCTTTCCAATTCGGAACGCAAGTATTTTGGCAACGAATAGTAAATGACAGGGATACCATAGTCGATAACAGATCGAATACATGTAACATAAAATAGAACCAGATCATTCCGAGGAATACTGGTCCGTTTGAGTTGGATCAGGTAATAGATTAGAATATTGAACAATACTGTTCAGCCTGAATCGGGTGTAACAATATTGTTCAATATTGTTGACAACTGTGAACAATGTGGGCCGCACAACATTGTTTTTAGCCGTGTAGTTGAAGATTACGGTATGTTCCGAATATGATGATAACACATATATACTACAGTATGTGAAACGTTGAAGGGTTTAGTAGATGAAAACAGACGAGTGTAAATTTTATACATTTGTTAGACCTAACCACCAGGAGCAGTTGCGAAAAATACAACTATATAGGCCCTCTGGCAGGAATTGAACCTGCGGCGCTGCGATTCCGATGCAGCGCTCTAACCAACTGAGCTACAGAGGCCAGTTGTTGAGCTTTAACCGCAAGTTCATGGATATATTTACTAAGGTGATGCCAATGGCAATGTAAGGTATATGGGTAATTATCAGGATTCTGGGTGTCTACACTCAATAAAACTAACTATAGAAGAGTTCAGCACTCTAACCGAGCTATATACAGAGGCCAGTTGTTGAACTCTAACCGCAAGTTCATGTATTCATACTAAAGTGATGCTAGTGTGTGGTGTATGGGTAAATATCAAGATTTGGGGCATCTCACTCGACAGAACTAAATGTTGATGGCTTTTTGTAGATGGAAATGTCGAGCGTAAATTTTATACATTTTTATAAACTGGCATTACCTTAGTATATAAAAATACCGTTAAAGCTCGACAACTGGACTATGTAGCTCACTTGGTTAAAGCGCGGCACATTCGATTTCTGCCGCCTATAGTTGCATTTTCGCAGCTGTTTAAGTCTAAGAATATATAAAAGTTTACACTTGACATTTCCATCTACAAAAAGCCTTCAACAATTTACTTTTGTCGAGTGAGATCCAAAAATCCTGATACGCGAAACTTACCAAAACAAAGGACTCTGTACAGTACAATGTATCAATGGAGTATCACGTCAATTTTAATGCATCGTCCATAATGAATACAACTTACCAAAACAAACAGGAAGATATTCGGATGGCATGCTAACCATGGTGCTAGACAAATGACTTTTATCTCGTATAGTACAATTCAAACTTAAAAACAACGGAACATTATGTTCTTTCTCTTCCTGTTCTGTATTATCTTCTTTAATTGAGCTCTGTATATCGGATCTATCGGAAGGATAATCTGATTGCTTATCTTCACTAACATCATCATCATACGTTGTAACACTGCCCTCAGTAATATCGTCTGCCCTCAGTGATATCACATTTTCACTTTCAGTTGCATCAACGCTTTGGAGAACAGAGTGATCTCCTTCAAACACAACATCAAAACCAGTGTCACTGCTAGTTTCTATTGACTCTTCATCACCTTCATCCTCATCTGACTACAATTGCAAGAAGACGGTGTTTTAGTACATTGATTGGGAGACTCAGTGGCAGATTACCCATGATCAGTAGGCTGAAACTCATAGGCCCAAGCTTTAAAGGCCCGTGATTTTCAGAGATTGCACTTTTATTTTCACCCTATCCCCATTAACTCCAAGAACTGTCCGAAGATGTCCGAATTATAAGAACTAATAATAACATCAGCGGAGGAGAGTTGCGAGGCAACTACACCTGACGCTGAGGCAGCTGAAGTTAATAGTGAGCCTCAACTCCTTCTGCTGTAATCTGATTAATCTCTATTATTGGCAAGAGTAGAACACGGCCGCAGAAAACGGGAAATAGCTTTTCCGAGACCTTAAATTTCTAAATATTTCGGGGAAACATGCCAGGCCTGGCCAGAAGAACTTGCGAGTAGTGTTTGTAAATATCAGTACCTAATTTATATCCTAGTGAGCTTGATATTACTTTCGAAACAACTTCACAAGTTCATTCACATAACCGTAAACAGAACTTTTAAATACAGTTTTTAAGAATGTTTTATATAATTTTCAAAAAAGAAAAATTACAAGCGTGTCGTATCTTTATATATGATAGAGACACTTTAACTTTGATTTTCTCGACTTACACAACGTAATTTTTGAAAATTACTTCGCCAATGAACTTATTAGATCGATCATTTTTGAAGCGATTTAAAACATTCGCAGTGCGTGTTTTGTCAGACCTAAAGATACTCGACTTCGCCTCCTATCTTTATATCTGATAAAACACTGCTGCTGATGTTTTAAATAGTACATCAAATCTGATTCTACATAGTAATCAAATTTGATGTCAAATGCATGTAAATTTTTAGATTTAGATTTTTTGATATCAGGTTCCTTGGAAGAGCGTTTTTATGAAAAGGCATCATATTTGATTGACACCTCAAACGTGAAGGTCCAGTGTTCTACAATAAGCTGGCGTGGGGTTTGAACTAAATGAAAAGGGTAAAAAAAATATTTCGATATTTCGAGCGGGAGTTAAGCAGTGAGCTTCATATATATCTGAAGTAAGAACTCGCATCCAAAACGTGAAGCCAAAGATAGCGGAAATTGACGTCCAGTGCCAGTCTCTTTCTATTGTTTTCGTCTGCGCGACTGACACAAGGGTGCTAGGAGTGTGCGAAAATTCGACATCGATTGAAAGGTATTGAATATTTAACAATTAGTCACCGAAGGCGAGGTGATTACAAGCCTTTAGTATAAATTTTGCATATCAAATGAGCTTTCGCGCGTTCTGATTGGCTAGTTGACTAGTAAATCTGACGCATTATTCGCCACCTGACTAGTATATAAATAATCAGTGCTCTCACTTTTAAGGAATTATCCTTAAAAATAGGAATTTTGAAGAGTTTTAAGGATTTTAGGTTTTTGAGGATTTTTTTAAGGAATTTCCGAAACATTTTATCCTGGACTAAAAACGTTGGACGGAGATTTGGACGGAGGATAACCACACCACGCAAATGAGATTTAAACTTGAAAGTAGCAACATTATACGCACATAATTACATATATTCGTATGTTCTCTATGTCATAAATGTACATATGGCTGTCTTTCCTTCAAAATTCTCAAAAGTTAAATGTCAGTATAGGCTGTTTCTTCTGAAATGTGCAGATTTTCTAAGCTCTTCGTGCAGCAACGATAAAAAATACATCATGTCAAATGTTTTTAGTGCTTAGAAACAAGGTCGAAAAACAGCAAAAAAGGAGAAAAAAACACTTTTGCAACTATGTGATCAGGCCTTGTAGTAATTTTACCAATTTAAGGAATTTAAAGAAATCTGAGGAATTTTCGAGCTTTTTCTAAGGAATTTGAAAATTTGATTGTGAGTAGGGTTGGGCGATATTAAAAAATCATCTCACGATTATTGTCGAGGAATTTATCACGATATTCGATAATATCGCGATAAATGCAATAAAAACAATAACAAATAAAATAACAAATTAAAGTAATAAGCAGGCTTTTTTTGTCTAATATTTACTGTTCATAAACCTGAACTGTGTATGCCATGCAGTGTCTACTGTGTCTCCGCAGGCACAAATACCGTGGGCACACAGCGCAAACATAGCATGCAATTTCATTGTTCAGCGGATTAATACATAAATATTAGCTTTAATATTGTATTAAATTCATATTTAATTCAGGAAATAGTTCTAATTCTTTTAAAAACTATATTTTCTAGGAATTGAAAGACGTTTTTAGGATTTACAAAAGCTATATACACACATGCGAAGCAATATCACGATAGTCATCGAGCATGACGATAATTTCGATATATCGTCGATCAAGTTTCTACCTTCGATACAATAATCGTGGTTGAAAATATCGCGATAAATCAAAATATCGCCCAACCCTAATTGTGAGAGCACTGTATTAAAAGTAATCGGCAAATTTGGTTTCAAAATCGCCAAAAGTCCCCAGAAAACCAGAAAAGCACAAAATGTTGTATTTAACTTAAAAGGTACGATTCCTTTATTACTTTACTTCACTTGGGGGAATTAATATTAGAATGCTTTTTTAGGGTTAGTAATCCAAGTGAGTATATATATACACTTTAAGACCTGACCAGGAACGACTGCGAAAAATGCAGCACAAAGTCCTCTGGTAGGAATTGAACCTACGGCCCTGCGATTCCGGTGCAGCGCTCTAACCAACTTCAAACAAATAGCAAAAACTATCCTGACTGTTGGGAAAAGCCGTGATATTCTTTTTTAAAACAATTTTGTTTTGTATCCTATATATATCTCAATTTGTACGATACTATTTCTTTTGATATGTCGTGTTTCATTGTGCTGTATATGGTGTCCTGACGTTGTATTGGGTTTCGAAACTTGTAAAGTAAAAAGTGTGTTAAAACTACTTCCAAACGATATAGTTTTACATTTCATTTTACCAAATTTCTCAGCCATTTCCTGAAAAATTAATGCTACACAGAAACTATTTTTAATTATATTCTCATTTAATTCTCATTCCGTCATTGTGTTTACATTCTACGCAGAAATCGAGAAAAACAACTTTGTAATAAAGCAATAATAAAGTCACACAAGAAGCCATTTTAAAAGCGTGTGCGTGAACTGGCCGAAAACAGTTTTATTTCTGAATTTTAATTCAACTGATATTTGGATATTCATTAAAAATTTATACTAAAACAATTATTCGCCTCAGGCTCGGTGTCACAGGTAATCACTTCACTAATTGTTTTAGTATAAATTCAGTATCGAAAAATAATAATATATACAAACGAGTCAAACGAGTCCAGCTGTCGGAATCTTGTCGCCCGATTCTGTTATTTTCCGGTTTTAAATTGTCAAATAAATTGTTTAAGGCATCTAAAAGGTGCTTTGGCTTTCGGAAATAGGTTAACACCACATATTGTTGCTTCTTTTGCTTTTAGAGGTCTAGTATGTGCTTTAATTTCTTCAATTTTTTCTTCGGTGATTTGTTTGCAAGTGGATTTTCGGCAGCCATTTTGTCTTGAAAGCAATAGTTACTACTCAGAGCAGTCTGGGCAGTAACTATATATTATTGCCTCAGAGTTACTGGTGAGGGAGACAATCAGAACGCTTGAAAGCCATTTTTCAATACTGAATTTATACTAATTGCTCATAGACAACTCGGCCTCATTGTCTAATTGTTAAATGGCGAAATGTGCCATCTTTACACACGTTCATTTGAGCGCATACACCAGGGTAATAATCGTATACGACTAGTCGTATCGTGTAGATGGGCCTAAAGGCCGTTTATTCTGTGGTGTAACCGCTCGGAAACGTACCTGATAAGAATCTTTTAAAAAGTGAGGTTGGTAAAAATAATGATCCCTTCTGTTTGGTATCGGTGAAAAGTATTTCTTCAGCACCAAATCAAATCTTCGTTGAATGAAATCATGTAAACCGTCCAACTCTTCGCATTTCGAAGTCCAGAGCGACTCGCTCGAGTTCACATCATAATTATTTCGTAGAAAATTTACTGCATTCTCCTCATGAATTCGTTTCCAGTCTTCCAGAGATTTCTCGCATTCTGAGCCAATATTAGTTGGATGTGTAATGTGACCACACACATTTCCGAGAAATCCAAAGATATCAATCTCTTCTGGAATGAGATCTGAACAAATTGCTAGAATTTCATCCAGATTATCATCATCAACGTGTTCCCCTCGTCGTAAACTCTCAAACACTGTGGAAACGAAACAGTACAAGAAAAGCTCGTAAATAGCCATGCAATGGGAACGAAGTTCTTTTGATTTTTCCAAGCTATCGTTTTTCTCAAACTGAGCTAGTCTGTTTCTGTGGTCTAACAGGATATCTTCAAATGATTCATTATTATCATTGTCAGTTAGCGATGATAGGACAAAATCGTAAACAAACAAAGACAAGTCCACGCAACTACGCTGACTCCAACGTCTACTTCGCCAGAATTTTCCAACAGTTTCGCTACGGTCATCATCGTTGTTGTCATGGTGATCAACCTCGACGGTCTTGTTAAAAGTTGACGCCTGTCTTTTTCGGAACAACACGCTTGGCTTAGACTCGAGAGAGAGATCAACACATGACTCATGTTCTTCAAGTTCTTTCACTACCCTTCCAAATGCTTGTAAAGATTGAAAAGACGCCGGGAAAAAAGTCAATAATAAATGGTTGTTCCCCATTCTAGTAAAACACCGCCAAGTTATGTTTTCATCCTGTGTATATTTTCCAATACCAATACGTTGAAGAGAGAAATCCAGAAATCTTCGTGAATCTTCAGCTGTGAGTGTCAACTCTCTGTCGTGTAGTCGTTCCATGTGTTCCAAGATGTGATCAAACAAAATGTCATTGGAACGGCGGGAAGTGGACCTGGATGAAACTAAATAAGAAAAGGTAAGGCCCGTTTCAGACGGCGTACTTTTCATGTGGCGAATTTAAATCAAATTTAGACCAGCTGCAAACAACTCTTCGCCGGTGGACTTCATTCACAGGTAAAGTCATGATTCAGTTAAAATAAATGTCAATTGTCAGTCTATAAATACTGTAAGTGGATCAATGTTGTCGCTCAACAAATTATGTTTTGCTGATTAAAATCAATAAACATTCTGCGAAAATTCTGAAAGTGTTTGCAAAAAATTCCCGAGTTTCTGGGAATTAACAAGCTGGGAACAAACAGTGCGAACACATCCTGATGATAAATTGTTGGAACAGCATTGCTGCAAGTCTGCTGCAGAGGTTTGTTACAACTTGTGCGTTTTTAAGTGTGTAGTAGACTACATAAACCGTCTCAGAACAAAAGTTGAGTGAACATACCTGGCCGTTCATGCTCGATAAGTGTGGAAAACCAAAGTTCAGCTTGTCTGGAACGATCAAGAACTCTCATAATATCGAAAGGAAAAGGAACTTCATATATTAGAGATTTTTTATCAGGATCATTTGGTGGGGATTGGATATGAACGATAGCTTCATCTGGTGAACTGACAACCCGATCATCACACATGCAGCGAATGTGATCATAAGTTAACCACGCTGAGATTGTCTCCAAGTCAGCTTCAAAGATCTGGTTGAAAGAGATATTGAATAATATAGTCTTCCACATACCGTTAGAAGGTATGTCGAAGTCCGAGTACAAGGGTGAAAGGCGGGAAAATATCTTTAAATCCAGTTTTCCACTTCAACCGTACCGTACCGAAACGTACTGGTGAGCATGCGCAGATTAAAGAGATTAATAAATCCACGTACTTCCGGGTGTATTCGCATATCAAAATGAAAAGTTCATCGCAAGTCAACTTTTTGGCGTACTATACGAAAGTATTAACCAATCAACATTCACTAAATTTTTGATATTTAAAAATGTTTTTGATACGCTTCGGTACGGTACGCTTGAAGTGGAAAACTGGCTTAATTGTATTGGCGGGAGCGCCAAAGAAATGCCGATCCTGATAGAAAGAATCAAATTGAATCAATCAGTCGTATCTATGTTAGCGTCCGCATACAAGACTAGGTCAGTAGGAGATGTTCTGAAAAGAAATAGCATTATTTTCTAACTCTAGTAACTCTCGGTTGACCACTATTGGCTGCACGATAGCGCTTACTGTAATGTGCAGCTCAAAAATGCGTGGTATTTGTCTCTTTTATGTAGTCTCACAGCTTGGAAAAGTTTTGAAAACTCGCGCATGGAGCTCGGACGTGCATCTACTTTGTTTATTATTATGACAAGGTTGGCAATATTTTTAACTGAAATTTGTGCATGATTCCGGTACAACAGCCAATCAGCGCTTCTTCAATCAAATTTAAAAAAATATGACGTGAGCCATAGGGTAGGTTACCTCCACATAGTTTTGACAAAATTTTGATAAAGAATTCGCTTTTTTAACAACCTTAGAATGAACTTTTGAAGTTAAAACTTTGGAAGAATTTAGTAAAATTACCAGTGTTTGAAATGATGTAGATTTTTTATTGTTTTGCTTATAATTTGCGAAATATTCATACTTAGAAAACAATGTAATAAATTTCAGTTAAAAATCTTGCCAACCTTCTCATAATAATAAACAAAGTATATGCACGGCCGAGCGGCACGCGCGAGCTTTCGAAACTTTTCCAAGCTATAAGACTACAAAAAAGAGACAAATACCACACATTTTTTGGGCTTCCTATGCTGTAACACATCTATAAAGGAGCTTATTTCTGTACTACAGAACCCTGTGATATTTTCAATCTGGGTGGATCAAGAATAATTTACCATATTCTTATCTACAACACTCTAACATTAATTTGTGTTTCACAATAGACAGAAAATGGATAGGCTACCTTGGCAGGTATTTCAAAATACTGCTTTCCAGCTAAATACTCAGGAATCTCGTTTTTCACAATGACTCCATGTTGAGGCTCGACCCAAACTTCCACGACTAACTCTAACTCACGTTCATCTTCTGGTAAACGATTGTCTAGTGCCCAACCTTCGACGCGGTTATGACTCGATGACGTCATTGGCGGGAACATGACAAACTGTACAATACAAGTGGTCGGTGGTTCACCATCTTTATCTTTTTCCTAATAACAGTAGAATAAGCAGCTTGAAAATGTTTAACAGACTTTCGGAAGCGAGCAAACAATGCTATGAATATGATTGCATTATATTAAATTTATATTTATATGCTATCAAAAGGAAGGTCGATGTATAGCCAATGAAAAATTCAGGTGGTCGGCGACCTTAGGGCGAGGGGCCGGTTGTATAAAAAAGTAGTTAAAGTTAGCCAATCGGAATTGTATCAGGTACCTAAAAAGTACAGTAGTTTTATACAACCGTCACCTGAGTTAAGGTTCATACAGACCGAACGCGATTCGACAACGCGACGCGAATTTTCAGTTTTTAAAAACAAATAACCGTCAACGTATAAAAATTTTACAAGATATGCAGACCAAATAGCTAAAATGGATTAAGTGGTTCCGAATATTTGAAAAACATAGAAAAATATGAAAGTTAAATGTCATTGAAAATTGAAAATTCGCGTCGCGTTGCCAAATCACGTCTGGTCTGTATGGACCATTAAGATATGTCTTCATTCAGGAGGCATGTCTTAACTGTGAAAATTAAATGGCATTCTTTGGCCTAGCGCAAGGCGGTGATAGGCTTTGAAGTCAACGTCAACGTCAACGGACACTGTTTTGCGGACTATAAACACTCAAATGGTTCACGAATCGTCTTGAGCAAAGTTTTGAAGTTGAACAATCTTATATTTTCAGGTTTCCTTCACAATATATTTATCTTTGGCACTAATCTAAATTGGGAAATTGCTAATTGAAATGGCGAATTGTTTACTGTAGCTAACACTCTGCTAAACCTTGCGTAATCATGAACAATTTTGTCACTTCCATCAACTCTTTGCTCTGAGAGATGACCACTTGTGCTGCAATGCTGCACACAGCGAAACCTTAATAAAATATATTTACAAATATGGTTTGAATTACACTAACCTTAACCCAAAATTCTTTAAACATTGTTGTTACTCCAAGGTTACTGGCTACAAATCTAAATCCTTGATCTTCGCGTATTCTGAAAGGAAAGTATAAAATTGCAGTTTTAACTTCAATTGAGCTTTAATTAAGTAAAATTATTGGTTAATTTCCTCTAGAGTTTTCAGAGTGTCAATACCTACTGTACTCGTCTGTCAGCCCCGTACAGAGCAGTAGGTATTCCTTCATAAGTTTGAAAAGTTTTCGTTGACAAGTTTCATGAACAAGATTCTCTGAAGAAATCTCGTTGTTGTCATCCCAGTTTTGAACGTCCGATTTCTTCGTGTATTCGGCTCACCAAAAAAACTGTGCTGGATTTCAAGCAAGACGAATTACAAGGAAAAAATACTATTCTGCACAAGGTTTACTGTACATGTATATATTCTTTGTAGTTTTCCATGGCCAATATAGTAATACAAGTTTTGGTATATTACTGTATGTGCTTAAATTTCTCTAGGAAATTTCGGCATCAAAACTTACGTACTTAGTGAGATATCTTAGTATCTTGGAAACAGTACTCGGCGTAGCTGTAGAGCCCAGTCCTTTCGGATGTAATGTAAACACCCAACGTTGATGATAAAGAAAACGTGAGAGAACTTTAAGAGGAGATTCTGGCATTCCTTTAGCACGATGCATCCATGGTTCATATGTTTCAATGATTCCTGAAGAGTGCTGGGAGTGAGCAGGTCTTACGAGAAATTCCTTTGGTTGTTCGTCATACCTTTGAAAATATTTAAAAAATTTCATTCATCTTTGAACAAACGTCACATACAAAAATCACGATATAAGCAAATGTTTATCATTACTAGGGATTCGAAAACCCTCGTCTTCATCTCTTTTGAGTCCCAAACATGTAACACCCCCAAATAGTAGAGGAAAGTATTTTATCTCTACTTCAGAGGCACCATCATGGGAATATATATCCTCATTGCAAAAACCCAACATTGTATAATGTCAACATAAAGGCGACTAAAGCCAGACTTGAATCTGGTTCGAATCAACATTACATTGTTAATAAAGTAATAGGTTTTAATTTTGAATTGGAGGAAAGGTTTTTGTGCAGGTAGACTCTAAAAATAAATTTAAAATTTCCTGGTTAACTTGGAAATACCACCATTTGGGTTAACTTAATACCAGATTATGTTAAGTGAATACATAACCATGGTTATTTATCCACCTAAAATATAGTTTGGTTAATTTAACTACAAAGTCGTGGTCAAATTAACCATGCAGATAATACGTTAAAAAGACGAGTGCTTATGCACTTCTCTAAAGTTCTACACTGTTATCTTCAATATTTTATCATTGAGTACCAGTATTTTGGGTATCTACACTAGATGTAACTAATTGTCGAACAGTTTTGTAGATGGAAATTTTGAGTGTGAAACCTGCGGCTCTGAGATAGGTTCGATTCCTGCCAGAGGACCTATAGTTGTATTTTTCGCAGCTACTCCTGGTTCTAATAAATGTATAAAATATACACTCGCAATTTCCATCTGCAAAACCCATATTCAGTATCCTCGATATTTCACGACGTGTCCAGCAGTGCTTGCAAGAGACTTTATTTCTCGCACCTGACAAGTATTCTATCCAATGGTTTATGTAGAAGTTTGGTACACACAAGCTGTTCTTGGATCTGTCTTTCCATTTCATTCTCTTTGGGAGAATCTTTAGATAACTTCCCTGACCGAGCAAACTGCGCTGTAATCGCCGCCAAATCATCTCGTAAAGAATTCACAATCTATAAAAAAAACGCTCACAGTGTAAAGTCCTGTTTACAGGGTGCGCACACCACTTACGCCTGTATTCTAAAAGCTCACTCATGCTCAAAGAGTGGAGGTTCAATCTGCCTTCCCTTGAGTGTCAATGTTGTTTTCAAATAGCTGGAGGGTTAGTCTCGTACCTTACTATATGACTACTCGCCCTCTAGCTATTCAAAAACAGCACTGACACTCAAGGGAAGCTCATTGAACCTCCACTTTTTGAGTGCGAGTGAGCTTTAGAATACAGGCGTTAGTCTTGAAAAAGGAGGGGGGTGCAAGGGTTTCTGACTGATAGGGACACAACTATGGCTGAAAAATACAAGGAGAACTACGACGTTTCTAGCAAAGGCCGTTCGTCGGGAAGTTAGTAGTTCTTCTTGTATTTTTCAGGTAATTGTATCCTTCCAGGCAATAAACTGAACTACACTTTTATCTACAATCAGTAACCTCAAGGAAGCACTCATTTGAATTTCTTTACTGAACGAGTGCATTCACCGCGTACCTCGTGTCTCTTTTTGCCCGGCGTTCCTCCAAGAAATGCAATTCTTATAACGATACACGGAGCTTTGGAGGATATACGTACGATACAGAAGGACCTTGGTGGATCTTCAGTGTCATCACTGTTGTGAATAAAAATACATATCGCTCATATACAGTATTAGCCCAGCGACCGACACAACGACAGAAAACAAGATTACTTAACACATTTTTGAAATGCGAGTTTAGTAGCAAAAGCCAGTGAACAAATACCCCACACGATTTTGAACGTTTTAACTATTGGCGTGGTTGTAATTCTATTGTTGACGATCACGTCTTCAAAAACTCTTCAAGTTTGAAGAAGACTTCTTATAATAATAACCTAGGGTATACATATACACCACAATTCTCACAATCGAAATAGTTGACAATCTCCTTTGACACAGGGATAAAACACCGTAAATAATCTAATAAGCGGCTTCTTCCCTACAGGAGTATTTATTAGAGATTTCATTAAAGATTAAGTGCAACTTTTTAGTATAAACACGCTTATTAAATTATTAGTGTTGGGGCAGAAGTAAATTGGAGTGTAAGAGCTACAGTATTAATGCTGAAATGTTTTCACTTCCGTTCACTCTGCAAACTGTTGTCTAAGAAGCGTAAAAAAGGCTTCATTTTTGTCTTTTTGGTCGTTATTTATCCATCTACCAAGTCGGGAAATATTATTTAAAACTTACCCTTCAACAAATTTGATGTAGGTATGATTCTCTGACAGAACAAAAGAACTCCATTGTTTCAAGAATGCAGCCAGTGAACTGAGAGAGTTACGACATTGAATGTGATAGAATCGATAATTTGAAGATGGTAAGAATAACGACTTTGGAAGAGGTCTACAAACATCAGTTAAAAAATACAAGCTTGAGTGATTATTATGGAGCGACCACTCTATTTATGTCCAATTATACGCGCGATCGAGACGAACACTGCAATTTACAGTATGCTTACAGACGACCGTGTCGAAAGTAATTTTACTTTCCATAAGGTACCATAAGTAACGTTGCCAAAATGTCTTACCTGATGTTTCGATGGCCGTAGCCGAGACCCTACCCCCAATGGTGGCGGACACTAGGTAGTTCCGCTCAGTGGTGGACACTAGGCGGGGGTATATATAGTTTCTTTTAAAAAGTTTTAGCATTCCAAATTTGACTGAAAATGGTTGTAATGTCAAGCAAGTAAGACTTAAAGAGGATAACAGTAATTACATATTATCTAACGCATTCTCCCAGTGCCCCTCCAGAGAAAATACCTGTCGTGTTCCAAAACCATGTTAATACGATGACAATGCATCCATCGTTGCCTGAAAGTGAAAATATAACATGCAGGCAGATATAATAAACAACTCTGGCAATACATTTAGTTAGTGACTGCTGTATTGTGCAATTCATGAGATATCACACATTTCGTACGATTTACGACGTAGCAAATTCGACAACGTGCGATCAATAGATTTTAGAAGTGCTTGCAGCACGCAATAAAATACAGAGGACTTCTGGAATGCACAGTGCATTGTGGGATACGTTTAGGTCAATAATTCATTGTTTGAAATTACGTGACGTAAGCAGTTCTAAGGTCCATTTAAGCTCAAGAAATCAGGAATCTGGAGATAGTGATGCATTATGGGATCATTAAGGCCCGTTGACATTAAGGTTACAGAACACCCTTTGAGTGTTAATTTTGCCTAAATTTTTTTTATTGGTTTCAATAAAAGCATTAGACTAGTTCTACTATCTGACCAAGTTTGAACGAAAAATGTTGAAAACTCGCAGAGTTATTTAATAAAATACATTTCGCTGCAATAAGAAAAACATTGAAAATGTAATATTCAAATTCAATTTTCTCACGAAACATTTTACGGTAATTACTGATTTTTAAAGAGTTGTGCTCCTGCGGGTTTTAACCAATTTTTCTCAAATTTTCACAGGACATAGCTAAATACGTCAGTTTCAAAATTGTGTTCGGCTTTTTTTTAATTTTGGATATTTTAAAAATAAAGAGCAATTCACTCAAACAATTCAGAAATATATTGCAGTCGTCAAAGAAATCGCCATATCAGCGGAATGACGAAATAAACAAAAATTTCCGAACACAATTTTTTAGAACAACTATTTTACTGTATAAAAATGATATTTTCATAAATATAACTTAAAACCAGCAGGAGCACAACTCAAAAGCGTAAAGGTACCGCGATTTAAGATTTTCCTGAATAATTCTTACATTATTTTATTGTTTGTTAATTTTACAACTTTACCATAATTTGCATGCACTGGAGAACATTTGGTGAAAATTTGATGAAAATCGGACTGATATTGAGCGCGCAGTAGATTTTCCGCAAAACGCCAAAAAGGGTGTCCTGTAACCTTAATTGCAATTTTTGTTGAGATTTCTAGTGCGATTTTCTTCTTGCATGTCAACGAGAAGATGAATGTTCTGACTATATGTTCCTTCATCTGAACATTCATAACTCATCCACTCGTTCATATCCATCAGAGGAAAATCGCAGCAAAAATTGCACGGGCTTTAACAGAAACTAATTTTTCATTTGTGCAACGATTGCAACGCATATTTTGCTTGCATCACTATATTTTGATCCACAGTTCCATATCCTTTTTATCAGTGCCTTATTGGGTTGAAGAAAAAATGTTAGGTCATATTATACAAACCATGTATTGACATCTAGGGTCAATATAGTCTTCCAAAACACAGCGAATTGAGCCTCTTGTGACTTGGAGGATTTTCTACGAAAGAAATAAAGTAGATTCTTTTTAGCTGCATGCCAATAATACAGAAATTGCAAAACCAATTGATTCAACTCTGAGGAAAAGCGTTTTATAAAGACGTCATCTCTATAATATTTGAACCCTTTCTTTAACAAAAAAAAACCCAGCCACTTCCCATTGCGAGCAAATCCAACCAATAAAATTAGAAAAAGTGTATACTCTACAGTACACCTACTGCTCTCCCACTCAAATCTAGCTAGGAATGAAAGCACTGTCTTTTAAAATTTCAAAAACCTAAATTAACAGCTTTCTCAAATCCTGCTTAGTTCCTTGAGAAATAATATATTTTGACCAAAATCATCATAAATCAGTGAGTTATTTGCCATCTTGGATTGTAGTAGATGTTGCATCAAATATTTTACCCAGATAGCCAACACGTTTGAGCCGAAAATTACACTTCGGTTACTATTTCAAATAACAAATTGATTAAAACATTTTAAACATCTACTAATCGTTTTATATCAGGGATGGATCCAGCATGATCAGGTAAGGGGTGCTCTACCAGCTCTGGTGCCGAGATGTGTCGGTCATGTGCGCCGCCCGCCCATAAACTTTTGACTACCGCAAAGTCTTGCTTGACTACTGTATTTGAATTATAACTATTGTTCACAGTTCGCTTATCATCACGTTATTACTGAAATTACTGTATCTCATTTTGTATCTAATATTTTTTTGCTCTATCATGAAAAATAGCACCCCCCCCCCTGCACCCCCTCTAGCCAGGGTTAGGGGGGGGGGTGCTCACTCCTCTCCCCACAGTAAATCCATCCCTGTTTTATATATATATATATATATATATATATATATATATATATATATATATATATATATATATATATATATATATATATATATATATATATATATATATATTAGTCTTCTAGGAGTAGTTTTATACGACTAATCCGCCTTTGACGTCATCTCGTTGTTTTCAAGAATGAAGCAAAATATGAAAGATCATGCAGCAAAGAGTTTTAGATATAATTTCAAACGTTTTTTTCAAATACGACAAACTAACTTTTTATTAGATTTTCCTTGTTCCAAGACCAACACCTAAAGTGATAAAAGTACGTGCGGTAGGATAATGGAAAGGGGAAGTTCATCGTCATGTGTGTATTGTATTCTCGCTAGAGCAACCTATAGCTATGTTTTAATTTAACCATTGTGCAATATCACGACTAAGTAATTAAACCAACATACTGCATGCTATTGGTTGGTTGGGCGAAAAAACAGTACACACGTGACGATGAACCGACCATTTCTTGCATCGTGTTTCCTAACCTTCTTATTCTATCGACTATGGTTGTATCAAGCGAGATGCCACAAAATCTCGATATTTACTTACTATGGTCACTCTAGTATGTAAATGTCTGCATGGTGAGTACACGTACCGGCTGAGGTGAATTGGGTGGGAAGTAAAACAACGGTACACCTCTTCTAACACACTCGGGTGTGGAGTAGAACAGTTGATTGGAGGAAAATGACTGCAAGCTAACGAGTAACGCATCCGTCATCTCTAAACTGAAGTAACATAAAAGCAGAAGAAAGAAGTGATTAAAGATAACTGTAATAATAAGAAATCAACAAATTTCGCAATTAGAATAATTTTCATTCATTGAGTATTAAATGTATAGAACTGTTAACGAGTTTCAACGAGTCGCTTTAAAAATTTAATCCACAATTACTTTTGTGGACCGAATCATGGCTGTTGACAACGTCAATGCTCCCAAAAACAATACATTCATACCATGCCTGTGGAAATACAATGTATATGCATGCACATAGTACGAGTATGGTATGGATACATTTGTGGCACTATATCGCTCTAGCTTTTAACTTCTTTCAACTATAGGGGAGTGTATTTTTACCAATTTGATAATAATTTAGTTAATTCGTTTCTTTCTCAAATATAATTTTTACTAGTTGATGTAAATAGATTTTAAACACAATAGCCACCTGAAAAGCAGCAACAGCTGAAGGGCTACCGTTGTTAAAGAACCATTAATAATAAATTAACAACAATAATCATAATTATTAACTTTCTATATCGTCGTCTGCCATAATGGAATTACGAATACAGGTAACTATAATCGGGGCTACTGTATGCTCCCCACCTATTGTATCATCTATAATCAGTAATAAAATAATAAAAGCAATAAAACAAAATAAAAACATATGGCAATTTAAACATCGATGGGTTAAGATTCCTAATCATTTTATAACATGACAATACATAATATCTTTCATGTTAATGAAAAAAGTATACTTACTTTTTTAATGTGTGATTAAACGTTTCCACGACATTAGCCCTGCAAAAATATCAATCTTTTAACATTCCAGGTGATCTCGTGTTCGTATTTTAGCCAATCAGCGCTCAGAAAGGGTTGTCCGAATAGAAATTCATTTTGATGTATTCAGTCAATTATATCTTTCGTTATTCTGTATGAAACCAGTTGAAATTTTGTAATTATGTTTGGTTATGAGAACTATAGCTCTGACAAAAATATGGAATCGAAATAAAGTATATTACAGGAGATATTCAGTTGTTTTAATCATAAAATGGATTTCTATTTGACAACTAGTGCCAGTACTTTTCCGCGTATCAAGATCACCTGGTTGAATACGACATCACGCTTATAGTGTAATATTGATGGTATGTAAGTGTACCTGTAACCTTTCATTGAGTAAAGTTGCTTGGAATAAACATCGTGAAGAAATCCGTACGTTCCTTGAACGACAATTTCGATCTTTGTTTGTGCACTGAAACATTTAAACTCTTGTAATCAGTTGAGGCAAGGAGATTTACGCAGCTATATAAGGACATACAGGTTTTCACACAAATCTGTTTTTAAAAATGTTGGATTTTTCATTCTCAAATCCAGAATCCAGAACCTCTTTCCAAAACTTACTTTGATAATTGTACTGGCCATGTCTACGACGAAAAATAAAATTAAGAGCATGAGACTATTGTAATTAATCAGGCTGTTAAAAGGTGCATGGGAGGTGGGGTGGAAGTGCCAAAAGAGGGATATTTTCTTAAAATTATACAAGATACTAAAAGTAGTATACCCTGTAGACAGTTTTACTTCAACGAAATATCTAGTGTGCGACTCTGGTCACAATTTGGGAATAATTCTGCATGCCATCCCAGGAAGGAAAGAGAGTGCAGTGAATCATCAAACAGGAAAGTAAACAGTCACATCTTATGTTTCCATTTCGCTCACATATTGTTTGGCATTAGAAATATTTCATTGAAAAAGCGTAAACGTCAAACCAAACAATGCAACGCATGTGATTTGGTGTCTACATACGTCAAGTTAGGGTCTATGGCGACGGCTAGTACTGCATGTAATTTGGTAAACTAGATCATGTAAATATTGAAAACAATTAACCAAAGCCCGGAAACAAATCATGCCATTTACTTAAATTTACTCACTGCTGTAGCCGTATATTCAATGTACGCATTTTGTTTCCATAGCAACAACAGCTTCACGACTAACTCCTTTCCTCCTGATAACACAAAAAATGTTTGGCAACAAAGATATGCAGTAAACCCTCAAGAAATTATACAAAAAAAAATGTTGCTGACTTTACAGTGTGTAGAACTGCTAACAAAAATATTTCGTGTTACATGTGTACAGTATACTGTACTATTGCAACTAGATAAAAATGAGATGAACGTAACGTACCTCTAAGAAACGCGATATCTTTAACACAATATCCTTCTCGCAAACGTATAGATACCACACTAGACACATAAAAATCAGCGCGTTTAGAAAATCATATTTACAAAGTAAAATAATAAATAATTGCACGAGGTTGGTATATTAATTTGCATTAGAAAATGAACTTTGTTTTGATTGAGTCGTTCCCCGTTAAACTAGCCTGCAAATCAGGACTGACAGGAGCTCGAGGACCTAGCGCCTGCAGGCTACTGTTAAACTAATTACAATATTATTTTGATTGTTGTATGCTTGCTTATATTTCTTTTGGTAATCAATGACAAAATGTTTGGCAGATTTTGACGAAGAAACCAAATATTTTGATCGTACATACAACGTAAAATCGAGAAGTTATACAATCGTTCATTGTACTAAAGGACTTGATATCTCGTTGTCAGGGACGTTTCGAGCTTACCTTGATATGCTGGTCCTTAACATTTTCTCCGCATGTCTCTTTCTTATCAACGGTTCAGTCAATGCTTTATCCCACTGATGCAAAGACAATATACTACACCTAAACAGCATGTTAGAAACGTTAATTGCTACTATCGTGTATTCTCACTATAATTATATCATTTAATTCTTTCAAAACAGTTTAAGCATAGCAACGAACTATGTGTTACCAAAACTGACATAATTTGAAAGAAGAAACGGTAAAATATATGAATATCCTGATGTCTGCTACATAAAACCTAAAAATACGACGTTTAAAAACTGTCAATTTACTGTTATGCACCTGACGTTTTTGAAAACTGTATCGAGCCACCTTAAAATCATCTTACTTGCCCTAACACCATCAAGATAGATTATTCATAATTTAATTTTGCTGGAACCCCCCCCCCTGCCCAAAAAATATTCAACAGTCATTTACCTATACTGTACAATAATCACTTAAGAGTATTCCAAAGACTGGTTATATAAAAGTAAACTGGTAAGCATATCTTAATTACCCCATCCCCTGCAGAGCATTTTAGCCATCGCTAGGTAAGCGATTGTAGTTGAATCTCATACAGACTGTGATCATGAAATAAATTCTGATTGTTTAATTCTAATTTTTAAAACCTTTACACAACTGGCTCCTGCAAAAATGGTTTTAAGGCTGCCATTAAATTTGGGGGATTCAATTAATCCATTAAACAGAGAGTGGTTTCCCAGAGGCTCATGATGCAGCTGCTCGACAACTGAGGCCTACAGCATAATTATGAATAAGAAAAGTTACCTTTTACCAAGCACAGAATCTGTCACACCTTCGTCATCTATTAAAAAAATATTATTATAAAATAACATGTATATAACGCGTGTTCTGATTGGTCGAAACCCGTGTTTGGATCAGGCCATCCAAACACGGAGACTATCGTGTTGTTGTTATTTTATAAAACAATTACTTTATGGTTTCCGTATTTGGATGGCCTGATCCAAACACTTGGGAATGTTGCTCGAGTTAAGAAAAGCGAGCAAAATCACTCGCCTTCGGCTCGTGATTTCGCTCGCTTTTCTTAACTCTCGCAACATTCCCGCGTGTTTGGATCAGGCCATCCAAACACGGAAACCATAAAGTAATTGTATATTAATAAACAACTAAAATGTACAATTAAATATACATGCAGTTCCGTAAAAATAACGTATCGTATTGTGTGACTCTTACCTTCCCAAGAATTGATTTTGCTCAAGTCATACTCCCACTGAAAACTCCAACATAAAAATGCCTTGTGGTAAAAATTCATTGGAGGAAGGTCTAGAGGTAAAAATAATAGAACGATGCAAGCAGGAAATACAGTAGTTCATATAATACATATAAAAATTTGATTGGTTGATTTCAGTGCAGTTAATCCCAAACACCTGCAGTGCAAAAAAACAGTGCAACATTCTGTAACAAGAATGCAACATTCTGTAACAACAGTGCAACATTCTGTAACAACAGTGCAACATTCTGTAACAACAGTGCAACATTCTGTAACAACAGTGCAACATTCTGTAACAACAGTGTAACATTCTGTAACAAGAATGCAACATTCTGTAACAACAGTGCAACATTCTGTAACAACAGTGCAACATTCTGTAACAACAATGCAACATTCTGTAACAACAGTGTAACATTCTGTAACAACAGTGCAACATTCTGTAACAACAGTGCAACATTCTGTAACAACAGTGTAACATTCTGTAACAACAGTGCAACATTCTGTAACAACAGTGCAACATTCTGTAACAACAGTGTAACATTCTGTAACAACAGTGTAACATTCTGTAACAAGAATGCAACATTCTGTCACAACAGTGCAACATTCTGTAACAACAGTGCAACATTCTGTAACAACAATGCAACATTCTGTAACAACAGTGTAACATTCTGTAACAACAGTGCAACATTCTGTAACAACAGTGTAACATTCTGTAACAACAGTGTAACATTCTGTAACAACAGTGTAACATTCTGTAACAAAAATGCAACATTCTGTAACAACAGTGCAACATTCTGTAACAACAGTGCAACATTCTGTAACAACAATGCAACATTCTGTAACAACAGTGTAACATTCTGTAACAACAGTGCAACATTCTGTAACAACAGTGTAACATTCTGTAACAACAGTGCAACATTCTGTAACAACAGTGCAACATTCTGTAACAACAGTGCAACATTCTGTAACAACAGTGAAACATTCTGTACTGAACAACAGTGTAACATTCTGTAACAAGAGTGCAACATTCTGTAACAACAGTGTAACATTCTGTAACAACAGTGCAACATTCTGTAACAACAGTGTAACATTCTGTAACAACAGTGCAACATTCTGTAACAACAGTGCAACATTCTGTAACAACAGTGTAAGTATAGGTAATAGCATGGCTTCGAGTGCAATTTGGATATAACATGCACGAGTGAAAAAAAAACTCACGAGTTCACAAGAAACCATGCTATTACTTATTAATAATTTACATAAAAATGTTCGAGACAATTGTAGTTTTAACTTATTAAGGTAAATGCTTTTCCATTTAAAAATAAAGATAAAAGCCATATTTTCCACGCGAAGGCAACTTTTACTTTGTGTAGCGCGGCGCCATGTTTGTTTTGTTTTGAAGCAATCTGTGACCGTTACTTCTTTAAACTAAATTGCTTTAAACTGATTGGTTGATTTAATCACAGAGGAGAGACATACAGAGTTGTAACTAGTGTACCCACTTTTTTGTGCGCATGCTCGGCAAGTTACTAGATGCATGCATCTGATTGGATGACGACCTGATGACGACTCACTTTAAACTTGCTGAGCACGCGCAGTTGATCATTTTTTGCCCGGTCGCCTGAAAAAAATGGGTATATGAAAACGTAAGCTTCCGCAGTGTTTACGACGGTCAGTTACAGCTCTGTATGTCTCTACTCTGTGATTTAATCATCACAATCTTTTTCCACCTTTCAGATCAGTTTGTTACAGATTTTTGCACTGTGATTACAAAAAATTGCACTGTGATTACAGAAAATTTCACTGCTGTTTGGGATTAACTGCACTGAAATCAACCAATCACAGTCGAGTAATATCTTTATGTATATTATTATATAAAAAAACGGATACAAATAGGTGTTTTGCGAAATTGAGAGCAATTTCAAATCTGTTCAGTTTTTTTATACACCCTTATAGCTTCTTTGGGTACTTATAATGTAAAATAATGAAAAAAAATTCTCAAACTCGAATTTTGTGAACCAGGGGTGTCTTTTCCAACAAACTAAAAATGGCTCGCGCACAAAATGTAAAAGCTGTGTTCATATTTTGAGTTAATAGATGGAAACTTTGTCGCGTTTTTAATTACTGTACAAAATTTCAGACAATTTGGTTGAGTTTAAGCCCTTTAACATTCATTTTATTCTAAAAAATCAGCCTTTCGCATGCTTAATTAATGCATTTACCTAATTTGCATATTGCTAAACATATGCAAATTAGGCAAAGGCATTAATTAAGCATGCAAATAGCCGATTTTTACGAAAAATGTAACTTTGCGTGAATAGTTAAAGGCTTAGACTAAACCTAATTTTCTGAAATTTTGTACAGTAATTAAAAACCCAACAAAGTTTCCATCTATTAACTCAAAATATGATTACAACTTTTAAATTTTGTGCGCGAACCATTTTTAGTTTGTTGGAAAAGACACACACCCTGGTTCACAAAAATTGAGTTCAAGAAATTTTTTTCATTATTCTACATTATAAGTACCCAAAGAAGCTATATATATATAAAAAATCGGATACAAATAGGTGTTTTGCGAAATTGAGAGCAATTTCAAATCTGTTCAGTTTTTTTTTATACACCCTGTACATTCTGTAACAACAGTGCAAAATTCTGTAACAACAGTGCAAAATTCTGTAACCGTGCAAAAAATCTTTACCACAAACTAATCCGATTGGTGGATAAACAATGGGATCTAAAGTAAACCAATCAGCTTAAAAGCAGTCCCCAAGTGACCGGCCACAGATTGCTTCAAAACAACAAAACAAATATGGCGGCCACGCTACAAGAAGTAAAAGTTGAGTTGGCTTATGGTTTCTGTCTTTTTCTTAAAATGAAGACTTTATCTTACACAAGAGTAACACAACCACATAATTGAGTAATATTTTCAACGTTTCGCTGTAAGACGGGAGTCAAAACTACAATGTATATTATTAATACGTAATAGGATGGTTTCCTCATGTTCCGCGCACAGTAGGGTTAGAGAAGGGGCTGGGATGCGCGAAACATACACGACATTATATATATCACTGACACTTTTACCGAAACCATACAGTCCGAGCTATTTTCAAAGTATCTTATATAATTAAGTTGGCAATAACAAGGCCCCTAAGCTGACATCTCCATGAAGTACTTTTCTGTTAGCGTGTATTCACGTCGTTTTCCAAATTTGCTCGAGTGCACACGAAAAAAATAGGTTGAAATCGAGGCGGACAACGTTATCCCTGGTCAATAAGTAGTTTTCATTGCCAAACAGAAAATTCGGGAAGTGTCTATGTTAGACATGCATTGACATTCACTTTTTTGCTTTTTGATTTTGATTAAAAAGGAATAATCTAAAAATACTTTAAGAATTAGTGTGATCCAATGCGCGTAGTTTAACAGTTCATTGACATCTATATATCATGTTCATTTCTCACCTTCATTAACAGAACCATCAGATGACAACTCGTTCACCTACAGCATCGAAACAGTGAGATTAATTTATCTTACTATTTAAAAACTATTTAAATTTCTCAGTGTAAGGTCGAGGTACAGCAATTGTATTGCAACACTCACTAAGACCTTGATAATTCCGGATATCACAAAAACTGAATTCAATAACTGTTTTACCAAAAATTGCATTTTCATTAAACACCCTCGACAAACAATGATTCGTGTCACAACACAAAGCTTTAATACCGTAGTTGTTTTGAAAACAAATTAAAATTATCACAATAACAGCACAACATATTAAGGAACTCATTTACCTACTAAAGTTCCGATAAAAACGTTAAAAAAGTCTGGGTTTTTTTGCAAGCAAAAAAAACCCCGTTTTATTCGTCTGCGTACATGTATGCGTGTATAAAGCATCCAATTGCTATGAAATCCGGTACCGCTGGCTCAACCTACAGTCAACAGTGTTGTCTGCTAGCAGATAACAACCTCGTAACCCCCCGCTGGCGAAGGTAAGACCCTGGGAACGAAGTTGATAACACTGTTGACTGTAGGTTGCGTAATTTCCATATTTAGCTGTAAACTATTGACCAATACATGTAATTATTACAATGTATAATAATAGAGCTGTACATGGGTTGTTATAATTTAAACCCAAGAAAAAAGCTATTTTTGCCACAAATGATTTGCCTCAGTGGACGATTTAATCTGCTTGCAAAAGTGGTACACTGTATATCGAATGTTTTGCCACGATCAATTCTTGAGGGAAAAACAATGATGATATCAGATACATGTACAGTAAATGGTTCACTCTTGCTTGCTTTGTCGTGCACATCAGCCAGGCAATTCACATTATATTCATTACTTGTATTACTTACACAAGGTGCTTTGGATAGATAGGCTCCTGACGTGGCATTAGCAAGAAACTTCATGAGGTCAGTGTTAGGAATGTAACCAAAACTACACAGCACGTGAAAATAGAAATAAATAATATGAGAGAAAGCAAAGAAATACTATAGTACTACGGTACTACGGTATCTTTGATAACGACTTAATAAAATGAAGACGGCAAGGTTGATGGAGATGCCGTACAAGCAGCAACAATGGCAAACTACAGTAATGTCCCGAAAGGCAAAATGAGCAATGCAAAAGCGACAAGCAGGAACTCGTGCAAAAAGTCGTGCGAAATGACATTTTATAAGGAACAAAGTCGCTGGCCAACAACAAGACACTTGTTCACGACATAGCTGATAGTTGAGTGAAATTTTCAAACAGTTATAGCGTTATAAAATGTTTTACTTATAACAAAGCAGGAAAACGTTGTCAGTGGACGGTTCGCTGTAAGAGTGGAGTTAAAACTACAATTGTCTCGAACATTTTTATGTATATTATTAATATGTAATAGGATGTTTCTCGTGAAATTTAGACACAACAAGTTCACTTTGAGTTCGAGTTCACGAATAAAAAAAAACTGGAAAATATAATGTCTTATGTTATTATTAAAAAATGATTTTAAACAACATAGATATAGATCTGGTGAAATGTAAGTGAACAAATATACATGATGGCAAAAAAAGCAGAAAGCTCCTCACCCAGAACAACTGTTTCTGCCCTAATAATATACATGAAAAAATTTCCCAATTCTGATTGGCTATAAGAACAGTGCAATTTTTTTGAATGAAATACAGTGCAAAAAAAAGAACTGTTTCTTATTTTTTTATTTTTCAAATTTCTTAATTTGTAAATGTGACTTACCCACCAGACTGCATAATTTTTTCATGTGTATTATTAATAAGTTATAGTATGGTTTCTCGTGAAATTTGAAAAACAAACATACACTCGTGAGCTTTTCTAAAACTTCAAATAGCACTCGTCCTTCGGACTCGTACAATTTTGAAAGTCGTTGAAAAACTCATTCGTGCATGTTTTTTCCAAATTGCACTCGAAGCCATGCATATTATTACCTATACTTACAAATCATTTAACAAAATGCTTACAAAGCTTGTTACAGGTATTTAAACTTACATGACATGATGTAAGGCCTACTCAGGGATATTAAATCGCCCTATATCGCGCGCCCAAACTTGCATTGCTTAAAAGTTGCAGTTTTTGCTTAAATCGTCTAAAATCGCTTAACTCGCATTATCTCACGGCAGGTTTAGGCGAGTTACCAGCCCAAAGTAGGACTTGATGTACCTGCACTGTGCTTGGAAAGGACTGCCAACTTTAACAAATGAACAGCAAACAGTATGAGATCTCAGTTGAGCGAGCAATGCATGAACCATAGCGGCATTTGGTAGACCAAAAACTCCATCACTTATGATAACAATACCTGAACACAAAATACATAGAAACTATAATTCATATGATGAACAAGCTTTCGTTGGTAGGGATGTAACTACCTGCACTTTGGTATCCGCGCCATAGATTATATACTCACGTGACTCTAACAAGAGGGAACTGAATGAAAAATGTCAAACAAAAGTAACGTACCTCCGCTAGCACTACCAGGGAGAAGTTCTAAAGCCAAAATTGACATTTTTAACATTGCAACGATTGACAATTCCGATGTTACATGACTATGTAACTGCTTTCCTTCACAATTCTAAAATAATATGAACATCAATAAGCTGCAAATATTATGAATGTATCTCAAATTCATTACCGAAACTTGTTAAAAATAAGACCATGTAATATTTGCCATTTTAAGCTCCAGCTTTCATGCCGTTTTTGACACTTTATGTGAATCTGTTAGTATATATGACAAGATACTCCTAATAGGTATACCAACGATATAAATATCAGGATTTTTGGCATTAGACCGCTGCACTGGAATCGCAGGGCCGCAGGTTCAATTCCAGCTAGTGAGTTTATAGTTGCATTTCGCGCAGTTGTTCCTGGTTAGGTCTAATCAATGTATAAAATTCACACTCCAAATTTCAATCTATACAAAACCCTTCATCAACAATATAAACCCTATCTCTAGCTGATTTGTTAAATTTTGATTCTTGTTACCACAATTTTACTACGGGCGAGCCATTTGACGTTTACAGGTGTACTTACAGGAAAAGACCTGCCTTCAAGAAACGGTTGACGCCCACCCCTTCCCTCAAAATCTAATGGTTGGCCCCTAATGGTATGATACAGCTAGGTATAATCCAATTGAGGTATCATTTCATGAAGTATTGTATCTAATATTGTTCAACCAGTCATCAACCGCCATATTTTCTGTTCTGGAGAAAGCCTTCTTATCAGCATTAGAAAATACACCAATTATCCTCCCCATTTTATACCTGATAATTAGTGGTTTGCACTACACCGGCATTCTTGTTCTCCATCTGCTGTAGTTGTTCATAAACTGATGACAAAAATAATTCAACATTGTCTTGGGTGACCAAACAACCTTCAACCAGCACCTATAGAAATTAGTCCGTATAGTTTTAAAGGCTTTCGGTCTTTAGCTACAGTAAAGCTGACCATAGATATGAAGATGACACACCAGTGACCACAGATAACTTTTTGAAGTCATTCTGAGACGGATATAGAGAAATAGGAAGTTGGTCGCGCAGTGCAGATTTGTAACCGGGTTATATATATTCCCCTTTTATTTAATTTAAGATATTTTGTGTTGAAGAGGCTGATTTGGATCCCACCACGGCGATTCTAGTTCTGGCCAAGCCATGCAGGGTATTATTACAGACTGTTAATAGTACAGTAATTTCACAATTCATACGAATGAAATTAGATGCATACTGGTACTGCTATATGCAATGCTAGGACAATTGTGTAAACTATTTACTATAACAGTGTATTCTTTGATAGTATATATTTAATCCCTAACTTTTCATTTGATACCACTGACCTCTGTAGAATAATGCAGTAACCGATACCTGAACAGTCCCACAATCCATAACTCCATTGTAACCCAAAACAGTAACATGAAGTTCTGGTGATAACACTAAACTACTTCCAGGAACTGAAAACTGAATAAAAAATGAAGGCATTTAAAACACAATTGACATCAGTCACTTAGTGCGTCTTCGTTATACCAATAACGATTTTTGTTAATTTAAAAAGACTTTCAAAACAAAAACAAAGTAAAGTTGACTTTTCACCATGCACTGATTAGATTGCTTTAATGAAACATGAAGTAGGGGAGCAACATGTTGATGTGATCGCGTACGTATATTCTCCGATCAGAGTTCGCGTTATCGAGTTTTCATATTAACGATGCACTTTATTAACGCGACATAAATTAACGTGTCATCTAATTAATGCGAATTGCTTTCAGGTACTAAAATGTTTAAATTAACGTGAATATGACAGTTTATGGTTAACAAGTTAATTTAACTAACGCGAGTCGAAGAATATAAACACAACAGCAAAAGTTTAATATTATATACTACCAATTAAAACAGTACGCGAGTAGATATGTCAAATTAAAACTGTAACGTTAAAGACCATGTAAAGTCCGTTCTGCGCATACGTTCTGCGCAGGCTTACATTCCAATGGTCGGGACCCGACCGTTGGAATGTTATTAATATTTCGTATCTTTTGAACTTTCTTGAATTGAATCTCTAGTCTGTATTCATTTACAAGCATAGCGAACCAGAAGAGTGTTAAAAATTCAGTATAATTACTATAATATATATCTAATCATATTTTACAACTGCAGCACTGAGTTCAAAATGTAAACAAAGCGTTTGTTTACATTACGGACTTTACATGGTCTTTAAAAGTTAAAGTAATTTAAGCCAATGTATATATAAAATATATAGTTGAGCTTAAGGTTCTGCCGACAGTGACAAGGTTTAAGATGTATTTTGAGTTAAAAGAGTTCGTGTTTATATATAAAACAAATCAAGGTCTTTTTAATTAACGATAACTAAAATTTGCACGCTTGAAATTAACGATAACATAAATTAACATTAATTAAATTAAATTAACGTGAAAATCCGCGTTAATAAAGTGCATCGTTAATTTCCTATAATAAGGTATTCTCTAAATCAATGCAGTTGTTGTTCTGTACATAAAACTAAGAACTCTGCTGCTTATTGGAAACAAAATTCCATATAAAATAACTGTAACCATGCAAAGTAAAATCAATCATGTGACTTCACTGAATGTCCATGCAAATTTGATAATTTGTTGAAGGTTTATGCTAATCAGATACTAACCGGCAATACAAGTCCACGCATGCAATTTTGAAAGCTTTCAAATGATATTTCATTCACAACTTTTCCTGAGAGGATATCCTACAAAAATACAATTGAAGAAACAGACAACACAAAATCGCAATTTCAAATTCACAACGTTTGAAAATTTATTACACCTTTATTAAAGTTTAGCATGTATTGGGCAAAACATGAAAATTTGAAACAATTTAATCAATATTAAGCAATGGATGATGCTTTGAACATCTGCTCTACGCTCTACGTTCTATGTTTCGCCATTTCTTTTCTTGCAGTCGTGGCAATGGAAGTGTTCCTAAAATATTCCACTACGTTCATTTGCTCACACGAACCAAGTCATCACACCCTTTCGATAATTACGTTACACATACCTTTTGGTCTTGGAGCCTCTCAACAGTAAATAACGCAAGCTGATTGGCTCACGATTCATGAGAGCGAGGCTCCCAAGCCAAATGACGTAATTATCGAAAGAGTGTATTGCTGAGTTATTTGAAAATTTGATAACGTCCTGGATAATTGATAAACTGATGCTGAAGGGTTTGATTTGTAAATGGAAATTTCGAGTGTGAATTTTATACATTTATTTAGATCATAGATATCTTATATACACTAGATAGTGCATCTAATTATTCTGCAATTCAAAAATTGAAGCCATGATTGCAGTCTCAGGTCGTTCCCATGAAATGAGAAGATTCGTACGTTTTCTATTTTTTAAACAGGGAACTTAAACATTAAGTTAATCCTATTCCAAATACATTTTTAAACTATTCGAATGATGAAAGTTATTGTTGTTTTTAACCGTTTATTACTAAGTGGGAGCGACCAACATGGCCGCCATCTATTCACTGACAAATGAGGGTAACCGCTGGAATATTCTTGGCTTCAATTTTACTAAAAGAGATGCGCTATCTAGAACACCGCGGAAAAACGTCTGCGCATGCACCAAATTATGAAAATATGGCGGGGAATTTGAATATCAATTTTTAAAACAAAAACATGCTTATTAATTGGTCAAAAATTAGTAAAACAAACGAGAAAATATAGCAAATGGGTAGACTAGACATTAATTGAAAGCGTCCTGGCATTTAAAGTATGGAATGAAATATAATTCATGTAAAAAATTGTTGATTTTAACGGACACGACATCGAAAATTTTTGCAAAATTATTCAATACAAAAATTCAAACTAAAAAGTTAAGAAAACTGTCGAAAAGTTAAGCTTCTTAACCCACTCAAATTGTAGAATAAATCCTAAAGTTTAATTATTGTGAACACGAAAATTTTTTATATTTGGCGACACAGTTTTTTTTAAAGAAATGTATCTCAAACGAAAATTCGGAAATTGTCGTTCCTTAATTGATAAACAAAATGTTTCAGACGATAAATTTGTCAACAATCACCTTTAGTTCATGTTCTTGTACAATACAATTTCTTGAACCTTCTGGCTGTATTTATTCCTAGTTTTTAGAATGACATGTTTATTTTTGGACTCGAAATCTGGCTGTAAAGACGCACAATGAAGTCACTCCTTTTTACCGCCATTTTGAGCCTTCGGAAACGTTCGGAACAGCTTCTCATCAAGTTCGCAATACTATTACAGGTAAGGTTGACGCATGCGCAGACGTTTTTCCGCGGTGTTGCTATCTAGTGTATATATAAGATATCTATGATTTAGACGTAACCAGGAGCAGTTGCGAAAAATACAACCAATCGTACAGCGCTCTTCTGCCCGATGAATTCCTGCCAGAGGGCCTACAGCTGCATTTTTTCGCAACTGCTTCTGGTTATAGGTCTAAACAAATGTATAAAAATTTACACTCGAAAATCGCATCTGCAGGTTAATCCTAATATTTACCCATAATTGATAAACGTTCTGGGGTCGGTTGTTCAAAGT